ATGAGATTTCGAGATGATGGTCAACCTGAAATCATCTCAAGTGGTAATAAAAACCATTAATAGATATCTATAAGTGAAATGGAAACAAAGTTTAGAATGGATCTGTGAAGAATGAGCCGTCAGGCGTCATGGACTTCCCCATTTGGCCGCCGCAAGACCACGATTGCGCGCCTTCGGAGAGATTTTTTTTCGAAATGATGGTCCACCTAGGATTTCTTCGAACTTATACCAGCTTGTACAGCTTCTCATAAGGTATCTTTTTGAAAAAGCTAGGAAGAATGGATCTCCCGGCTCAAGCTCGTGGTGGTCGAAAAAAACTAACTCGACAGACGCAAAAAAGTGCCGTAACTCAAAAATTTTTCCCACAGTAACCCAAGATGGTATGTACTGTAAAAAGTTTTTCAAAAATAGGATTACCTATCGATTGATATATCATTTGTCTACTAAAAAAACTCTTCAATACTGAGATACGCAGGTGCCTACCTGGCTACCGTAACCCGGCTACAGTAAGAGGAAATGACTCAAAAAGTTGGGTCCGCATTTCTGATGATTGGCTATCACACTGGATGAAGTTTCATCAAAATCAAAAAAATTTTTTTTTTATTGTACCCGTTGTTTTTGAGAATAACGGAGACAGCGTGTTAAGTGGCCAGGAGTTCCAAACCTCTACTGTTTCTTTTCACGCTTTTTTCGACGATTTATTGAGCCTATAGCTTATAAGCTTCTATAGTGTAATAATAAACTGTTGGCTCACTGAAAGAGGCGCTCATTTCTGGCTAGAAGAGTCTCTAGTTCAATTCCTCTACCCGTTTTTGCTGAAAGTCGAAATTTTCATCAAGCTGCAAAATTAGATGTCAGCTCGGCTAAATTCTATTGAAAAGGTCCTGGTTTGATTCTTACACACGATTTTGAAAAAAAAAAGCTCCAAATATACCTCAAAAAAATGATCCGATGTGGTTCGGTCGATAAACGCTTCTTCTTTATCGGGAAACTCTCTGGTTCGATTAATTCCTTTTCTTTCTTCTATAAGGAGACTTCCTGGTTCGATTCCTCTCCTCGCCATTTCCTAGTTTTTTAATCAAAAAGCCAACAAAAGTCGTCCAAAAAGCTTTATCATACAGTATCATGCGCTGAGATCACTTGGTAACTTTTTTCTCTACTGAAATAAATAAAAAGTTAAATATTTATTGAGTCGGTGCCGGGGATAGAGCTTCGACGCCGGGAAGTACTTTTCCTGGAAAATTTTCAGATGCAAGAGGATTAAGCTCGGAAAATTCACCTTCCAAAAGCTCCAAACTCGCTCCACCGCCAGTGGAAATGTGGGAAACTCGGCCGACGGCTCCGAATTTGGCAGCAGCCGTCGCCGTATCGCCACCGCCTCAAAATGAAGATCAAAAAAATCTCAAAAATGGTCAAAAACCGCGAAAAAGGGTGTTTCGAATATATCGAAGAAAGGAAACTTTTGGTCATTTATTTAAAATAGTGACACCTTAAGTGAAGTTTTTTAAGAAGCTTCACTAGTTGAAGTCTTACTTTCAATCAGAAAACTATTTTGAATCCGTGAAATTTTTCCGAATTTCCAGATTAAATCCATGCAATGGGAGTAACCGAAACTATTTCTGAGCCATTCCAAATGCGATTCAGAAAAGACTAAATAAACTGAAAAAAAGCGTTTTCCATTCGGATTCAGGTCCTTCTAAAGTACATTCACACAAAAATCAAAAAATTCTTTAAGACTGTTTTTTTAGGACTTTATTTGTTGACCAGACCAGCATTGGAAACTTTTACTATTTCCCGGCAATCTGATCCATTCCAAATGCGACCAAATAGTTCAGGAAAGACCTAGATACACCGAAAAAAGCTTTTTTTTAATCTGGCTTTTTTTAGGACTCTATTTGTTAACTAGAATCGCATTGGATACTATTAAAGCAAGCTTCTATACTTCTGGACTATCTGAGCCATTCCAAATGCGACCAGATCCTTTGGGAACAGATTCGATAAACCTACCAATGATAGTGATGGGATTAGGCAAAAAAAAAGAAAAGAAACCTTTTTCCATACGGATTCCGGGTCCTTATAAAGTACATTCTTACAGAAAATCCTGAGACTATTTTTTTTAGGACTCCATTTGTTAACTAGACTCGCATCTGTATTTCCCGGCAATCTGATCCATTCCAAATGCGACCAAACCCCTTAGGAACACAACCCACCAATGATACTTATGGCACCCTCCGCAGTCGCCGCCACGACGGCGTCCATCAAAGCTCTGGTTCCATTCGAAAACTGCTCCCATCTGATCAATAACCCGGTCAATTTCAATCAATAAATCGATATTTCAACTCAAAAACGCCGGCAGGTCCGTTCCAAAGGATCGTTTTCGCCTCAGAGATGATGTAGGAAAAGACTTGTCGCGTGTCTGGGCCGATATCGAGGCCCATTTTGCCTAGGAATTCATTTTTATTCAGGGTCAAACTTGGTTTCTCAGCTCATTTTTCATTGATTCAAGCAAAAATAAGAGCATTTTTTGGAATTTTCCTTCAAATCTGACTGACTGAGCTCAGGAGAAGTCAAATTTCCAACATTTCTACTTAGGAACTCCATAGCGGTCCCTAAGGGTCTACCTTAGGAGGCCCTTGAAGGGTTCCTTCTAGGGACCACTTGATCAACCCCAATAGGGGCCACTAACGCTTGCGAAAGTGGTCCCTATAGGGACATTCTGTTCGATGAACTTAAGCGAAGAAGCATTTCCATGGGAAAAACTGGATAAATGAGCGTTTTTGAATGAAGTTGAAGGACCCCTATAGGGTCTACTCGAGCTTTAGGGGTCAGACCCTATGAGGACCCCTTCACCCGTTTAGGGATCACTTTATCGACCACTAGCCCCTATAGGGACGCATCTGGAATTAATAAATATCTCAAAAAAGCCACGAAAGCGTGCAAAAGTAATCCCTCTAGGGGTTATAATTCGTAGACCCTTAAGGGGTTATTCTCTCTTTAACCCCTATAGTGACCCCTCTGGCGTTCCCAAGTAAGCTGACAATGTTTCAAAAAGCAACATTTTCAGCTTTTAACTGTAAAAAATCGATTTTAAAGCTTATTAGAACTCATATTCCCTAGAAACTTTTTCAAAAATTTTTTCTAAAAGACAACAACATTTTTCTAGCCCATTCCCCCTGAAAAAAACGATTAAAAACTCCAGTTTTCCTTCCAATTTCTAAAAAAAACCAAAAAAAAATGTTCACCTGGAGGAACGCCGTAAGATGCAATGATTTCGGTTGCCGGCGTGTTTTCCTCAAACTTTTCGCCGATCACATAATCCACCGGAAAATGGATTTTCTTCCCCTTATACCTCGCATAATTCATTATTTTGTGCACCTTTTTTTGAGCCCTGAAAAACTTTTCATTAATAAGATATGTTAAAAACTTCAAGACAGTTCATTTGCCAATTTTTGAGAAAAAAATCTCGATAAAGGTCTTGACACGATCTTTAAAAATAATTACCAAAAAAACAATGTTTTTCTGTTTCAACCCACACACTTAAAAAAATTTATGTTTCTAATATATTGTTCGTTGAATCTAGGTTTCGACATTTATGATCACTATACGAAGCTCTATGAAATTGGTCGCACTTGGAATGGCTCGACGCGTTGCGGTTATTTACTCTTTTCAGCAACGCTTTGAGCCATTCCAAATGCGACCCAAAGTAATGTAGTGGCCCTTTAAAATTTTCAAACTTTTAGAAGCATTACAAAATTTGTTCTTCTCTGATTTAAAACTTTACTAAGTTTCAAGAGACCACTTAAGAGTATATAACTCGAAGAGGCCCCTTTAGTGAACAATTCCAAGTGATCACTCTAGTTAAAAATCTCTCTTTACTTTCAGGCTCTCAAGAATTTGATAAAAATTGAAACCTCTTCAACTTTACTGAAAAAAATCTGGCACTTTCGCTTCTGTGAAATTTGAAAAGCGGTGAAGTCATTTTAAATCTTTTTTCTTCTATCGCCCTCAAGTGACCACTTGAAAAATCCACACCTCCTCATCGAAAACCGACGCTCCAATTTCCACTTTTCGTAGGATCTTCATGAAAGTGTAGGTCATGCCGCCGCAAATAAGGATTTCGTCGACCTGAAAAGAAAAAAAAATGAATCAATTCTTCAATTTTTCACTTTTCCATTCAAAACTGAGGCAAGATTTAAAGAAAAAAAACGTCTCTCTAAATGTCTGCACTCTCTCATCCCTCCACCGCGTCTCCTTTTCAACTCTGTAAAGTAGATGAGAGAAAGAGAGGGCGCAGACGGTTAGAAGAAACTTTAAATTCATGTACCACATTGATCAAATTCATTATCAATGGAATTTTGTCGGCGACTTTCGCGCCGCCCAAAATCGCTAGAAATGGTCTCGTCGGTTGGTGGAGAGCCTGAAAAATTCAAAGTTTATTGAAAAATGAGAAAAGTTTATCAAATCAACTTCACAAAATATAATGATTTCCAAAAAAGGCTATTAACATGACTTTAAAGTGATGGGTTTTCGTGACCAATTGGAAAAATTTTTAGTGGCCGCTATAGGGTTTTGAAGTTTTAGGGGCCACTATAATAGTCGAATTAATTGCCACTTGAGGGATTAAAAATTAGTGGCCACTATAGAGGTCTGTGCTACTACTAGACCAAAAAAAAATTTGAGTGGCCACTTTAGGGGTCAATGGATCAACATACCTGGTCCAATCTGGTTGTTTCAAAATTATCAGAGTTACTGGAAGGAGTACTGGATGAAAAACTATTGAAGTGGCCGCTAAAACGGAAAATAGTGGCCACTATAGTGTCCTCTGCAAGTATTCCTTGGCGAGCCTCATTAGTGGTCATTAAAAATTTTCTTAGAAATGCAGGAAGAATAACTGAGAAACCCCTAGTAGCAACTTAAGAGGTCCCTCAAGGGCAACCCGGAGTGGCCACTAAAACCATCTCCATATTTTCCAAAGCTATATTTTGCCTTAGTGACCACTACAGTAGTTTTTAGGTGTCTAATAGTACCACTTAGACTTCTAAAAATGCCACTAAACTTCAACCACTTGAGTGGCCACTAATCCGACTACAAAAGTGGCCACTAACAAATTAAAACCTTCAGAAAAATACTAAAATTTTTCTCAAAATCAAATATTTCCACGAAAAATTAAAACAAAACGTTACCCTTCCAAAATAGGCGAGTTCATTTTTTTCATGAGAAATCCGCACGCCCGCTGTTCGTGATTGATTCCAACCATTGAGCTGAATCATTTCCATTACAAAAAAATTTTTAAATTATGAAATTCCCTCCTTGGTTTCAGAGAAAAAATTTATTGGCTTTTTTTCAAAAGGGCAAATATTCTATTATATTTTTTTCTGGTTCTGCTTCGAAAAAAACGGGTTCTGATTCGAAATGCGGAGAATTACGGGATGGAAAAAAATTTCAAAATGATAAACTTTGATGATTTTGTCGTTTACTAACAAAATTTTGAATAAATTTATTTTTTCTGATATGAAATTGTCAAGTTTCATATTCAACATCGCTTCGAATAAGTTGGGAAAAATCTAGAAAAAAACTAGAATTTTTCTGTGAATTTTTTTGAGCAGATATCGAAACTCCAAGCTTTTTTTAAATCATGCTTTTCGCTACCAACCTGAAATGTAAGTACAAAACTGGAAAAAAACTAAAAATCAATGAAAAAAATCTTTAAAAAAACATCGTAAAAAAATTAAAACCGATCTAATTTTTAGTCATCATTTTTTTTTTTTTTTGAATTCAGAATTCAACCTATCAGATCCTTTATCATCATTTTTAAATTGGGAAATAGAACTATACTAACTTTTTTTATTCGAACAAAAATGGTTTCGAATCGAAAATTTTGAAAAAAATATATATAATCAAGTTTTTTTCATACGTATTTTTTTATTTCTAAATTCAAAAATTAGTTCTAAAAAAACAACACGCATTTTTTTCGTCGTTTTTTTCAAGTAAAAAGATCCTTTCAAAAAAATCGATTTCTGCAGAAAATTTTGGGTGACTCTGATTTCTGTAAAAAAATCCGTGGAACCACTTTTCAAGATGTTCACCAAGTTTGTTGTCCAAATGAAACAGTGAACATGTTGAAAATAATTTTTTTTGAAAAAAAGAGAACCTATGGGCTCGATGGGCGGTTCCAAAGGCGTCGTTGACGAAAACGTCGCCCAGTTTGGTCAACGATTCGCGGAATTTCTCAGTCTCTTCTTTGGTGGCATTTATCTTAACGAAAAAAAGAACATAGAGCGGTCAAATATTAGATTGGAACATTTTATCGTAATTTTCACCTGAAAAATGAATATATATGAAAAAAAAAATTCTTTGAAGACTGAAAAAACTAGTTAATTTGTAATTATACACCGATTGCAACAAAATTTCGCACCAAACCTGGAAAATTTTCATTTTCCCACCCAAAAATCACCTTTTCTCGTTTCTCATTCTCGCCTTTTCCTTCTTCCTCGACGTGAAATCGCAGATTCTCCAAAAGAATTACAGTTCCATCATCTGGGGCTGAACAGACTTGTTCGACTTCTGGACCCACACAATCCGTTAAGAATGTCACTTTTCTGAAAAAAATATTCATAGAAAATGATTAAACCTTTGAATACTATGCAATATACAAAAAAAAATATATAGTTCGGCTCAAAAATTTTGCGAGAAGTTACTAAATTTAAAGCTTATTAAATGAATGCTTAGGGTATTTTTCAATAACTTCTTGTCATTATAAACTTAAAAAAACTCACTAAAAAAACCTGCCCTAAAATTGAATACTTGAATCATTATTTCAAAATAATTTCAAATATACAAATATAGATAAAAATAAGTTTTTTTGAAAACCAAAAAAATAAAATTTTGTCTATTTCTATCTCTATTGAAATCAAACTAGGGTTACATTATTGAAGTTTTATTTGAATATATTTTTTTAAAACAAAAAAATGTTTTAAGAACAAGCTAATTTTTGTTCCTAAATAAATATAAAAGTTTTTTTCCATAAATATAAAAAAATAGGCAAATTTTAACTTTGAAAAACGTGCCTTTTTGTATCATAACAAGATTTAAAAATCACTTTTTCGCCGTTATAAAACAACAAAAAAATTTTTAAAAAAATACGTAAAAAAATGTTTTTGCAATCGATAATATACGAAAAAAAGGCCCCAGAAACAGCAGGAGAAAAAAAATTTTATAATACAAATTTTGTTCACAGAACCGGTTTTCATAAAAGTCCAAAAAAAAAAGTTTTCCTTCATTTTCAATTTTTCTCCAACCAACCTTTCGAGCAACCTCTCCAATTCGGCCGCAACCGGCTTCAAAGTGTATTTTTCCTGTTTTCGACCGTCCGGACGGCCCAAATGAGACATCAAAACCACGGATTTCGCTCCGTTATTCAGAGCATGCTAAACAATGTCACAAACTCGTGAAATTGAGTTTTATGTCAACACCTGAATACTCGGCAAGGCGGCCGTAATTCTTTGATTACTCTCGATAATCCCATTTTTCATGGGGACATTGAAATCCACACGCATGAGAACTCGTTTTCCATTGACAGCCAACTGGAAAAAAAAATGAAACAAAGATTCCAGCAAGAAAAAATAATCAGTTTAATCATTTTAAAAAAAATCACAGCATCAAATAAAAGAAAATAAAAATAACCTGGTCCAAAGAAAGCTTGTTGAGGGAAGCCATCTCAACAGAACCACTGAAAATTTATTGAAATGAGTTTAATCTTCCGCTTTTAAATCACGTGAACTTTCTCGATTCAAAAAATGTCTTGAAAAGTTGCTTTGATAAAATACAAACAACTGAAAGCTCACAGCGGAATGTCCTTTTTCGTTCCAATTTTCAAAAAAATTTCTTTAAAAAAATTATTTACTTTACATAAAAATAATCTACCGGCTGATAACACGAGCAAACAAAAGGTTGTAAAAAAATGAGAAAAAAATGGATTTAAAGGGAAATTTGACGGAAATTGAGAAGAATTGAAGAGATAGAGCGATTATTAAAAAAAGCTGATTAAGGAAATACAAATTTCGTGTTCAAAGTAATTTCCGCGAAATGCAAAATGATCTCTGACTCTCCAAAATTAAGTGATCTTTTCCTTTCTCTAACGGGTATTTTGCATTTCGCGGAAATTACTTTGAACACGGCAGAAGGAAACAGGAAAAATCAAATCAAAAACGGAGAAATCGAAGAAAAGTTGGAACAAGGCGAAAATATTTTCTGGCGCGAAATTTGCTTTTTTCAAAATTTGATCTGTTTCAGGGCCGCATTTCTGGGAATTTCCTGATTTCGAGCTTTGAAATTTAAAAAAAGAGTTTTATAATATCGAGCTTCAAGAAGAAAAATTCAGCAAAGTGAAAAATTATATTATCTTCTTATCACAAGCAAAAAAATAGATTTAGAAGCAGAGAATCTCGTAGTTCACAACAAATGGGTCAAATTTCACAGAATTTTCGAGAAATCAAGCGGATTCAGCAGCGCTTTTTGATAGCGTTATCAAGAGCTTGTCGGATTTTCGTGATGGCTTCTTTTTGGCACGGCGCCTTGATTATTCCGGTTCCAGAGACTACTGCGTTGGCTCCGGCTTTGGCGGCAATCTTCAAAAATTTTATTTTTTTCTCAGAGAATGTTTCTTTACTCTTGTTATTTTTGAGTTGTTAGGGATAATCTTGGCGAATTGAATTCAAGAAAAACGTGAAAAATTGAAAAAAATTATTGAGGAATTTTCGAATACAGCCGCTCATGTAGTAAATTGATTTGAAGAAAAACTTTGAAAAATTGAAAAAAAGAACTAAAATCAAAGAATTTATCATACACAGCTGCTTTACTTCGCTAGACGGCTAAATTTTTGATACAGGAAAATACCGTAACCTCAGCTATTTTTAGAAGCGGTCTCGAAGCGAATTCTGGTTGATTAGGTACACGGTCTTGAAAAATCAGAATTTTTGGAAATTCCCCACAGAATTGGCTAGGCAATGAATTCTGCACTGTAACTTTTCTCAAACTCAAAAAAATACCGTAACCCCAGATTATTTTGCGCTTTCGCTTCGAGAGACGCTTCAAAGAACTGTTTCTCAGAGCAAAATTAAATAAATCCTGTAACTCAACCAAAAAAACGGGGTAACTCAATGTCATATGACTTACAAATTATCTCAAAGCCCTCAACGATTTTTTTTTTCGCGGCAACTTTGTAAAGTCGCTACGCAACGGTTGCTATGCTGTTACAAGGCGACGAGAAAAAAAAATCTGGTTTTTTTCAAACCTAATTTTGAGCATTCAAAACAAGTTAATAATAATAATACTTGATCAAAAAAAAGGTTGAAAGTAGTGGAATTTCAAAAAAAAAAACCTCAATATTATCCGGGGTGATCCCGCCGTCCACTTGAACATTGAGATTCGGGAATTTAGAACGCAGACTTTTCACCTAAAATTTCTTTCTTCAAAAATATTTTAACACAAAAAAACCTTATCCATCTGATTTTCCATGAATTTTTGGCCTCCGAAACCCGGCTCAACGGTCATTATCAACGCATTGTCAAGCATCGGGGCGAATCTTTAAATTTATTTTTCGATTTTTCATTAATTAAAAACCAACCGAACTATATGATCAACAGAAGTGTTGGGTTTCACCGACATTCCAGCCTTCATTCCAAGTTTTTGGGCCTTCAAATATTATATAGTTCAAGGCGCAGAGCTGAATGGTCTTGAGGAGAAAAAATCGAAACTTCCGAAAGCCAAAAAAATCACGTTTTTTGATGAACTGGTCCTGGCACGATTACAGAAGGGTTTTTACAGTAAGGTGACATTTTCTGTGACAAGTCAATATAATTCAGTTTTCCTCTTACTTTTTTTTTCACAACACTCAAGTCTCAAATGAGATCATCAAAAATGACGAGCTTGATTTCATTTTGAGCAAAAAGAGAAACCGGAAAATGTTGTAATCTGATCTAAGCTTTTTTTTAAAAATTTTCCTACAACTTTCCTTCAATTTTCTGATGAAGAACCCACCAAAAGGATGATTTCCCTGACAGATTCATCACCACCCCGTTCCGAAGCCGCTTCATAATGGAAGGTGAACTGCGAGGCGCCGGCCTTTGCCATCGGCTCCACCCAAAACATCGGGTTCGCCACCTCAAAATAGGTATTTTCACAGAAAATTTTCCCAAACGTCAATTTATGTGTTTTTCATGTTATTTACAGTTAAGAAATATCAAATTTGTCCTTAAAAACTAAGAGTTTAAGTCAATTTTTGTGTTTTCAATAATCATTCCGGTTAAGAATCCAAATTTGGGTCATCTTAGACCTTCATGGTCCAAAAAAATCCTTATTTCTATTTTTTTCGTCCAGTTACTAATTTTTTTAATTTTCCACTTGGTCCAAAGATATAGACCCGTTTTTGAAAGCGAAAAAAAGTTTTTTTCACAAAAGAAGGCAGCCTGACGCGGGATTGGCTATAGAAAAGCATCCGAATAAACAGATTAATCTTTGAAAACTTAATTTCTATTCCTAGAGGGGCAAACTTAGGCTCCCATGAAGGATTCTGGGGATCATTTTTCCACCCCTAAAGTGGCCACTCTGGCGTTTCGATAACCGACTCACGGCTGGCTCGGGACGCTGGGCGTGACCTGTCTGCGCTCTCCACCAACCAGACACTATTTCTTTTCTTTTTCGTTTCAGGACCCATTTTTCGAAAGCTCAAGCCAGTCGTGAACCAGCTATAAGTGCTAGTAATGATAGCAAACGAAATGGCTTTTCAAGTGACTATTTTCAAATTCCAACTTTCCAATAAGATTCTTCGGAGGAATATCGACAAACCATGAGATGAACGTCGAAAAAAGGCTCTTTCCCGAGAGATTTTCTCAAAGATTCGACGACGGGATGGCCAAAGGTCAAGTTGGGCACGAAATGGCCGTCCATCACGTCCAGATGTAGCCTGAAACGGTTCCTTGCTTCTATATTCTGTTCAGATTTTGAATGTCAAGTGCAATGACGTCATTCAAAAACGCTCTCTGATTGGTTTATCCCACCATTAGGGGCGGAGCTTGAGCGACGAACTTCATTGAAACGGGAAAATCGGATGGAACTTGTTGGAAGTTTATTTTGATATATCAAGTTCACAAAATCTTAACCAAGCCAATTTACAGTTTCAGAGAAGCAACTTGTGAAATTTGATGACAATGAAAAAAAAGGCTATTTTGATATTTTTACTTTTTCCTTCCTTTTGTGACAGGACGCTAGTTGACCTGACCTCAATGCCATATGTACTATCATGTAGGCGTGCCAATGGCACGCCGCCTACTTGTATTGTCACTCTTGCGCTCAGCACGCATACCAACTGGCGGTGCTGAGTTGCTCTAATAAAGATCCAAGAGCAATGTCGGTTCTACACACATCTAAATAACACGTCAAGGCCCGGTGAAGCCTTGCGCGGTTATACTTTTCTTAGTAAATTATGAGTTTTACAGGTTCAAACTTGAACAATCTTCAACTGGTAAGTCAAGAAATTCAGAAAATAATTCATTTAAAAAAAATTGAATAAATAAACTTTTTCTAGCGTAACAGAAAACATTATCCGTGTAAAAGCGCATTTTTCCCTATCAAAAATCCGAATGAACAAATTTTCTTGAGTCGATAAATCCAAAAGTTCGTTTATTTCTTATTTTTCCCATTTTTTTTTTAATAATCAGTTTTCTCTTCACGGCGTTTTTTGGCGATGGTCCGCCCATATTTTTGCGTATGTAGTGTGTCATGTGCATGCACCTCGGCGCTCTCGCACATTTCACGTTAAAAAAATATTTTTTTCATGTAATTATACATTTTTATCTCACTTAAATGCAGTTATATTTTTCACTCTCTGGTGGCTATTCTGAAATTCGCGGAATTACTTTTTAAAGATCTTTAAAAAAAGCTCAACAAATTCAAACAAAAAAATAATAAAATGCAACTTGAATTTTTCGAAGTTGAAGTTTGTTTTTTTCTGGATAAATGTCTTCAAAACGAACCAATCAGCGCCGGCGGCTAGCAATTTCTTGCATTCCGAGGCCAAAGAAGCCAAATCGGCATTCAGAATCGATGGGCAGACAATCGAGCGAATTGTCATTTTTTTCTTAATTCTGAAACTTCCTAAACTATATTCGACAGAAGAGGGATTTTATCAATTTCATTCGATCAAAAAATTAGATTTTTCCTATAAACCTGTCGAAAAATGAACAAAGAATGGCTTCAAACCCACAAAATCACTCCAAAACATGTTAAATCATAGAAAAATTTATCATTCCACCCAATAAAATGTCCGTAATCAACTATACATAGTGAGTATACAAGCAAATACAAATCTAAATGAAAAAAAAATCGAATTATCACAGGAATCGAGTTTTCTCAGCCGAAAACACTTTTAAAACACTGAAAATCAGGTTTTTCCCACCATTTTGCGGTAAACAAATTTGTTCAAAACACACGTTTCAAATCGAGCAAAAACGCAAACAAAATCGAATACTGATAAAAAAGAATCAAGTAAATATTTCTTATCAGTTTCTAGGATGATAGATGAGGCACGGAAAAAGGGGCGGGGCTTGGTTGAATCCAATTGGTTGAATTTAAGGTTCGCCCATTTTTGCAGGATTCAAAGCTTATCAAAAGGTAGAAAAAAACCAAAGTATTTTTCTCTTTTAAAAATAAAAATAAACCCAAGGGTTTACCTATTAAAAAGTGGGCGTGGCTCACAAAACTAACTTCTTGGCTCCGCCCATTTTGTCGCGGCCAAAATTTCAGTATATTTTTCGACTAAAAATCGGAAGAACGAAAGAAAATCAAAAAAAAAACTTGACGAGACACCCAGAAAAAAACCCTTCTGTGAAACACAAAAAGCAAGAAACTCGAGGAAAATGAAGAGGATCGGTACAAAAAAAGATGATGTTCAATGAATGATGTAGAAGATGGTGAAGATGAGGCAAGCGGAGATGACGGCGGCCAGAACGACCGTATTTTTGCGCTTTTTCGACTGTATCCGCTGCATCAGGCCGTTCAGGGCCGGGTATTTCTCTGGAAAAAGTCTTGATTTTCGAAAAAATCTGACTTCTTTTGTAAAAATTGAAAAAACGCTGTTGTTTCTCTTTGGAAACTTGTTAAAAATTCAAAAATTGTCAGAGCCTTTCTAAAGTTTCGATCTGATTTCTGAGACCCGACCTCGTAGTTATCTACATTTCAAGCGTTCAAAAAAAAAAGAATTCAAAACTCTCTTCTTAAAGCTAGAGACTGAAGAAAATGAGAGCGTCCAGCAAAGATTTGCAAAAGTCAGTTTTCTCTATCTCTCCATGTTTTCTACGCTCTCTTGTCAGGAAAGAGATATCTTTCCATCAAAATCAATAGAAAAGAGAGTCAAAAAATACTGAAAAATTCTCTTTTTTCTCAATTGTGAGAAAAAAAAAGTGAAAGTTTTTTTTCTGGGTTTTTTCCTACAAAGTCCATCCCTATTTTCTACAGTTTTCCCGGTTTTCAAGCCTTGAGACACCTGTGACTACCTTAGAACGTCATTCAAAACCGAAAATGAATAAAATCAAGCCTCGAAAAGTTTATCAGGATTTAAAAAAAAGCTGATAAAAAGAATCTTCTTTTCAAAATTTTATTTCAAAATCACCAAAATACACTAAATAATTTTGGGACATTTAAATACCCAATAAAGCCGAAAAACGAACTAGCAATGGTCTGCATTCTGGAGCCGATGCCTCTCAAGTTGATCCCTTGGCGGGCCAAGTTCTCCTTGGTGCTCAAAGCGATGCTCATTTGCTCGTCGAGCAGTCGATCGCACGAGGAAATGTGGTCGTGCTCCTAGGAGAGTCAAATAACTATATCCCAAAGCAAAATCGGAGGGACTTTTTCAGAATCCTAAAGATGAATTCAAGGGCAAAGTCGAAGTGACTTTTAAAGGATCTTGAGCGAATCCTTCAAAAAAAAATATCAAAAGGTGATGTTAAGGTTTTTTAAAAAATATTATTCACGGGAAAAATCAAAGCGATCTTTGAAAAAATCTCGAAAAAAAAATCTTGAGCCCCTGAAAATGTTTCTTCTGAGCGTCTTTTTAAGTAAAAGAGATCTTTTTTTTTCGAGTTTAAGTCCACCTTTTCTGAAGATCATCTTCTAGGAACTACCAATTTTTCAATGCTTCGAAAGGTAACAATTCATGGAAAGCGCTAAAAAAGGTCTTTTTCAAAAAGTTCTTTTTAAAAGTATTTTTTTGGGGGTTTCCTCACTGTCCTTAAACTATATCGAATAACCATTTTAAGATTTTTTTCAAAAATCTCCAAGATAAAAACCAAACCTTGGCATACATATCATATCCCTTGGCCCGATTATTCAAACAAACGCCGTCCTTACTGCTGTTTCCACCGCTGAGCAGAAGTTCCCTAAAAACCATGAATAAATAATATTCCGCAGAAAACTTTTAACAACTTCGATGGAGAAAAATATAAACCCATTTTTTTAAAATTTTTTTTCCAACTAGAAAGGGTTGAAGATCGATTACAAACTTCGTCGACTAGAATGATCGAATTTTTTTTTGAAAACACGAAAATTTCTAATCATTTTTTGTGAGATGAGAGTGGAATCCGTGATTTTAATTGTAAATATTCACAAAAACCGAATATTTGGGGCGGGAAATTCCCAAAAATTCTTGTTCAAGAACAAAAACTTCCGTTGCTCTCTTCATTAAATAAATTTTTTGAAATGTTGAATTCCCTATGTTTTTTGTAACCGTAAAAAATGCTAATCTTTTCTGTGAGATGAGAGACAAATCAATAAACTTACATGAATTCATCATTTTGCTCTAATTTTATATGATGAATGAAATAGTACTCCATGAAGGGGTGAATTTTGAGTGGTCCCTATAGGAGTCGAGAGTCTAAGACCCTAAAACTCAAGTGGTCCCTATAGGAGTCGAGAGTCTAAGCCCCTAAAACTCAAGTGGTCCCTATAGGAGTCGAGAGTCTAAGACCCCTAAAAACTCAAGTGGTCCCTATAGGAGTCGAGAGTCTAAGCCCCTAAAAACTAAAGTGGTCCCTATAGGGGTCGAGAGTCTAGCCCCTAAAAACTCAAAGTGGTCCCTATAGGAGTCGAGAGTCTAAGCCCCTAAAAACTCAAGTGGTCCCTATAGGAGTCGAGAGTCTAAGCCCCTAAAAACTCAAAGTGGTCCCTATAGGGGTCGAGAGTCTAGCCCCTAAAACTCAAGTGGTCCCTATAGGAGTCGAGAGTCTAAGCCCCTAAAACTAAAGTGGTCCCTATAGGAGTCGAGAGTCTAAGCCCCTAAAACTAAAGTGGTCCCTATAGGGGTCGAGAGTCTAAGCCCCTAAAACTAAAGTGGTCCCTATAGGGGTCGAGAGTCTAAGCCCCTAAAACTAAAGTGGTCCCTATAGGAGTCGAGAGTCTAAGCCCCTAAAACTAAAGTGGTCCCTATAGGAGTCGAGAGTCTAAGCCCCTAAAAACTAAAGTGGTCCCTATAGGGAGTCGAGAGTCTAAGCCCCTAAAACTCAAAGTGGTCCCTATAGGAGTCGAGAGTCTAAGCCCCTAAAACTCAAAGTGGTCCCTATAGGAGTCGAGAGTCTAAGCCCCTAAAACTAAAGTGGTCCCTATAGGGAGTCGAGAGTCTAAGCCCCTAAAAACTCAAAGTGGTCCCTATAGGAGTCGAGAGTCTAAGCCCCTAAAACTCAAGTGGTCCCTATAGGAGTCGAGAGTCTAAGCCCCTAAAACTCAAGTGGTCCCTATAGGAGTCGAGAGTCTAAGCCCCTAAAACTCAAAGTGGTCCCTATAGGAGTCGAGAGTCTAAGCCCCTAAAACTCAAGTGGTCCCTATAGGAGTCGAGAGTCTAAGCCCCTAAAACTCAAAGTGGTCCCTATAGGAGTCGAGAGTCTAAGCCCCTAAAACTAAAGTGGTCCCTATAGGAGTCGAGAGTCTAAGCCCCTAAAACTAAAGTGGTCCCTATAGGAGTCGAGAGTCTAAGCCCCTAAAACTAAAGTGGTCCCTATAGGAGTCGAGAGTCTAAGCCCCTAAAAACTAAAGTGGTCCCTATAGGAGTCGAGAGTCTAAGCCCCTAAAAACTAAAGTGGTCCCTATAGGAGTCGAGAGTCTAAGCCCCTAAAACTCAAAGTGGTCCCTATAGGAGTCGAGAGTCTAAGCCCCTAAAAACTAAAGTGGTCCCTATAGGAGTCGAGAGTCTAAGCCCCTAAAACTCAAGTGGTCCCTATAGGAGTCGAGAGTCTAAGCCCCTAAAAACTAAAGTGGTCCCTATAGGAGTCGAGAGTCTAAGCCCCTAAAAACTAAAGTGGTCCCTATAGGAGTCGAGAGTCTAAGCCCCTAAAAACTAAAGTGGTCCCTATAGGAGTCGAGAGTCTAAGCCCCTAAAAACTAAAGTGGTCCCTATAGGAGTCGAGAGTCTAAGCCCCTAAAAACTAAAGTGGTCCCTATAGGAGTCGAGAGTCTAAGCCCCTAAAAACTAAAGTGGTCCCTATAGGAGTCGAGAGTCTAAGCCCCTAAAACTAAAGTGGTCCCTATAGGAGTCGAGAGTCTAAGCCCCTAAAACTAAAGTGGTCCCTATAGGAGTCGAGAGTCTAAGCCCCTAAAACTAAAGTGGTCCCTATAGGAGTCGAGAGTCTAAGCCCCTAAAACTAAAGTGGTCCCTATAGGAGTCGAGAGTCTAAGCCCCTAAAACTCAAAGTGGTCCCTATAGGAGTCGAGAGTCTAAGCCCCTAAAAACTCAAAGTGGTCCCTATAGGAGTCGAGAGTCTAAGCCCCTAAAAACTCAAGTGGTCCCTATAGGAGTCGAGAGTCTAAGCCCCTAAAACTCAAAGTGGTCCCTATAGGAGTCGAGAGTCTAAGCCCCTAAAAACTAAAGTGGTCCCTATAGGAGTCGAGAGTCTAAGCCCCTAAAAACTCAAGTGGTCCCTATAGGAGTCGAGAGTCTAAGCCCCTAAAACTAAAGTGGTCCCTATAGGAGTCGAGAGTCTAAGCCCCTAAAAACTCAAAGTGGTCCCTATAGGGAGTCGAGAGTCTAAGCCCCTAAAACTAAAGTGGTCCCTATAGGAGTCGAGAGTCTAAGCCCCTAAAACTAAAGTGGTCCCTATAGGAGTCGAGAGTCTAAGCCCCTAAAACTCAAGTGGTCCCTATAGGAGTCGAGAGTCTAAGCCCCTAAAACTAAAGTGGTCCCTATAGGAGTCGAGAGTCTAAGCCCCTAAAAACTCAAGTGGTCCCTATAGGAGTCGAGAGTCTAAGCCCCTAAAAACTCAAAGTGGTCCCTATAGGAGTCGAGAGTCTAAGCCCCTAAAAACTAAAGTGGTCCCTATAGGAGTCGAGAGTCTAAGCCCCTAAAAACTCAAAGTGGTCCCTATAGGAGTCGAGAGTCTAAGCCCCTAAAAACTCAAAGTGGTCCCTATAGGAGTCGAGAGTCTAAGCCCCTAAAACTAAAGTGGTCCCTATAGGAGTCGAGAGTCTAAGCCCCTAAAACTAAAGTGGTCCCTATAGGAGTCGAGAGTCTAAGCCCCTAAAAACTCAAAGTGGTCCCTATAGGAGTCGAGAGTCTAAGCCCCTAAAACTCAAAGTTGTCCCTATAGGAGTCGAGAGTCTAAGCCCCTAAAACTAAAGTGGTCCCTATAGGAGTCGAGAGTCTAAGCCCCTAAAACTAAAGTGGTCCCTATAGGAGTCGAGAGTCTAAGCCCCTAAAACTCAAGTGGTCCCTATAGGAGTCGAGAGTCTAAGCCCCTAAAACTAAAGTGGTCCCTATAGGAGTCGAGAGTCTAAGCCCCTAAAAACTAAAGTGGTCTCTATAGGAGTCGAGAGTCTAAGCCCCTAAAAACTCAAAGTGGTCCCTATAGGAGTCGAGAGTCTAAGCCCCTAAAAACTCAAAGTGGTCCCTATAGGAGTCGAGAGTCTAAGCCCCTAAAACTAAAGTGGTCCCTATAGGAGTCGAGAGTCTAAGCCCCTAAAACTCAAAGTGGTCCCTATAGGAGTCGAGAGTCTAAGCCCCTAAAACTCAAAGTGGTCCCTATAGGAGTCGAGAGTCTAAGCCCCTAAAACTAAAGTGGTCCCTATAGGAGTCGAGAGTCTAAGCCCCTAAAACTAAAGTGGTCCCTATAGGAGTCGAGAGTCTAAGCCCCTAAAACTAAAGTGGTCCCTATAGGAGTCGAGAGTCTAAGCCCCTAAAACTAAAGTGGTCCCTATAGGAGTCGAGAGTCTAAGCCCCTAAAAACTCAAAGTGGTCCCTATAGGAGTCGAGAGTCTAAGCCCCTAAAACTCAAAGTGGTCCCTATAGGAGTCGAGAGTCTAAGCCCCTAAAACTCAAAGTGGTCCCTATAGGAGTCGAGAGTCTAAGACCCCTAAAACTAAAGTGGTCTCTATAGGAGTCGAGAGTCTAAGCCCCTAAAAACTAAAGTGGTCCCTATAGGAGTCGAGAGTCTAAGCCCCTAAAAACTCAAGTGGTCCCTATAGGAGTCGAGAGTCTAAGACCCCTAAAAACTAAAGTGGTCTCTATAGGAGTCGAGAGTCTAAGCCCCTAAAACTAAAGTGGTCCCTATAGGAGTCGAGAGTCTAAGCCCCTAAAAACTCAAGTGGTCCCTATAGGAGTCGAGAGTCTAAGACCCTAAAACTAAAGTGGTCTCTATAGGAGTCGAGAGTCTAAGCCCCTAAAACTAAAGTGGTCCCTATAGGAGTCGAGAGTCTAAGCCCCTAAAACTCAAGTGGTCCCTATAGGAGTCGAGAGTCTAAGCCCCTAAAACTCAAGTGGTCCCTATAGGAGTCGAGAGTCTAAGCCCCTAAAACTCAAGTGGTCCCTATAGGAGTCGAGAGTCTAAGACCCTAAAACTAAAGTGGTCTCTATAGGAGTCGAGAGTCTAAGCCCCTAAAACTAAAGTGGTCCCTATAGGAGTCGAGAGTCTAAGCCCCTAAAACTCAAAGTGGTCCCTATAGGAGTCGAGAGTCTAAGACCCTAAAACTAAAGTGGTCTCTATAGGAGTCGAGAGTCTAAGCCCCTAAAACTAAAGTGGTCCCTATAGGAGTCGAGAGTCTAAGCCCCTAAAACTCAAGTGGTCCCTATAGGAGTCGAGAGTCTAAGACCCTAAAACTAAAGTGGTCTCTATAGGAGTCGAGAGTCTAAGCCCCTAAAACTAAAGTGGTCCCTATAGGAGTCGAGAGTCTAAGCCCCTAAAACTCAAGTGGTCCCTATAGGAGTCGAGAGTCTAAGCCCCTAAAACTCAAGTGGTCCCTATAGGAGTCGAGAGTCTAAGCCCCTAAAACTCAAGTGGTCCCTATAGGGGTCTTTTAAACTTTTGTTCTGAACTGAAAGGTAAAGAGACTTCATTATTGGAATTTCATCGATCTGCTCGACTACTACCATGACTGCCTAAAGTGGCCTGCAAGCTTCAGTGCTTCCTATAGGAGATGAAGTAGTCCCTTGAGGGTAACCTAAAAAGCCTCCAAGTGACCACTATGGCGTTCCTTAATTTCAAAGATTTCCCCGTACCTCTGCAAGACCTGGTCGACGTTATCCCTGGCTCTTCGGAACTCGCTACCGTAATCCCTGAGGATTTCCCGATGGCGGCGTACTGTATGTTGGATGGCGGGATTCGAGGCCCAACTGGCCGATGATTGGGCTCCCACAACCTCCGTCATCTGTTTCGGAGTTATTTTCGTGCATTTGTTCGAGAAAACCTCATCATTGATGCCGTTCAACTGGCCGATCAGTCCTTCAATATCGTTGGTCAGGGTTTGGAACATAGCCTGACGCGAGGAAACCGTTTTTTCATCGATATCAAAGCCCCCTGAAAAATTTTTTTCAACTCAAAAAAGAATATCTTTTGAAAAAAATCAAAAAGGCCGCAAATTTTCTAACGAAGACTTTTTCTCAGAGCTTATCCTGGCTAAAAAATTTTTTATTGTTTGTCATTGTGTCAAAAAAAGGATTGTCATAAGAAATTCTCAAGAAAATCTAATAAAGACTTTTTCTTGTAACATCGTCCTCATTACAAAACTTTTTGAAATGTACCAGAAATAAATCTGGAAAAAAATTCCTTAATGAAACGTCAAACAAGGGAAAACTTTTGCTGTTGGAAAAAAAGAAGCATCGAGTCGTTACAGGATTATTTAAGTTATAAAAAAACGACAGAAACAGGAAACTCATTTGAAAAAAATTTTTCTTAAATTAAAAATTTTTAATTCATTTATTTTCTGATATTGCCTGGAAAAACATTTTTTTCCGGTTTATTTTTTTCGAAATTCAAATTAATAAAAGCTCACATAAGTCACCTATAAAAAAATTGAAAAAAACAGCAAATTCTTCGAAAAAAATTCAATTCAACCAATATTTTAATCACTCCGGTTTTCACTGAAAAAGCACTCTTACTTTTATTATTTTTTCTCTCTTTTAACACAAAAACTGTTTGAAATTGATTGGGCAAAAAATTAGCGCAAAACGAACCATGAGAACTGGCGGTCAACTTGTTCAACGAGACCAACTTCACGTCGATGCTGTTTTCCGCGCTTCTCGCCTTTTTTCGCAACGCTAAATATGCACATGGATCTTAAAAATCTAAAAAACGTCATTTCCGAGATTTTTTGCAATTTTTTTTCCAGGAATACAGTATAATGATTCATTTGAGAAAAATTAACAAAAACCGTTTCAAACTGTCCCAAAAAAACTATTTTTTTAACCTTTAATTACATTTTTTTGCACGGAATTTCGCTTTGGGACCTTTATAAAAACTCGTCCATGCTCCTTTAACTTATAAATGGTTTTTACAAATAAATTTAAAAAAAGAGTTGAAAATAATTCACACAGAGACTTCAACATATGAAAATGAGGGTACTGTGTGAATACATTAAATTATCATCATCCAAAAACAAATTTTCATGTATATATTTTTTTTTATCTTCCATATGAAACTGGAAGTCAACTATTTATTTTTTCAAAAATTGAAACAAAGTGATTTTTTTAAAATGCAATTTTGAAATGTATATACATTCCTATTTCAAACAGGTATAATACTAAAAAATCCCTTTTTCCTTTATTCTAAAAACTCAACAATTTCAGAAATTTTGACAAGAAAAGGGTTAATTTGTATAATAATAGGTCCTGTCAAAATGTTCCTAAAGTTCAAAAAAATTCAGAATTTTCGAATTCTTAAGAAATCAAAAAAAAGAAACCTTCCCACACATCCGCCATTCCACGTAGAAAGCTACTCGATTTGGTTGATTTTCTAACTCAAAAAAAAATCCTTTTTCTTTCTTCAAGAAAAGTTTCAAAAGTATGAAAAAAGCGCTATATTACGCTTTATAAAAACAGAAAAAATAATTGAAATTAATAGATTTATAACCAGTTGAAAACAAGTATTAGAACAAACGGAATGGAGAAAAAATCTTGGAACCCGGTTAATCATTAAAAAAATAGAAGGAGTTTTAAAAAGTTCAAGTAGATCCAATAAAAAAATATGCCACAGAAAGAAAAAAATCAATTTTTTTGCTTGATTTTTATTCCGCATCGATTCCGTCAACCTCTTCGAGTACCTGGAAAATAAAAATTATTATCTGAGTGAAAAAAAAAATTCTACTGAAAAATGGAAAAGTTTTGAAAAAAACTCTTATTTATAAATTCATTTTCCTTCTTTTTGTAATTTGCCCTATGAAATTTCGAAAATTCGTAATTTATTCAACTAACTAGGGAACTACTCGGACTCTGGTACGCGGATCAAGTTCAAACTTTAGTGGTTTATAGACCCGTCAGAGAACTTGAAAACAAGAGAGAATATCTGCTAAACCTCATAGAGAACTGAGAAAAAATTTGTAGAAAATGTGAAAATTAGGCTTGAAATTTTTCAGAATACTGCTTTTTACCTTGTTTAATATTTTAATAAAATCGCCTTGAATGATCCGGCTATTATAAACACTAAAAAACTTTTTCCCAGCCAAAAGAAGGAGAAAAGCAAATATTTGATAATTTTCAAGCCTCAACTCTACGATAAAAAAAAGTTTTTTCTCGGTACCTCATTTGGTGGTGAAAAATCGATATGAAAAATCGGAGAAGTCGGCCTTCGAAAATTCACTGACTTTTTTTTTTCTCATACCACCGTAATTGAATAATGGCTATCATTTTTTGCCAAACAAGTCATACTCTGTTTTTTAAAATATAGAACGAATACGTTTTGGGGCAAATCAACAGAAAAAAAGCAAGATTATGTACTTTTTAGAGCTAAAAAAACTCGAAAAAAAGAGGAAGTTATTTTTTTAAATTTCTTTTTTTCCGACTTTTAGTCAAAAAAATTCCTATTTTTTTCATTCACTCATGCCAAAGTATTTTTTTCAAATTTCTTACAGTAATTTTTTTATTACCATAGATATCACAAAAAAACCTTTTTATTCATTATTTTTTTGCTGACGTACTAAAAAGTTTTCAAAAACTCGGTAGACATACGTTTCTGGATGCTTTTATCAGCGTTTGAAACTACTTTTGATCGATTAAATCGCCGGACGTACTCCAAAAAAATAAAAAAATGTAAACTAGTTTGATCTCAAAAAAAGATGGTACTTTCTTTGTATTATGGAGCCATTTTGACCCAAATTGGATGAAAAAAATAAATTTTTTTCTCTCATAAGTCATGAATATTAATCGATTATTCGAAAAATAATTTATGAATTGAAGGAATTTTGGCGCTAAGTTACAAAAAAAGCACGAATATGCACTTTTAGAGTTTAAAATGGAGTTTTTCCTATTTTTTTCTGTGTGGATTTTGCTAAAAGGTATTTTTTTCGAAATATTTTTTTATTGTAACTATTAAAAAAATTTTTTTGCTGTATGACCAAAAGTTCAAATAAACTGGAGAGACATGCGTTTCTGGAGGCTTTTATTAGCGTTTGAAACTACTTTTTGATCAATTATATAGCTGGTCGTTAACCATCTAAACTCTCTCGATCTCAAAAAAATGATAATACTCTTTTTGTATTATAGAACTTTTTACCGGCTGAAATTGGGGTGGTATGAAAACAAAAACCAACGAAATTTAGAACGGCGATATTTCCGATTTTTTTCATATCGCTAGGGAGCTTTCCGACGAAATTTTTTTCGACTTTTTTTCTCGATAAACTCTTCGTTTTAAATCTTGCTATTTAAAGTAGGTAGTTGATTCATGATGATTAAAAACACAAAAAAAGGAAACAAAAATATTAATAGATGTTTTATAAACCGAAAAAGTATAAGGGAAAAAAAGTTGGAAACTTCTCTGTTGGAAAGTTCCTTAACGATATGAAAAAAATTGGAAGATTCGCCGTTCAAAAATAATTTAAAATTTTTTTCTGCAGAGTGGGCTTCAAATTATGAAAAAAATTTAAAAAAATAAAAAGAAGACTAAATAAATTCGAAAAAAAGCCTATTTCTCACATTTTGATCTACTTTTTTTGTTGAAAATCTCAATTAAAAATTCAGAAAAATTTCCCACTTTTTCATCTCAATAAGTGAAAAAAATCATTAAAAGGAACTTCAAGATTAAAAAAACTTCTTTTTTTAATTTTCTTTAAACATAAAAAAATCAAGGGAAAAACTTCCAGAAGCAAAAATTAACCAGCTCTTTTTTTTATCAGTAAAATTAAAAAAATTTTATTTTTTTATCTGTTGAAAAAAAGACGAAATGTTGTAAGAACTCAACACGCGTCAAACAATTAATAAATAGTTCAAAAAAAAAAACGAACCACAAGATCAGAGAGATCCGATTCTTCTTCGTCCTCACTCCCGTCAACTTCATCAAGGTCCTGAAGAAGACGAGCGAAATAATTATGAGAAATGCCAAGAAATGGAAATCGTCGCCAAAAAGAACAGAACAACATTCAACAACAAATATGGTCCAATCGGAACAACTTTCTAGAAATTTGAAAAGCTTATGAAATGACTCAAAAATTTTATTAAAGCAAGCAAACTTCAGAAATCATTTTAAGAGTGTTTAAAAGAGCAGAAATCTTCCTCGAACCTTAAAAACTACTAAAAACGGCTATTCGCTTAGAAATAAGTTTACAAATATGACTATGCTCCTTTAAACACCCCAGAAAGAAGTTTTGAACAGAAAACATCTTTCAAACGCTTTTTTTGATTCAGAAAGCTGTGATGAACCAAAATTCATGCGACAAACATCAAATAGGACGGACCGAGGACAAAAAGGACAACAAAAATTAAAAATCGACAAAAACTAGAAAAGCTGGGCGGAAAAATAACGAGACAAGTGTATGAAAATGAAGAGAGCACATGAAAACAAGCTAGAAAAATGGGTCTTAATTTTTTTCTGTTCATTTTGAATGACTATTCGTTGCAAAAATCGATATCTACGGTAGATTACGATTTTTTCTACTTAGAAAAAAGAAGAGCATAAAGTTCAAGTTCTAATATTCCCATAAACGTTTTTGAACACCCTTTTTTGACACAAAAATTCGGAAAAGTCAAATTTAGAGCTCGTGTCAGCACTTTGAAAACGAAAAAAAGCCCAAAAAAAACCTTTTTTTCCTAAAAAGTGCGTTCATTACTCCTTCTAGCTGTTTATTTCTCATTGAAACCACGAAAAAAACCCGAAAGAAACAAAAAAAAAACAACACAAAGACAATAAGAACAAACACTGAAACAGTAATATCACTAAAAACCGACCAAATATTCATCCTGACCGGTTTCTTCGCCCTCCACCTCATCAACTCTCATTATTGGCGAGGTCTGAAAAAATTTAATCAATTTCCATTTTCGACATTTTGCAGTTAACTGACTTCACCTTTTCCAAGGAATTTTAAAGGTGAACTGTATTTTCCAAGTTAATAGAAAGGCAATGCATAGAAAAGGAATATTGTTAAATTTTAAATTGATTATTTTGTTGAAAGAATAAGTTCCTTCTTCACAAAGCTTAAAAAAAAAATAATGAACCCTATTTTTCTACAGGATCCTCAACGATTCTCTCAGCTTCTTCAACCATTTCCACGCCGGTTTCCATCTGAAAAAAATGAAATAGTTTTACTTAAAAAAACCAAAAAAACGAAAAACGGAACAGGATTTCGGATTTTCCTTTCAAACCAAAAATTACACAAATCTCAAAAACTATTTGCATTCCTCAAAAATTTTTGAAACAATAAATTCCCTACCTCTCCTTTTTGATACACTATTTCGCTGGATCGGATCAAAAATTCTCATCAAAAAAATCTCAAGGTATTGGTGACTGAATTTTTTTCTTTAATTTTTAAAAAAACTTCAATTATCATTTTTGTTTGAGTTTTTTTGGATGAATGTTGGGTATCAAAGGAATTCGGGGCAAGTTTGATTTCGAAAAATTCCAAAAAGTTTTTCCAGAAATGGAAGAAAAAAATTGTCAACGGAGCGCTGAAGTCAAAAAAACGTCAAGGCTATTTTTTTCTTATCACCATTTTTTTGTCTCATTTTTTTCTTTTTTTCGGTATACAAATCTAGCTCTAGGATTGTTGAAAAAAACCTTGACAAAAAAATTAATTTTACATCTTTCGTTTTTTTGAAATTTTCCAAAGATTTACAACTTTCCTCACTTTTTTTCCACCCTAAATTTCTCTAAACTCCAAGATTACGTTTTCTTCCAACTTCTCTTCAATCTCCTCGCCTTTTTCCACCTTTTCTTCTTCCTTCTCTTCAGTTTCCATTTGTTGATTCTAAACAAATTCATAGAACTCAATTTTTTTTTTCTTTTTAAAGACCTCATTTTCCACAGTTTCTGCTACAGCGGCAGGTTCTTCCTAAATTTTGAATTTCATTTTCTAAAAAAATTCTTTCAAATCAAACCTCTACTGGATGTGCTTCAGTTTCCATAGCCTCTTCGACGATCAGGAGTTTCTAAAAATATTTAATTTTTCGAAATTTTCTTGAAGAAAAAAAATTCATCAAGGAAACTTATGAAAATCCATAACATCTTTACAAGATTTTTAAGCTTTTCAAAAAAAAATTAGCAAAAAAATTAGGAAGGGGAGAAAAAAAGTGCTCTCTATAGGGATAAAATTTAGGTGGTCCCTATAGGGGTTTTTAAACTTTTCGTAGAGATTTGAAAGTTAAAAAAGACAAAATTGACCTTTTTTTATTTAAATAACGCAAACTTTTTGAGTTTTTTTCGCTTCTTCTCATAGGGGTAAAAAAATCTCTCCGGTCATTTTTGCAAGCTTCAGTGGTCCTTATAGGGGGAGGCAAAGTGGTCGCTATAGGAGTAACCTTCAAGGCCCCCTAAGGATGTTCGATGTTTTTTCATAAGCAAAAAGGGCATAATCAAGAGATCAAAACGGTCGAAAGAGAGGCCAGAGAGACAGAGTTTCTCGTTTTCTCTGCTGTCTCTTCAAGCGCCGCTAATCTCTCCTCTTGGAACTTATGATTTCCCTGTTTTTTGGGAATATAATGACAAATCCTTCAAAAAAACACAATATAAACTTTGCAAGTTCTCAAAACGAAAAAACCACCAACATCATCGTAAGAAACGTCTCCATGGCCATTCTGAACATTGTCCAAAAGTTTCGATTGCTCAAAATTTCCATCATTATTTCATTTTCAATCTCACTAATTACCGTCAAAGCTTGATTTTCTTCATTCTTCTCGTCTTCTTGCTCAATTTCATCAATCGCGAGGTTTTCAGCGGCCGTTTTATACGGATCTTCGATGCCTTCCGGAATCATTTTTGACGTTTCTTCGACGATTTCCTTCAAAACCTCGAGTTCTTGAGGTTTTTCCACCGCTTCAGAAGGTTCAGAAGCTGTAAACTTGCAGTTGAAAGAGTTTAAACTTCGAAAAAAAGTTTTCGAGTTCAAAAATATATCTGCAAGAAGAAAAATCGAGCTTAGCGTTCTCCACACATAAAACAACTACATTTTTTTTTTTTTAACCTTAATTAATGAAAAATTTGGGAAAAATATCATAAAAAAGTACTCAGAAACGGTGAGGAGCCACGCTTCCACTTGGTTGGTGTCACTCGTAAAATTAAAAGTGACATTTTTTCTTTAGGGCTAACATGACCTTTTTACGGCTTTTTTTTTGCCGTTCTGGGAGTAACTCTAGTGGTCTCTTAAGAGGTCCCTCAAGAACTATATGGAGAGGACACTTAAGAAGCCACTATGTTAGGATCTAAGAAAGGCCAGACGTTCTGTTTTCTCGTTCACCTGCGATTTTCCTCTTTTTCGGCTCTTCTCCCTGGCTGATGCGGTACCTCTGTACACCGAGACGATATTCATTTTGGAGCTTTTTGTAAAGAGCGAGATCTTCTTTTTTGTTCGACTTTTTGCTCCTGAAAACGGAACTTTTCAATTCACGACCTTTCTAAAATAATTCTAAAAAATATATAGCGTTATGAGAATCTTTGGTGATGTTAGGGATATCAGGAAACCAGTTTCTCAATTGAAAAAAACCGAAATAATTGGATTATTTCTTTTTTTTTAACTCCACTTTTCCTGAAGATGTCCTAATTATTCGAAAGAACCTAGAAAGCTCAAAATACCCAAATCTACGATTTTTCGAAGATTTTTCAGAATTCTTACTTGATATAAGCCTTCTCGCTCCTCCTCTTCATCTGGATCAGATACTGAGGGAATTTTTCCTTGGGTTTTTCCTTTTCAGAAACACATTCTCCTTCTTCCAGCTCATCCGGAGCTTTTTCCTCGACTTTTTCTTCTCTTTTCAGCCAAATCTTGGCGATTATCGACTGCGGCCGCTCGACAAACTCGCTGTAGAGCGCTCTTTTCTGCTCGTCCAGATGGTAATAGGTCGTTTCGTACAGCTTCAGCCTGAAAATGGAATTATGAACATTTATAACAATTAAGGTGTTTAGTGATAAGAAATTATTTGAAAAAAAAATTGAAATGCAAAAAAAAATGGACACTTCTAACTTATTCTGTTATTAACCCTTTTTTTATCTCAATTTAGTAAAATTTTATCGATTTGACGGATGTGAAACAACAATATTGAATAAAAAAAGAATGATTTTTTTAAAGCCTCAATTTAAATTTACTTTTTTTCCAGAACAATTGAATATTTCTAAACTACAAATGCAAAAAAATTTGATCAAAAAAAGCCGCTCAGAATCAGGAAAAAAAGAGATGAAGCTTTTTAAAAAAAAATTATTATAAGTTTCACATTCTCTTTTCTTTAAGTACTGATGAAACATCGGAAAAACAAAATAATTAGAATTTTTCAGAGAAAATTCGAGTTATAAAAAACAACTTTTATTAGCATTCTCAAGACTTCAGAGCCATTTTAATCAGAATCTGGGGTTGAAAAATAATCGTTCAGGATTTACTGGAAAGTTTTTTTCCGGATTTTTTACTTTTTCCCTTTTCAACGGTTTGAAAAATTATCCTTTTTCGAAAATGTTAATGCCGTGTTCAAAGTAATTTCCGCGAAATGCAAAATGATCTCTGACTCTCTAAAATTTAGTTGTATTCTTCTTTCTCTAGCGGCCATTTTGCATTTCGCGGGATCACTTTGAACACGGCATGAATTACTGACTTTCGTCTGTTTAAACTAGTATTTTTATTAATCATTTTCAAGAGCGAAACTTGTAAAGAACAAAAGATTTTCTAGAAAACTTCTTTTTTTCCATCCTTTCTTTTCCAAATTTCATTCGTTTTTTGAAATGTATTAATTTTTACTTTTTCAAGAACTCCTTGGCCTCCTCATCGCCGCTGGCTTCGATCGCCGCCGCGAGTTCCTGGTCTCTTCTTTTCGCCATCGCATCCGATTCTGCGAGATAAAGTTCAGTGGCGGCCAAGTCTTGGAGACTTTTTGCTGCTCGTTCAGCTCCCTGAAAGTTTTTATTTTTTTTATTGTATTATCTCTAAAGCTTTCAAATTTTTTTTTTTTTTTCTAACTTTGATAGCCCTTAAACTGGGTAAAAAAATCAAGTTTCGTTCGACATTCATAAGGGATGAAGGCCGAGATTGAGGTATTTTTCCTCACCTCGAAAAAAATTTCTTTTTTTCTAATTTTCTTCGGTTAAAAAAATCCTGTGCATTGAAATTAACGACTTTTTGAAAAAAATTACAACTTTCCTGAGTTGATTTTTGATCAAAGACCTGTAATAAACGTTTTCCGAAACTCACACAACGGGCCCAGAATCCTCGCAATCGCTGACATCTTCCACCTGCATCAGGTCTTCCAGGCGCAAAGTTCGCAGTGTTGTCCGTCTTCTCTTCGGTTCATCTAAATATTTCATTTTTTTCATTTGAAAAAAATGTGAAATCTCTAGGTGTAAAACGAATGGACAAATAAAATGAACGGAACAAACTTTGAATACGAATAATTTTTTTCCAATGAAAATTAGAACTAGGAAATATCCCAAACGGAGCAACTTGAAAGAAACCGATAAAAAAACTTATAAAAAGCTAAATACCTTTTTCTAGATCTATACAAAAAAATATCCAAATGGTATAAAAATTATAAAACTAAAGAATAACGCGCTTCTAAAGGAATTTTTTTATGGGAAATATATTAGGAAAAATGCGAAAAATTAAATTTAATCAAACCTCGTTCACTAAAAAAAGCCGTAAGTGACCACTAGAGCAAAATTTTTTTGTCTCTTCAGTGATCACGAGACGTTAAATTTATAAAAAAAAACCCAAAAACTTCAATTATCTGTTGGTAGATGACTAAAAAAATTTAAGCCCAGAATTCACGGACAAATGAATAAAACTCCTAATGATGGAGATCAAAAATGACTATTCCTTGTGATGACCTGATAACATACCTCATTTTATCTTTATCCGAACTTTTATCACCAAAAATCAACGAATAATGCCGAAAAAGGGGCAATTAAAAAATTTCTCGAACTGAAAAATCGTTTCCAGTGTTTCTTAAGGTCATGCAAAGCTTATGCGCCATATAAAAACTTTGAAAATGTATCTTCCAAGGCCAATAATGTTAAATTTCCCCCTGGACACCTAAATAACGAGATCTCAATATCACTTTTATCAAAACTTATCAGCCCACGAATCAAATTAATGAATAACTCGGAGAGCCGGAAAAAGGCACCTCGACGTCGGTTGGAAGCGGAAGGGCGGTCAGCAGAAGACGTGGAATAGACGTCGTCGTCGGCCGGCGACTTTCGCTTCTCTGCTCCTCCTCTGCCTCCTCTTCTTCTTCTTCTTCTGCTGTCGGTGACGTCGCCGTCGGCGATTCTAATCTTGGAAGAAGACGTCGGAACGCGGTTTCTTCGCGGCGGAGACGTTCGTCGGCCGGAATAGAGGGGTTCCGGTGATCTGAGTCAAACGACGGCTGCTATTAGATTGAGAAAATTGAGGAAATGTTGATTCTGGTCGAGAAGTTGGAGACGTCAGGGCGGCGGAGAAATAGATCGAGAATCAGGTTTCGCCCTTTCAGTCAGAAATATTCCGTCGGGCCGATTTCTTTTTTTTTAAATAATTATAGATTTTCATAACTTATATGTAATTGATTCATCACTAACTGATGAAAGTTATTCTATTTTTCAAAAATAATCGTTTCAGAACCATTTTTTTCTCAAAAAAATTAATTGATTTTTTTGAACCTTATGATAAGTTACAAACCAACATCGAACAAATTCCTAGTTTATGCTTGCCTCTCATATTACTACCACAACAGGAAAGTCAAGTAAAATTTTTTTTCAATCTTTGGTTTGAAATTTCCAATGTCTTCCTAATTACTTGATACAATAAGCAAACATTTTTTTCAGTTCAAAAAAATGAAATAAAAGCTAAACTAGACCTTCTAATAAACAAAAAAACTTCAAACAAAAAAAAATCAATAGCTTCTTCTTGAATATTCAATGAATTCAACTAAATCTGGTTTCCTTTCTCAATATTATACAGACACGGAACAGCTTCTAAATAGTTCCAATTATTTTTTTCAAACCCTAAAATGATCCCTCTTTTTGATAGTCACTTGATAAATTAATGAAAAAAATTTTTCCACGGCAAGTTAGGAAAAAAATGAATTGTCTAATCCACTCAAACTAACAAAAATTCAATTTTTTTGCAATTAAATACGATAAAAAAATCAGTTTTTCGGCCCTTCAAAATATACATTTTCGAGGTATTCAAAATAGAGAGAAGGATTGAACTTAAGAAACGTCAGATTTTTCTCAAACTAAAAAAATCGATTGCTACTTTTTTCATCTTTTCTCAACCAAATCTGAATAAAAACCAGTTTACATCCCTAAAGTGATACCTTTCTCGGCCGTAGATCTTCGGTGGCGACCTGGATCTTCTGGATCCAACGGAACGGAGGTCGCGTTCCCGGTCGTCCAGCCGTTTCTCGAGTTCCAGAAGCCGGAGTTCCCTTTCCCGGAACTCTCTTTCTTTTGCAGTTATTTCGTCGTAGTTCCGAGATCGAATCTGCGAAAATTTGAGGTTTCCCATGGTTCAGCTTCAAACTTATAGTTTTTGGAAAATCTCGAAACTCGAACTTAAAGTAATTCCGAGCATTAGAAAATAGAGAAAGCGAAGAATATTTAAATTCTGAAAAGTCATAGATAATTTCGACTCTCTCCGCAATACTCAAAACACAGAAACACTTTTTTTCAAGTATATATACTTTAAATTTTTTCAATTCACACATAGAGTGACTTTTTTCAAGGGTTTTAGATCATATTCAACTTTTCGAAACCAAATTATTCAAACAAAAGTTCAGATATAGCCAATTCTGCGCCAGCTTGTCAAGTTTTTCTTCTGAAATGATAAAACCGTGAACTTCTGAATCAGGTCTTGAAGCGAAGCGTGCGAAAAATGCTCTGGATACTGTAGTTAATCCCAATTTTTTTAAAAAGTGACAAGCCCGCGCGGAAATCACCAAAACAAGCTCAAATGGAAGTTTGAGCCCTTAAGGACTCATTTAAGAGTTTTTCTAAGGGTTCATTTTAAGAAAAAAAAAAAAGCGAAACACCTTCAAACGTTCTCAGTTACTCAAAGCAAAAAAAAATTGAAAGAAAAATTAAATTTAAAAGCTGAAAAATAAAAAGAAAGTGAAGAAATCTACACTGAACAAAAATAAGTAATAATATAATTATATGCTCTGAAAAATCGATTCACGGTTTCAAAACTGAATCAAAAACTGAAATTCAAGAAACAAATACTGACACGAGACAGCAAACTTCTACACAAAAATAAAATGAGTTTTGCAGGGAGAAAGACTTTTTTTTAACTTTTTCTTAGCACACAAAAATTAATTTAATTAAAAAACCATCAAACGCTGTACAATCAAAAAATCGGAGTTTGTTAGAATAAAACTTATAATAAACAGTATAAACAGGGACAGAACGCTTCTTTAAATTTTGAGTAACATGAATATTCAGGCTCTTATTAGAAACAAAGATTTTTTCATGATTTTACTCGACCACTCAAAACCTTAAAACTGTTCGAAAAAAAAAACAGAAACCTCTTTCTCGGCTCGATCCAAAAGTTCCAATTCCTGTTGAATTCGCGCCATTTTCCGGTCCACACTTTCCCTCACAGAATAATCAAAGCTCATAAGAGGAGGTGGAACTGCAATTTTTTCTCTTTTTTAAATAAACAGCTTAGAAAACGAACGGCCCAAATCGGAAGAGCTATGGGAAGTTCTGTGATGGCCAAAAGCTCCGAAAGATGAAGAAGAACCGCTCATTTGATAGCTTTTCGGCTCGGGAACTTGGTAGCGTTTCCACCTGGAATTTGAGAGAACTTCTTTTATTTTTTAATTTTTCTGATAAACTAACCACCCATCTTCAAGATAATTATAGCCGCTCGGATTCAGAGAAGGCGCGTCTACTCGTTTATCGCTGTAACTCGGCAAACTGGAAGAAGAAGTGTGGGAACTCCTTTCCGGCTGAAAGCCCAAATCAATATTGAAAACTCAAATATTCTGTCGAACTTTAACTTCACGACGAGTTTTATCGCTTCTCGATTGAAGATGCGAAGAATTTCCATTTCTACCTGTTGATCGGCTTGGTTTGGAACTTGAACTAAACTTGCGGTCGTCTCTAGTCTAAAAGGGGGGAATTATTAAAGATAACAAAGTTTTTAAACTTTGGCCGGATAATCAACGTTCGACCTTTCCCGATGACGATCATGACGTGACATTGTGCTATCTGAAAGAAAGAAATGCGGGAGGAAAAAATGAACAACGAAAAATATTCGTTGCGAAATTGCCACGTGACAATTGTCGCAATAAAACCGAATTTCACTCACATACCGTTCGAAAATTACAAAAACGCTTATAGTAGTATCTATAATTCTCTGAATCTTATTTATAAAAAAAGTAAACTGATAAAAAAAAACAAAAACAAGTTTAATAACAAAACAAAATGCGTCGTGTGATTAAATGCATTGGTGCAATATCTGCAAACACGGCTAAATACCGTAAGCCAAAAGTCCACGTTTTGTCATCAGGGTCCCGGAACCAGCTGGCTTTTCAAATATCTACATGGGATTTCAACGAAAAAAAGCGTATGTATGTGTTCAATGGAAAGGAGGAAAATTCTTGAGTTCAATTAATAAGACCTAAAAAGCGTTTTGGAAACTTTTGACTTAGAGTTTAAAAAATCATGAACTCGAGCTTTTAAATTCAAGTTATTTAATTTTCTGAAAAGAAATCGTTCTGTTTTAAAAGTTTTTTTTGCGAGTCTATTCACTTAATTGATTCATGGAATGCTCGTTTGAAACCTTTTCCTATAGAAAAGGAAAAATGCAAAAAGTACTAGGGGGCACTCGGAGTTGAACCGGGGACCTCTCGATCTGCAGTCGAATGCTCTGCCACTGAGCTATACCCCCAATCGGAAATGTTTGTCGAGAATTTCGTTGACATTCTCCGTGCGCGCTTCTATTTGCGCTGTGGTCAGTCGGTCAAACGAAAAGGCCTCTTTGAACGCGAATTTGGCGGGAAAAAGAAAGGGAAATTTGAGGTGTGAACGTTCCCTTTTTTTTGACCATGACGAGGTGTTTTCTTGTACTTTTTTGGCGCTCATCTTTTTCGTTTTGGTTTTCAGAGAAATTTCTTCGGTTTTCTTCGAAATCTCAGCGGAAAAAACCTAGTCTTCAAGAGATTCCGTTTTTGATCCAATTTTTGATTTTTCTCAAAATTGAATTTCATGAAATATTTTAACCACGTCAATTAGTGCATGTGACGTTTCTTTTTCCACGTGTAAGTTTCATTTTTGTAGTTCTATCTCGAAATTTTAATAAAAAAATAGTCAGAACTTCGTTTTCTTTTTTTAAATTTGAAAAATAAAATTTAATCTTCGAAACAGTTTTTCGGACTCATTTTTTTGTAAAAAAATGTACAGAGTTCATTCCGTATGTTTTTGTTTGACAGAGTCGCTAAATCAGTGAAGAGAAAAGAAACTGTTTTTCGAAAAAAAATTGCGTTCTCAAGAAAAATGTCATATCCTATGACTAATAAATAACATTTCGAAAAGATCTTAATCTATCGCCCCGTACGCCGCGAAAACCACAAAAAAACAAATCATCTTTATATTTTCTGTCGCCCTTCGCTCGTCGTTCGTTTTCTTCGCTCTCTGTTTTATTGAGATGGATATTTTTTAAAGGAATGAGCCGTCGTTTGATCAAGAAGAACGCGAAAACCCGTGCCGCCATTGAGAAGAGTGAGAAAAGGAAGGAGTTCCTGGAAGAATTGATGGGAAAGATGAAATTGGACGAAAATAGAGTCGAGGGTCAAGGCTCCAGCGATGAGATTTCAGTGAGTTTTTCGAAAATAAAAAAATTTACATGGTCTATTGAAGTATGAAACTTTTTTTTTCAAGTTTCTCATACCCACAGTTTTATAATTTAAAAATTCCATACGATTTCGATCTCTTTCGAATTTTTTTCAACTGTTTTTTTCGATACCATGTTCAAATTTAAAGTAGATTCTCTCCAAAAAGCCTTAAAGATTTTGAAAAATGGGTAGATTTGAGTCTAAAAAAATTTATAATTGTTGCAACAAGTTGAATATTTTTCAGTGCTCTGTAAAGTCTGTAAAAAAAGTATTGCTTTTTTTCAAACTCGCAGAAAATTTAAAAAAACCGAGTATGTACCGACTTTTCGTAAGTTTCTGATTAATAAAAAGTCTATTTTTTTATTAAGAAGATCTTTTCAAAAAAATTATTAGTTCGACGCGACTTTGAGTCATCATTCTCATAAAGAAAAAAAGATTACGAAGTTTTTTTTGGATTTTCCGGTTTGAACCAAGTGTTTCTTTTCAATTTTCCATCTGTCTTTTCACAGTGGAATTTCGTCTCGTATTTCTTGTTTCTTTAATGAACCTTGTTACACCAGAAAACTGAAGGAAAATCATTTTTGAATAAGTCTGAGTTGGTAAAAACTGATAATTTATTCCGGAAGTTCGAGATGTCTTCATTAATGATTCAGTAATAATTACAGGACGCCAGGAAAAAGGAAATCCTGGGCTGGATCGGTTGTTTCGACTCCGTCAACTTCCCTCCAGGCACCGAGACTAAAGAAACTCTGTTGGAATTTGTTCATCGTCAGAACTTTCTCTACAAAGTCTTCAAGGATGAAGGTACCGTCCAACCAATGAACAAATTGGACAATTCTTCGCGCTGTCTTCATTTTTTCGCGAACTTGTCGTAGAAATCAAAAAATCTATCGTTTCCCAGAAAAATTCCTTGACAAGCTGGAAAGTGTGGAAGTTTACGGACCTTTACAGCAATTTGAGCATTTTTTATTAATTTTTCGGAGGGAAAAAGTATTTGATCATTTTTGCCTTTATATCGCCTTTGAATTGGTCCTTTGCGTTACTTTTTTTAGAAGTTAGACTATGCTCCTTTAAAAGCCTCAAGAAGGTTTTTTGAACCTACGCCTCTTCTAAATACATGCTGTGTTCAAAGAAATTTCCGCGAAGTTGGAAATTATCTCTGACTCTCCAAAAATTAGTTATCTTTTTCACTCTCTGACGGCTTTTGATTTTCGCGGAATTACTTTGAAAACGGCAACAGTTCCGGAGACTCGAAACGATTTCTGACTCTTCAAGACCCTTTAGATCATTTCGAGTTCCCCGGAATCACTTCAAAATATGAATGAAATATCCAAAAAACTCCCATTTTTCAGAACAGGCGAAAGCGAAAGAGCAGATCATCGAGACATATCGCTCTCTGAACGGTCAATTCGTGACCTCAGGTTCATCAAAATTCCCAAATCAAGTCATCATTTTGAATTCTCAGAAGAACTCCGGGAATACTGCGACCAGGTGGTAATCGAAAAGCTGGAAGAATGTCATGCCAAAAAGGAGCCGAGAAGGAAAGAGAGGGTAAGAAAAGAGAGCAAAATGAATTCCAACAAGAACTGTTGAGAGTTTGAGAAGCGGCGCGGATTCCGTGAAATCAAGGCGGAGTCGCTTGTCTTCCGGCAACAACTGACCGATTGGGCTCGCAAAAACGGGACCGTCATCAGTTCCGAAGAGGCCGAAATCATCAAAAAATACGCTGCCTTGCTCAAGCAGAATAGTGTGTAGTTAACTCATTCTTATGACCCATTTCAGAACATCTTCAAAATAGAAGTTGCGTTTTTTCGGTTTTTAGTCTGTTCAGATTTTTGAATGACGTCATTATATTTACCTTCCAAAAAATCTGAACAGACTAGCCGATTCACGACTAGCTTTGGCCACTAAGGGGCGTGGCCTCTCTATCGTGCCAGGACCCTTTTTCAGAGGGCTCAAGCCAGCTGTAAAGTAGCTATAGCTTATTCCGTGCCAGCTTGACAAGATTTTTTTCTTGCGAGCTACAGTACGCTTCACTTCGAAGCGCGGCTCTTTTTTCTGCATGCGCCTTTAAATTAGCCGGGAGGCCTGTCTGCGCTCTCCATCAACCAAGCACTATTACATACATTTTTTTTATCGTGTCAGGACCCATTTTAAAGCCAGCCGTGGATCAGCTATACTAAAGGCGCATGCATAGAGACAGCGCACATCGAAGAAAGGTGTACTGTAGCTCGGAAAAATCTGGCACGAATCGGGCAATTTTCAAAATAACTTTCTGAAAAATGGTTTTTGGAAGTTTCAAAGTATTGGTTTAGATCTGATTGTGTGTGCTGAAAAAATTTTAAATTTAATATTACTAAAAAAAAAGTGTAACTTTTTACTGTAAAAACTCTCAATCTAGGCATTCTGATAATATGTGAAAAGGTCTATTAAACACTAAAATGACCTCCCTTGTGAGATTTAAATAATATGCATAATAATCCTGTCGATTTTTCAGTGCTATTCAAGGAGTTGCCAGACTTCAGTGCCTTTGAAAACCTGAGCAATGATATCCGAAAACTTCTCCTGAATCAGTGTCTCTAATTAATCGCGTCATCTTGTATTTCTTTATCTATTTAACCATATTGTTGCTTTTTTTTTAAAATAGTCTCTAATACTTGCCATTCCTCTATATCGTCATTGGCTTTAATTACTCGAACGGTTTTAAGTTCAAGGTGTATTTAACCCGCATAATTTAAACGTCTTTTTCAATTTTTTTCCCTCTTCTAACATGTTCAATAAATTTTTTTAATTTTTCGACGTTTTATGGATTGAAAGGCAATTAAAGCTGTCAGAAAATTGTACCAGAAAAAAGGCAGGACGAATGGAGGATTTAACAGAGGCAAATAAATTGGATATTTCTTGCTGGGGTGTTTAAAGGAGCATAACTATTTTTTAGAAAAAAGACTCTGAAAGAAGATAAATTTGAATTTTTTCTAAGTTATGGGAAACGCTCCAACAAGGTTTTTTCGGAAGAATTATAACAAAAACAAAAAAAAAGAGCCTGAAAACTATTCTAACAACAAAAGATCAAAACTTGGCAGCTTTTTTGAAGCATCTATGATTTTTACTAAAAAATGAGCACCTAGAAAAAATAACGTTGAGAATAACAAACAAAAACTTCAATTCATAACAAAATCATCGGGGTAAACTTGGGCCCTAACACGGCCCAAGTATTGCATGATTTCAGGGATACTCCTGTTCGATCAAATCCCGCGGAAAACAGTCCAGAGGCCCATAAACCGTGCTCCCAAGGTGGCCGAATACATTGGCGTCTACCTGGAAATTTTCAACTTGAAAAGAAAAAAAAACATTTTCCTACATCTTTTCGTAAATTTTAGTACTTGGATGTGAGTAATAAAACATTTTTATTGAAATATTGAAAATCTGAAGCTTCATTAATTTCATTTCAACGTAAACGTTCTTCAACTTGCAAATTTCCAATAATTTTTTTGATTACAAATCCGTTTTTTTAACTTTGAAATTAGCCTGTTAAAGGATTTCTGAACAAACTGAGATTTTTCTGAACTTCCTGTTACAATTTGAAACCAAAACCCATTTTTTTATTTTTTTATTTTCAATATATTTATCATTTTAGGATTAATAAAGTGAAGCAGTTCCAAATTTTTGCTCAAAAAGTTCAACTTTTTGGAGTAGTATTTTCTCTTTACTTGTTCCTTTCTTTGCGATGAAGTTTCATGTTTAATAAAAAATAAACAAATTTCAGATTGAAAGCTTACATGCGTCAAAAAAATCGCCCATGATGAACTTCTTATCGCCCAGGGCGTCTCTTATGATCGTCAAATCTTTCCTCAGCAATAGTTCAAATTCTTCCGGCTTGAATTTTCCCATCGGCCCACGAAGACGCTGTATTCCCTAAAAATTGGAAAATTTAAGATTTTTAACTTTTTTTGATTCGATTCATTACGAGTTTTCACTTGGTAAATCGTTGAGGATGTAGTTGTCCAGAGGGAATTGTGATTTTTAACGAAAATTGGTTGAAACTTTCAATTTTTTTGAAGCTTGAAACCCAAATTTTTGCAGAGAAGAGACTCCTACGTGAAATAATATCATCCCTTTTTTTCAAATATTATAATTTTTGCACAAAGAACACGATAATTAGTTCATAAACTCGTATTTTAACAGAATTTCTCCAATTTGCCCAATTAATTTTCATCTTTCTAAAGTTCAGAAACTTCAAATCGAACAGCAAATTCCGTTAAAATCCCAACAAATACCTTGAAAAAGGTCATAACATAGAACACAGGTATAGCGAGAGGTCGTAGAATTTTCGGCCACGCCATGATATCCAAAATCGCCTGAATATTCGGATTCTCATGTTTTTTTTTCTGATAAAATTCACATTGATCATGCTTAATCGGCTCGGGAAGAACTTGTAGTACATCAGGACGCTGAAAAACTAAATTATTTTGAAAGAAAACGAGAAAAAAAAACTAACAAGAACAAGTGATTGTTGACCATTTTCGAGAGGGAATAGGCTAGGACTTCTTTCTTTTTGGGTAGATCCTGGAAATAGTTTTGTAAAAGTCGAAAGTTTCCAATAAACTACATCGATGTTGAAATGTTCCCTCAAGCGGGCTTCGATGACCTCCGAATCGGCAATATGTTCCCCATTAAGCTCGATATAAGGCATAAGACCGAAGCGGGAGTAGTGGAAGAACGTGTAAACGACCTGGAAACTCCATTTTATAGATTTCCGCACCAGAAAATGTAGGAAAACCTCATGAGGGATCTTGTAAACCCGCAGAAAAGCCTCGACTTTCAAGCAAAATGGAGAAATACTCCGGACTTCGGCGTGTCGTGGATACTGGTACAAGTACACCACGTCTTTCTTGTAATCTTTCTTGTGAATCTATGAGAAAAAATAGTTTTTGCTTTGAAAAATCATCCAGTTAAACCACAGGCTCAAAGCGAATCTCCAGGAAGAATGTTCGATAAGCGCAATAGGTTAAAGCTCCAAGACCGGCCGTCGCAAAAGCACAACATAAAATATCGATGTAATCGTTGGGAAATGACAAACTCATCAAAAGCGGCACCTATTTCTTTTCTGAAAATAAAAAATATGTCAATTTTGAAGGCGCAGAAGCCTCATCCATTGAAAAACTAGCGACCGCAAAGGACGAATCAAAAAAACGACCTTTTCAGTTTCGAACTTTTGTCAAAATGCAAAAAGTATTTCAATTTTTATTATTGCTCAATTCTACATATCTTTCCGAAGTCAAACTACTGTTATGAAGCTCGATCTAACCCTTGAGCTTGCATTCGAGATCTCAAAGACGATTCAATTCACGAATTACATTCCTACCACTTCAAGGTAATGAGTATAAAATAAGAAAACTTCGAAAAAAAAAACCCACCAAAACTGCACTTCAACATGCAAGCTTATCTAATAGAGCTGATTTTTAAGATAAGAAGGCATTCAGGTGTTTTGAAAGTTAAAAATTTTAAATTTATTGAAAACTCTGAATTTCAGTCTGTCCGCTGTCTGGTTTAAGGCCCTTCAAAGAACTCAAATACAAAAGATCGTGTTTCAAAAGCGTCCGTGGCAGTCTGGAACAAGTTCTTGCTACTGAAAACGTCCCAAAGATGTCAGAAAATCGAGAAAAAGGAGCAAGAAAAGCAAAAAAATGTTTTCGTAAATAATCTTGTTTACTACACAGTGGAGCGCACTTGTCCCCTCCTCGAAGCTTTTTTTCAGTGTTTTTTTGATTCGAGTCAAAGAATGAAGTTTGGAGGAGAGAAATGTTCAAAGTTCCCGCTAATTGTACTGATTGCTTGAAGCTTGCCGACGGAGGATAATGCTATTTGCGGAAACACTTGTCGAGTTTGTTCTGAGCCTCTCAAAACGGGGCGTGTCTTTTGGAATGTTTCCGCGTGTCTAGAAGATCCTGGTTATAATCAAGTTATTTTGATTTTTATCTTCTCTTTATCATTTTGATGTTCGATTAACACGTTTCGTTTTTTTTTTTCGTTTATTTGATACTAAACCAAATAAAATACAATAAAATACAAATAAGAATAACATGAAATAGGCCAAGAAGGCAAGAACTTATAGGGGATATGTACCGAAGGTAGGCGTTAAAAACCCGCACAATAGAATCGGAGACTTAGAGGTGTAGTTTGAAAATACCCGTCTAAACTAGCCCGAATGCGAGAAGTTATATGAGGGGATTATTTAACGAGTAACTTGCCCTATAAGATTAAAAATAAACGAGTAGATATGCATAAAATAAAATGAACAGGAACCGAGGAAAAATACGAAATCAGGTCGATTTTTCACGAGCCTTTCGTGTAACAAGTATAAAACGGGAGAATAATTAACAATAACAATAGGGAACACGACCACGTAGCAGGGCCAACAAGTGAGCCCTAAAGGGAGAGTCAATCAGATCAAACGGTAAAGACTACTGTGGCCGACCAAGGGCGTCAAAAACGCTGTTTTGCCCCTCGATGAAGGCGACAACATGGGTGAAATCAAGAGGGAATTGCGGGAGTTGGAGAGGGTTTCGCAAGTGAAAAGGGGCCTGAGCCAGGAACTGATCCACCATGACTACGTAACGCTTGAGAGCTTCCCTGTGGATGGGATTGGTGCCATCGTACCAGGAGAAGGGGTCGGCATTGTTGACGTGATGGGCTGGCTGAGGGTTGAAGTTGAGGCCCGCCATGAAGTTGGGAACTTGGGGAAGGACCGGTTCTGGACGGGGAGCAAGGCGGTTGAGAGCCTCCTGGAACTCGAGTTGACGTCGTCTTTCTGATTCCATCAGGAGATTCATCTGCGTCCGGGCCAGTCTCATTACTTCTTCCATGTCGAGTTCCGGCACGTTTTGCTGGAAATAATAGGGATGAGCTTGATTGAAACTTCTTGAAGTTTGGATGAGATTAGTTTTAGGAAAATTCCAAAAACTGGCAATTTAAAGTCCTAAACCCAAAAAATTACCTGGGGATTCTCAGCTCCACCTTCATCATTGCCTGCGATTTCAACAGCCTCCTGTTCCATTCCTTCAACTGGCGCGGCTTCTTCTTGCTGAAAATCATGGGAATGAGCTCGACATTCAATTTCAATGAGTTTAGGTCAAAAGAATATTTTTCAAGATGAGCTAGTTTATTCTTTTTTCATCAAATCTTCTTTCCTACTCAACATTTCCATCCTAAAACTCCCAATATTGTCTCTAAAAATCGAAAATTCACCTGATGAACTATCTCTATAAGAACCCCTAGAACTCAAAAATCGTTGCTACTCAAAATTTCCTACTAAAACCTTGAGAAACGATGTCAAAAAACCAAATAATATACCTGAAGATTTTCTTCGTTTTCAGGTTCTTGAACGGCTTCTTCTGGCATTTCCTCCACATCCTCTACCTCCTGTTTGATTTCGGAAGGGTGTTTCAGCTGAAAATTGTGAGGATAAGCTAGATTTTCGGTTTCAAATTTTTCACGTTTGATTCTTCCCCCTAAGTGCTTTTTGTTTCAAACTTGAGAAAAATCAAGTAAAATCCAGAATAAACTTTTCGCTCAACGCTCCAAATTTCATGATTTTTGACTTTAAAAATCAAAAAATTACCCTAAAAGCGGCCGGAGCAACGTTTTCGGGAGCATTTCCATGGACGCCTTCTTCTTGCTTGACTGGAATTGGGACGACTTCCACTTTGACTCCGTTTTGCTGAAAATTGAGAGGATAAGCACGATTTTCCAGTTTCAAGACGACTTTTTGTCAAGATTATCTAGTAATCAATCTTCTACAGGCTTTTTAAACCTTAAGCCTAAAAAATTAAGCTCGAAATTCTTCACAAAATCCTCAAAAAAATCACAGTTCCTACTCAAAATTCCTGAGAAAAACATCAAAAATGTTCAATTTTCGTTTGAAAATCTGGAAATGTACCTGAGGAACGACGGCATCTTCTCCATTTTCCATGTTTTCTTGTTCTTCCTCATCGTCCATCTCTTCTTCTTTAATCTCATCCTCATCCTCGTCGTCAGACTCGTCTTCGCGACATTCACGGGGCCAGCCGGCGGGAATCAAATCCTTTCGGGGCTGAAATAATTCGGAAATTAGCTTATTTCTCAACAAAAAAGGCTCAAAAAATCAATTAAAAGTCATTTTTTTAAAATCAATTCAAAGCTTTCCAATTTGCTTCTAGAAACGAAGGCACACAAAATTTTTGAAGACTTTTAGAGCTAAAAATTGAGGTCTAGTAGGCTTTTTCTAATGAATATTTGACCGAAAATTCCATTTAGAACATTCCAAAACTCACATCAAGGAGAATCCTGGCGTCTTTTTTCTCGTCTTCCGATTTTGGTGGGCAGATGTCCGGGAGCATGTACGATCTCTTCTGAAAAAATCAATTTTTTGATTCTTTAGTCTTAAGAAAATTATAAAAATTCTCCTAGGGAATCCTTTATTTCAGATATTCGGAGATTTTACTAAATTAAATTCAAAGTATAGTGAAAAATGTTATTGAAATGTCGAGAATTATCACTTTCTAATAATAATTCGAGCTTTAGAAAAGGTTTTTCTGTACTAAATTCGACGAGAAAGGCATTTTCAAAATTTTCAAAACTTTCAAAAACTTACGCGTGGAAAGTAGTCCCCCTCGTGGTCAGTATTCAGACGGCGAGGTTCTCCTTGGATGCCAAACTGAAAAATTGGAAAGTCAGTTTGAAAACACTCAATTTGAAGTGAATTATTAAAATTTTCTAAAATTCCGGATCTCACCCAGTTCCCGACTTGAGGCGAGCCTCGAGCGACCTCCTGTTCGGATTCTGCGTCTGCAGCCTGCTCGTTGTAGCGTGGTTCGGGCTCTTCTTGATGTCGTTGTTGAGCCATGACGTCCTCATCCTGAGCTTCTACTTGCTGCTGCTGCACTTCTTGGACATCGACGAGCTGAGGTTCCGGGCCTTGCTGCGGCTCTTCAACTTGAGGATTGACGAATTGGAAGGCGGGCTGGGGCTCAGGATTCTGCTGCTGCGGCTCTTCTTCTTGATCATCGACGAGCTGGGGGGCGAGCAGCGGTTCAAGTTCTTGCTCTTGTTGCACTTCTTGAGGACCGACGACCATCTCCTCTTGTTCGCCTTGCTGTTGAAGTTGAAGTTGTAGGTAGAGCTGCCGATGGTGCTCGAAGATTTGCTGCTGCTGTTCGTTGTACTGCTGCTGGAGATGCTCAGCGAACTGCTGCGGCTGGATGAAATAGGGCACAACAAGCTGTTCTGGGAAGACGAAGTAGATGCCAGGCTGCATTCCGGACAGTTGCTGAGGCTGTGCTTCTTGCTGCTGTAGGGGCTCAGGAAGATCCACTTGCTCCTCAAGCTGAGGAAGATCTCCTTGCTCCGGCTCGGGGAGTTCAATTTCTTCTTGATGATCCAAGTCAGGCTGGTCTTGCTCTTGTTCGACGACTTCTGGCTCCGCCTCGATCATCTCCGCTACCGGCTCCTGTTGATTCTCCTCGAGACCGACGATGTTCATTTCTGGCTCCTGCTGGTTCTCCTCCTCGTGGGCAACGTCAACTTCCGGCTCTTGCTCGTTCTCCTCCAGACCGACGACATCCACTTCTTGGTCAACGACCTCCACTTCTGGCTCCGGATGAACAACGTCCACATCTTCCTCACGATCAACAATCTCGACATGCTGCTCCTGCTGGTACTGAGCTCCGTAGGCCATCTGGTAGTACGGATCGTCTTCGAGCGCTGGACTCTCCGGCCTCTCTTCACGAACTTGCGGCTGCTGCGGCTCTCTTTCCGGCATCGCGTACGGCTGACGACTGTTCGGCATGTCCTGATAGTTCCCAAATCCATCCATTACTTGAACAATTACGGCGTCCTGAAACAAGAATTTGATTTATCCCAAACGACTCTCGCGAAAAACCTCGCCCTCGTGGTAACTGTCCAGCTCCCAGCCGCTCTCTTCCAGGCGCGACATTTCCGATTGGTTGGGATATCCAGTGCTGATGGTGCGATCGGAGCCGTTGTTGAAAGAATCCGAGTAGGTGTCCGAGTCAGAGTCATAAAGGAAGTCTTCGACTCTGGGTGGTTCTGGGTCGACTAAGCCTTGTTCGGGATCGACAAGGGCGCGTTTCGAGTCCGACTCCTGGAACACAAAAAATATTTTTTTGAAGCTTTTTTCCATAAAATATGGACAAAAAGGGTCCATTTTTTTTTTGGTATGATGGGAAAGTTGGTACTGATCAAACTATAAACAATGACAAACCTCCTGGTTCTGCTCGGCGAACAAACGACGTTTCAGCGGCTTGCGTTTCTTTATGTTGAAGACGAGGTCTTCGACGACGATCTGTAATTATAATGTTTAGAGGTTGAAAAGTGATCGCATTGATTTTGAAAAATTTGAAAAACTTTCAAGCTTCGAAAACTAATGAATTTGAAAATATTCACCGGCGACTTTTGACTCATCGGAGTTGGCTCCTGCTCCATAAGTTGCTCAACTTGTTCTTGTTGTTGAGGCAGTGGCTCAACTTGATCTTCGCAACGTTGTTGCTCAACTTCTTGCTGATGATCAGCTTGCTGTTCACGACGCTTCTCTTGAGAAGTCTTTTCAGCTGACATGGTGATGCCCATCGACTGAAATCAAGAAATGTCATTTTTTGATGACAGTTCAAGGTTTTAACGATTTTCAAAGCGAGTTAGTGTAATTCAAGGCTTTATTTTGAAGAAAAAAGGTTTGAAAGTTCTATTTTTCAAAGTTTAAAAAAAAGTCGTTTAAGCTTTTAAGGACGTAAAGAAGAAATTGGGGTGAGAAATTGGTATTTATAAGATTTGTGGAACAAGGAGGGTCTAAAAACGTTCAAAATCTCATTTTCAAATTCTTCTAAACTTTATAGTATCAATAAAGTTATTAGAAGATCCTTCAATGGTCGGAAAGAACGGCAGGTGCTTATTTTTGATCATAGAACTTTTGTTGAGCTTGTGGAATTCAAAGGGTAAGTATAGTTCCAGTATAGAAGTTCTAGACTGTTCTTCAGCTTCTAATCGCTTTTAAACTGTAGGAAGAATCTCGAAAAATGTTTCAAAAGATGTAGGATAACTAGAAAAAAGGCTTCGGAATTTCCAAAAGAAAGGGTCCGAGCCAAATCAAAGAGAAGGTTAAGAAGTACAAGAAATATTCCAAAAAAGAATAAGTAGAAGCAGAAGAATGAAGTAGAGCCAACCGCTCGGGAGGACCCAAGTCGGATAGAATGACCAAAACGTGCGAAGATTCCTGGGAGGAGCTCGGGACACGCCCAAGTTTCGCACTTGCACACGGTTTCTCACCGGGGCACGTCCATGCCGGTGGCAATTCGCAGTTTCCCATTGCGTCGCCCTTCTGTCAGGCTCCGCCGGTATCAAACTGACGACTTGTCAGATTGATGGCTCGAATTGGCGACTGGTCAGGTGTTAACACAGTGAGAGACAGGCCAAGGGATTCAAATGAGCTACAAATTATTGGAGACGGAAAAAAGAGTTATTAAACTAGTCCGAGTATACCTTAGGAGTGAGTTTTAGTTTGATGTTTATGGGGTTTTCGGAAAAATCAGCTTGAAGGGAATCCAAAAAGCCCTAAGAAGAAGTGTTCTTCTACTGAAATTTTTTCGAAGTTTATTCAAAAAAGGCATTCAAAAGCTAACCAAGTTCTCAGAACAACCAAAGGCTTGTAAACTTACCATAGATCGCTATAATATTTTTGAAAGTTTATAGAAGAGAAGACCTCTCTAGATGGTCCATAGGAGCTTCAGAACGAACTTTGAAAGTCTATTCTGAACTAAATTCAAAAAAATTTAATTACTGAACAGGTTATGTACAATTACCTAGCACTACAGTGAGACTTGATGGTATTTTAAAAAAAAATTGAAAAAATCTTTTTGAATCAAACAACTTTTGTCATTCAAATACAAGCTATTAGTTGAATGAGAAGGGCCTTGGACAATTCAAAAGCAAAACCAACAAAAAAAAAGAGAAAGCGATAAGAACGAAAAAACAATAAAGAAAAAGTCGGAGTAGGAGCAACCGCTCCCAAGGGCCCAACTTGGATAGAATGACCAAGTTTGGGACCATTCTCCTTCTTGGAGCTTGGGCGTGGCCCAACTCTACAGCTTGGACACGCCCAAGTTTTCCCCTCGGCACACGGGTTCTCACTCCGACACGCTTTTGCCTCTGGGATTGCTCAGTTTCTCATTGTTCTTGACGCCTTTTCGGCAAGTTCCGCCGGATCCAAATTGACGCCTCTTCAAAGGGACGGCTCAAACTTGCTTCTTATTGAGTGTTAAGACGGAAAAAATTGTCTAGGGCTCTGGGAACGTTGGGGGTAAATAATTTTAGAAGCACCATAAGAAGTACATCAAAGATTTTTCTGGTCAATATTTTTTAAAAACTCCACAGTTCAAAGTAAAATGACCTCTCTTGTCAGACCCACTAGCACCTTAGAAAACTTAAAAAACGTACAAAATTTTTTGAAGCAGCTTCAAAATTTTGAAATGGTCTAACCATATGTAGGGACCGCAAGCCATTTCTTCAGAACGATTCAAAAAATATGTTTTTCACATTGTTCGATAGAGGAGACTGTCCATTTTCATAATCCGTTTAGTGTTTGAAAAAAGCTCCACTAAGAAAAAAGTTATGGCCAAAAAACGAGCGCGCGCGGCGTACAACTGGAGGCAAAATCTCACGGTTTACCCGCTGCCGCACGCTTTCTTTTTAAATGTTTTTTTGCGCGTTTCTGGACCGTTTTTAAATCGGTTTTCTGTTTTGAGAAGTTGTCCGAACTGAGCCTCATGTTTTGGTATGAATCTTTTTGTACAATCCTCATAAGAATTTTTTTGATAAAATATCAAAAAAACTACCTAGAAAAAAAGGTCAAAGGGATTTTTTTCAGCTTATTTTTTTCTTTTTTTCTACTCAGAAAAAAATTATTATCATTCGATTTGGAAAAAAAGAAAAAAATGAAAAAAATAATGTTATTTCGAAATAAAAACAGGAAAAAAAGTGCAATTTGACTCCGAAAAAAACGGCTCCTGCAACATTTAAAAGGGCGCATCGGTGTGTTTGACGCAAACACTGCTACGGACACTTGCACGAAATCTTCCGAAATTTCAAAAAAATTGCTATTTTTTTCGAGGTTTTTCAAAGCCGTTATTTTTTTTCGCGTCGATCGATTTTTTTTCATAATTTTTTTCATTGGTAGAGTTTTTGAACGCTTAATAACATAATCAAAAAGTATAGACGCGATCCTATTCTCTCATGCGTCAACGAGGCAGGCGAAAAAAAGGAGGTTTTGGTAAAAATTCAAATATAATTTGATTCGCTGTCCCAATAATTATTTTCATTTTGAATTTTTTTATTTTTTTGGACACACTGTTAGTTTTTAAATCGAATAAAAAAAGTATACCATGTCGCTGAAATTTTTTCGCATTTCAGCTTCAAAGTTTGGTGTCACTTTACAAGCTTTAATATTTTTTTCGCGTCGGTAGATTTTTTTTATTTTCACTCAAAAAATAAAGAAAGTGTAAATGTATAACATATTTAAAATTTAGAAGCGTTCCTCACTTGGTTTTCTGAAACGCGACGTTTTTGTGAAACTTGTCAGTTTTTTTCGTGTTAAATCTTACTTTTTCGCTTATTTTTGAAAAAAACATAGTTTTTAAAATATTCAGTCTTGTAGAGCGTTGTCGATTACATAGATTAGCAGAAACAGTTCATTTTTAAAGTGGGACTTTAGCTAGTATAAACGCCTCAAAACCGTTTTTGCAACAAAAAAATCGTCAAATCGGTGGCGTGAAGGGGCGGGGCTTTGCGCCCCCTAACCATATGGTTTCCTTTGATCCTAAGCCCTACTTTTACGAAAATTCGAAAGTCCCGGAAGGCCTTGGGGATCATTATCACAACACCTGGGCAAGTGAAAAACTTAATAAGTCCGTGAAAAGTGGTTGACTTACAAAAATTCGTAAAATGAAGCAGAAAATCAACCTTGAGCCCCTAGTACTGGCTTCAAATTGAGAAGGCTTAGGGCATTCCTAAAAAGGGAGCTATTTTTTGTATCCTTTCGAACTTGAAACTTTGCTGAATTGTACTTTCAGACCTCCTGATCCCAGAAAAATGTAAAATTTCTTGTAATAGATCTTTTTTCGAGTTATGATGCCTTGAAAGCTTCAAAAAACGTCCTTTTTTTAAATATTCCTTTAAGCTCACAAACATTGAGGGTCATAACTCGAAAAAAAGATCTATTGCGAGATTTTTCTTGTTCTAAGATCAGAAGTTCTCAAGTACATCTCCCAGCAGAGTTGGATCGAAAGTTCCTTCAAAAAAGTTCTAAAAAGGTTGTGTTGTAATAATATTTGAATAGTGAGATGAGGTTCTAAGTATCATCAGAGGCTTCAGCCGCACACGCTCCTGCCTCAAGCACCGACATCAATTTTCGCTTCCCCGATACGTTCCCCCCTTTGTCGAGTTCCGCCGGTCCGTCAACTTGACGAGCCGTTCATGCGAACCTCACAGGTGGAGTCGGTTTCTCCAAGATTGGGTGTCAAAACCGCCAGAGACAAAGAAGCAAACAAGGCAATTATGTCGACTCCTTGAGGATCAAGTAACAACTTACAGTACTACCTTTGAATATCTTCGTGGTGGAAGGAGAGAACAATACGAATCAAACTTCTTTTTATAAGTGAGAAAAAGCTATTCTCGGGTGATGGGTAACTTAACTTTTGCTCACAAAGGAGGTCGTTTCACCTATGAGGTTGGGGCCAGAACCCTCTTTGATGTACCAGAAGAAGATTCTGGATGTCCTAACCTGCCAAACTTCCTTGTTTTTTTTTAAAAGACACCTGAAAGTCAAAGAAAACCCTCAAAACCCACAAAAATAGACTATTTTGGGGCTTTAAGCTTTTATTTCTCGATTACTAGGAAGTTGTGCAGGTTGAGACTTTCTGTATCTTCATCTGGTGCATCAAGGAGAGTTCTGGCCGGTTTTCAGGAAATACCCAACCGTGAAGTAAAATGGCCACCCTTGTCAAATCCACAGTAGTTCGGTTCCTACAAGCTTCAATCTCTTTTTTGGAACCTAGATGTCGACTTTTTGAAGATCAACATTTAATACGACATCTTACAGTACAGTACCACCTTTGGACAAGTGAGGGCAGGGAAAAAAGAATCTTATGTTGTTTTTTTCCAAATTTAAATTTGAATCCCCTTTAGATGGAATATTTGACAATGCTAAAAGTTTGACGATTTTTTTATAATGTTACCGAGCTTCGAAAATAGCCCACCCAACAAAAAGCACGGCCTTTTTTGAAGCAAACGAGTTATTCTAGTCGGTAAGTTGGATATAGGCCAGACTTGAAAAAGTTCGAAATGAAAAAAAATCTTGTGAAGGTTTTTCGAGAAGTTATGGACCTTCAAAAACAGCACATCCGACAAAATTTAGTTTTGAGCAGCTTTCAATATATTTCCTTGAAATTCGTACCGACTTTTAATAAACCAACAACTAAATAAGACAACTCACGACTCTCCTTGGTGAACTTGAAGAGAAATGAGAGAAATGAAAAGAAATGAGATGGCAAAGCCACGTAAAAAAACATCTCACGTAAATCATTTTTTTAAATGTTTAAAAATTATCAAAACTTTTTAATAGCCTAGATTTTGTATTCCACTTTATATATTGAATGATAGATTTGATTTTTCTTCATGACTCAAATTGATTCTTACAGGAATTTTGAACTTCAAGAGAAGGTTTTCGAGAACATGAAAAACTTGGAAAAACAATTATCTTTTGAGATTTTTTTAGAAAGATTTTCTGTGTGTGAGAGGTGCTAACCGGAAAAAAATTCCAATCAACTTTGAATATCTTTTTTTGAGACCGAGAAAATATGTATTTTCCGAAAAATCAAGAAATAAAAAGAACAACTCACGACTTTTTGATTGGAAGCTGAGGCGAAATGAAAGAAATGAAAAAGAAGTGTCGATCTTACGTTTTTTTCGTTTTTTCGAAAGTTCGCGTTGGCATTTATTTTTATTTAATTCGCGAGAAAAAAATGTACTTGAACTTCATTTCTAAACTGGAATATTGAGCGAGGACCGATCTGACGAGGAATAAAAAAACCGAGTCAAAAAAATGAAAATCTTTCATTTTATCACATTTTTTTAAGATTTTCAGATAGTTGCAAGCTTTGAAAAATGGAATAGCCACAATGTTTGAGTTTCAAGATATTTTTTTCATTATTTTTTTAACTGGTTGGAAAAATATTGATTTGAAAAATTTTCTGCAGATCTTCCCTATAACTTTTTTCACACTTCAATGTGTTTTTTCTGAGTTTGTTCCTCTTGAAAAAAAGTTCAACAAGTTTTTTGAAACGTCTTTTTTTCAACGCATTTTTTTAAAACAATTTACTTTTTTTCATCTTTCTCTTGCTTTCTCCTTCTCGAAACCTTTTTAAATCGGGAAAAATTCCAAGCAAAAGCCCTGAAAAACTCGTTCTTTCTAAAAAAAAAATCCTTGGACTCTGTCCCAGAGAACTTTTTTTCCTGGCAATTCGCCTTTGGATCGGCAGCTGTTCCACAGTTCCTTTGTGTGTTTTCTACTCGTAATCTTCTCGGTTTTTTTTTCTGTTTCTTTTTTTTCCCAGCCGCGCACCTGTTTGCCGGCCGTGCAACAAGGGGAAGCCTTTTCCCTGTTAAACGGTCTTTTTTTCTTCTGCTCTGAGTATATACTTACTATTGAACTAAGAGCTCATCTTGTTGCTCTAGCGGGCAAGATTTTCCCCTTCCTCTCGCTATTTTTCGCTTTTTTCGACTCAAAGTAGGATTTTGTGACTTTTGAATGGTACTTTTGTATTGGAAGCGGCTACCCTAATTCTTTTCGACTTATTTGAAATCCTTTCTTGAATTTTTTTTTCCGCACTTTTTATTGAGAACCTTCCAAACCGATTCCGTGACATTACAATATTTGTCTCGAAAGAGAGAAATGCCCACTTTTTAGAGCAATTTTATACGCCTTTTTGAAAGAATCTTTTCGGCCATTTTTATATGGTATAATGCTGAAATAAATACAAAAAAAAGTCAGTAATGACGATTCATATATATACTTGGGTATATGTTTGATGGATCGAAATTTAAGTTAGCATGAAGTTTTTCATTGTTTTCTGAAACGTAACTCGTTCTAGCAGCTTTTTTCATTTCTAAAAAAATTTCAACTGACGGAGATCTGGACAGAACTGGAGAGGATTGCAGTTAATTAATTGAGTCTTTTTTCGTGTTTATTCCCTATCTACTTTCAAATTTTATTGTTCAATTTCAGGCCCACCCTTTTGGACAGGGTGGACAGAACAACTAGCCAATATTCTCATACTTTTACTCTTTCATCTCACCGCGCACTTTGAATATTCCCATCGGAAATGAGCCTCGGAACTGCGACAAAAATTTGCTATGCACATTTTTAACAGTACTGTTCGTGTTCCTCTGTTTCATTTGATTCCTCTCACCGCTACTGAGTTCATATGATGTTAATAAAAAAGACAAATGGAAATAAAGCAACACTTACCGGAGTATCAAAGTAGAAAGCCGCCAAAATCATATTTTTATCGAGCCACGGAAATGATCCACGCAGAAGAAGCTTTCGATCATCCTGAAATTGAGTCAATTTTTCTTCGAATGCAGATTAGTATCGCTGCAGAAGGGCACTGCAATAGATTTTGTTAAATGAATCCTTCTAATTCGTCCTGGTTAGTGTTGCAAATTACTTTGAACTAAAACTAGACTTTTTGAAAACCAACAACAAAAAATAAAAAAATAAAAAAGATTTGTGCCAAAACGTCAAGTGTGCTCCTCAGACAATGTCAGCGTTGCGTCTGCGCGGCGCAAAATCAAAATCAGTTTTGCATTGAAATTGGTTTTCAAGTGTTTTCGGTCGTTCTCTTATTAATTTATGGTGTTTTTTCGATATAGGATAGTCGTGTATTCTAATATGAATCTGCAAAAAATGTTCTCAAGCTATGAAAAACTTAGAATCTCAAAGAATTATTCACTTTTCAAAATTCTTTTGAAATGTGGTTTTTTTTGTGTTTTACGTTTTTTGAGGCAGTTTCTCAATAGGAAGCGTGAGTAAAAGGCCGCGACCTTTCTGATTTTTCCACGGAACGTTTCAGAAGGGAGGAACATCCGTTTTTGTTAAAATTAGCCTGAGAAAAAGGAAGGAGGTTTTTTTTTCTGTGTTCTTTTAGATTGTGTTTCATCCGATTTTTAGTTTTGAAGTATTAAATTCGAATAAGACTTTCCCATTGTGAATGAGAGATGTTTTTTGTTTAATTTCTTTTCGGCTTCAACCTTTTTAGTTCCAGTTATTAAGAACATATCTTTCCGGATAAAAAGTTTTTTTTGCATCATCATTCCTGTGAGGGAGCTGAACTTGAACGTTTAGAACACTTTCTCCGTTTTGAAAGAACAAAAAAAAAGTTGAAAATGCGTGGAACTGTTTCCCATCCCGAAACCGATTCTCTTTTCTCACAAGAGCTAATTCTCGCGCACATTTCCCTCTCTGCCTCGGCTGTCACGTCGGCGAAAATTTTCAAAAACAGAACATTGGGCCCAGCTAGGATCCGACTGTTATCTGGCAACCGCGATCGCGTTTAACCCGCATTTTTTGTTGGTCACCGAGAGAATATGTTCTGGTTTTTGCGTTTTTCAACAATCCCCCATTAATTCACACATTAGGGAGGAAGTATTGAATTTTTATGGTTTTTGTTGTTTTAAGGAGGTTTCGGATGATTTTTTTATATAGATGATATTGTCTCTCATATCGTTTTTTTGTTAGATATTTAAAAATTTTTTTGAACAATTTTTTTCTTCATTTTCAATAGAAAAATTTCTTTCTCATAAAAGCCATTTCCTCGTTTTTCGCTTTTTTTCTGTGATCAAACTATTTTTTTAAAGATTTTTTTCTTCAGACTTTTTTTAGATTAACCAAAACAAAGCGAAATGAACGAAGTCGCGAGCCAGATCGCGGTCACGAGGTTTTTGTTTCTCGGTCCGAAATTGGCAATAATTTTTGGTTTTTTTCAGACTTTCTGCAGATGGCGAACCACGTTTGCCGGCCGAAGACATGGGAGATAACGCCCTGGATACGAAGTGAGCCAATTTCTTCGGGAAAATGGCTGTGGATTCAGATTTTTTTGGAAAGAAATTAGTGACAAGTTCAAGAAAAATCATAAACTTTAATTAATTTTAATACACTCCAATCGCTATTTTCGTCTAATTAACTTGACTTTTTCTTAGAAAATCGTGTATTTTCTCATTTAAATATACGTAAAGGAGAGTTTAATTGCAACTGATGCCTTTTTGGAATACCTTTTTTAGAACCTTTGTAAGACCTTTAGTTTTTGTTATAATTATCTTTGTACTTTCAAAATTTGCTTGTTTGCTGGATGTAATTTCCATGTTTCCAGGTCGACGATTTCAAACAAAAGCCTCAGAAAGGCTTCGAAAAGCCTCAAAAGCCACAGATCGTCGTCCAGCTCGAGCGAAACGAAGAAGTTCCACGCGGAAATTGTACGGTTCAGGAATATCTTGATATTTAAAAAATCTTTTTGTAACGAAAATGGGAGATTTCGGGAAAAGAGTTTACTTTTTGAGTGGGCAAATTGAAAAATTGATGATTTTCCGACCATAACTTCGTTGATTTGAAGGTTTCTTTTTTTAAATTTGTCCTTTTAGTAGGTTTTCCTGTCCTGAAAATTATTATAACCGTTTTATTATCAATTTCGTAAGATCGAAATTTTTTTCACTCTTTGTACATGCAAAGTTCGTCAAAGTTTCGATATTTTTCAAATTCCCCGTTTCAGGACGGTCTGAACGCCTTGATCGAAGTCGTGCAGAAACTTGGCAAATCGCACGCCGAAATGCAGTGGCACGACGTCAGAAAGGGATACGTCCGTGAAACGGGACGTCATCTGACCGTCGAGGAGATGAACACCATTTTCGGGGTTCACAATGTTACCAAGTGGGTAATCCTGGCAGAAATATGATGGAAAGTTGGTAGAAATGGATCGGATTGTATTTTTATGTACCGAAATAAGACTTATAATGATGTTGGGAAACTTTTTTAAATGATGAATTTTCAATAAAAATGTTCTATACAGAATAGGGAATTGGGAGAAGTTCTGAACTTTGCTTTTATATTTTTAAACAGCCCCTTTTCAGCAGAATTTTCGAAAAATATTCTTTTCAGAGCCTGTATAATTTCCTTTCGAACTTCCTCCAATTTAAAGAATTTTTTTCTGATTTTCTATTGATTAGCTCTGTTAAAATTTTTTCATTGACTTCCTGACCGCTTAGAATTTTTTCATGAGTTTTGTTTCGTATTTGATTGATATTTTCTCCAGACACGACATTTTCGAACTTCCCGCCGTGAAAGCCTTGATGACCCCAGTGGAAGGAAGTCGACTGATGCGGTTCAAGTTTAACTAAAAAAATGCTTTTTTCCTGAGAAATTACGATCTTTTTGAGGCTCAACTCTCAACGAGCCTTCGAAGCGGTCTACGAAATCAAGATGGACTCGCACAGTCGCCATTATTGGGGCCAGAAGCCGCAAGTTCATCAGAAGAATACTGTTGAGAGAATAAAATGTGAAGATTTTAGGAAGATTTTCGGAAAGTTTGATGAAATCAAAACTGTTATCATTATTTTACGCCACTTTTTTTTTTTAGTATGGAATAGAGCATTAAAAGATAGAATTTTGGAAACTAACAGTAAAAAAAGGGTTTTCTTCGAGTTTTAGACGCAAAGAGTGTTGGAAATTCTTGTTTTTTCGTTAATTTTCGAATCGAACATTTTTCAAAGATTTACCATTTTTTCGATAGTTTCATCTATTCTTGTCATTTTTGCTCTAGAATTGTATTCTTATGAATCAGGAATTTATTTTTTGAGTACAAAGAATTTGTTGGACTGAGCGAGATAAATTTTAAAAACTTTGAGCTTTATCTGCGAGTTTTGAATGAATTGAGTTAAAAATGATGAATAATGAAAAGGGAATTTTCAGCCGTTTCCCCAGTGACCTTGTCGGATTTCTCTTCGATCGACGTCGTCACTTCGCCAACACAAATCTCTTCCCCCATTGTTCGAATAATAAATCTGAAGTTTTTATAAAACGAATGATGATTTCAGGACGACATAAAACGCTCTCCGTCGCCCGAAGACGCCGGAATCGTCGTTGGAAACCCGCAGACCTACGGAGTGGCTCGTTCCGATTTTTCCGGATCTTTCAGCGAAGAAGCGGTCTTTCAAATAAATCAAAAAGTAGAAAAATGTGATTTTTAGCACGGAATCCTGTCTCATCAGGCTTCTCTGCAGTCGTCGATCACTGAGGACGAAGGATGGATTTCTGGACAGGTCTAGAGGAGAAAAAAAGACCTAAAATTGGACAATTTTTGTTAGAATGCGTAGTTTTTTTCGCAGTTGAACCTTCAGAAAAAAAGATTTTTGGCCAAAATTAGCCAAAAAAATTAGAAAAAAAGTTTGATTTAAATTTTTTTGTTGTCCAATTTTTTTGATATTTTTTTGTTTTCTGACGCCTTACGATTTATTCAAACTGAAACATTTAAACAGTTAATTTTTTTGGCTAAGAAATCGAAATCCTATATTTTTTTATAATAAAAATTCGGCTCTGTTAGTTTTCGGTCAAATAACCTTCAAAAATTTCCCAAGATTATATTAATTTTATTGCTAGATTTTCGTGAATTTATTATTTTTTTCCCTTGGTAATATAACTTTATAGCTGAATTTTCAATCAATTCCCATGATTATCAAAAAAAAAAAAAAATTCAAGTTTGATTTTTCAGGCTCGATCGGACAATTCCTCGCCCTTGGAGAACAAAGACGACGACGAAGTTTTCGAGAAGCCCGTGGAGCAGAGCGAGATCAAACTAGACACACTGATGGAAGTTGATCCGCCGGTTGAAATGGAAACCAAAACGGAGACCATTGTGAAATGTGTCCAGCCGGAGGATAATTTGGAGACCGACGTCGTTTTTGAGTTGGTTTTTGAAGATTTCATTGGATAAGATTTATTGATTCACTTGTTTGAAAATTGAGAATAAAAATCATTTCACTCACGAAATAAATCAGAAAAAACCTCCGCCTATATCAAATTCTTACAGTTTTTTCAAGAGATTTATAAAAATTGAAACTAAATTTTTTAAAGATCATTTTCGTTTCCTTTTTAAGCCATTCAAGACAAAAATATGAGAAAGTTTTTTTTTCAGTACAATTCGAGCCGCCGAACCAGTTGCTGCCACTTTTTCGGACAAAACTGTCTCAAATTCTCCTGTCGTTGAGGCCAGAACTCCGGTGGCGAAGTTGGCCGCGGACATTACTTTGAAGTTGAAAATTTCACGATTCAGCCTTGGAAGTTGATATTTCCAGGTTGAGCCAGAAGGAAACCGCAGAGCCATTCAAAGTGAAGGCCGCGCCGAGAAAGTTTGTCCAGCCACAAATTGCGCAGGACGTTCCTGAGGTGGCCGCCGAGGAAACCGTCCAAACTCGTCATGTGTCGACGCCGCCGCCCGTCCGAGACCTCATCGCTCGATTCGAAGTCGCTCAGCACGCTGAACCTTCTCCGGTGAGTTTTGTGGAGAAGGAAAGCTCATTCCAAGCCAGCTTGTCACGTTTTTCTTTCCGAATTAGATCGAAATAGAGCATCTTCACTCCAAGACCTTTGTTTCTTGCTGTCTTTTTTGCCTTTCAGTAGAGCAAAAGTTTGTAATAACGGTAGATTTTTCTTGTCTCTTCATTCAAAACCTAACCGTCTCGCGAGGAACGCACTATAAAGAACTTAGTCAGACTGGGAGGAAAGGTTGACTCAAAAATATTCTCGAAAATTAGAATAAAATCAATTTTCAAGGTATTTTCGTCCACAGTGATACAATTTTTGACCTTAGGGAGGTGGTATTAATTTTGGACAGATTTTTGCACTTTTTGGGGGTAGGCCGCACCCCGGAGTGGCATCTAGCCGACGTGTGATTTAGGAAAACTTGGGAGTAGGGGTCGGTGGCCTCTGATTTTTCGCTGAGTAAAAACAAAAAAAAATGAGAAGTAGTAAAAGTTGATTCTTCCTGCTGAAAATTTGAAAAATGTCATTTTTCGGTTCAGAAACCGTACAAAGGATCTGCAAACGAGTCGGTTTATGCCCGACTTCGAGACGAGTTCGGAATCACGGCTGATACTCCCCGTAAGCAGATTCCAAAAGAAAAAGAGAGTTCAAAGGGATATATTCCAGCCGCTGTGCACTTTGATCAAGCCTCCTTCGACTTGGAAGAGGCGATCGACGCGGAAAGAGACGAGGCCATGGACAGCTTCATCGCCGAGCATTCCAGGGACTTCACCAAAGAAAGGGACGACGAAGATGCGCCTGTTTCGCTCAAAGAGGTGCGGAAAGGAGGGAAATTTAATAAAGAGGAATTTTTACAAGAAATGGGGAAAACAGCTAGCGGAACACTGTTCCGAAAATCGTTGTTTTATTGGCCGATCATTTATTAATTTACTTGAGGAATGAAGTTACTGCAAGATTGCAAAAAAAAAACATAAAATTTAGAAAAGGAGAAAATAAAACATAGTTTTTCAATTCTTTTGACCAAAAAATATAGGATTTATAGATTATTCAAACATTTTTCAACAGGAAGTTGATGAGAAGTAGTGTGAGCAAGAAATGAAGAAAAGTAATAATTTTTCAAGCGCTTCGAACAAAAAAAAAATGAGGAAAGTGGAGAGTTTATTGTACATTTTGTGAACAGGAAATATATGAGTAATACATTGAAATATAATATTCCCAAAAAAATGCCTGAGAAAAAAATCCAAGTAATTTTAACCATATTCTTTTTAAATATTCGAATAAATCATACTTCAACTTTTTGATCAGTTTGTGGTTAGGACCGTTTTTAAACCATTTTTCAATAATTTTGGTATTTTATTCTGATTCGGCATATATTCCTAACATGAAAAAATCCTGAAATCCTGTGAAAATGTTTAAAAGAAATTTTTGAAAATAAGAATTCTTGTTTACGGCTTCACAGGGCATATATATATTTCATGAGGGTAAGCAAAAGATGATATTTTGCAGTCAGGTGAGAGAAAAATTCTGAAAAATTTTATCTGATCAGATGTGATAGAATGGTTGAATTGAAAGATGAAAATTATTCTTTTAAACTTTAATTTCTCCAATTTCAGCAGAATTCTGTAACCTCGGTTGATCATGAGTATTTCTACAACCGGTGCCGAGTCTCGGATAACGCTTTTCAGAGGGTAAAGAGCCATTTTCGGATCAAATTGAATGAGTTTTCGGTTTCCAGGGCGCTAGTCAAAGCGATTCCTGCAAATCAGTGGATATGGATGAAGTTTTGGAGAAAATTCACGGGTTCGTTTGGCGGGAAAATCGAAACTTTGAAAATTTTGCATGACATTCATCAATAAACCTTAATATAAAGGGAAAAAAATGGGAAAAATTTTATTTTAAAGTTTTTTGATGGTGTTTTTGACCTAGTTTTTTGATTATTTTATATCATGAAGAATATTGTGACTGTTTTAAGCCTGTCAAAAATGAGTTCCTTTTTAAAATGAGAATAAATTAGAGCTTCCAGTAACCCTCCGGTGGTCTACAGAGAGACTCGGCACATTGAAAAGGAGGAAGATGGAGTTGTGAGGGGAATTTCGGAAGTTTTCTGAATAATTTCATGGATTTAGACGACTTCATGCACGGAAGACGTCATCACAGTCGTTGAGCGGAAAATCACGATCGAAAGTCAAGAATTCGAAACGAAGGACCTTCCAACGACCAGCGATGCGTTGAAGCAGCAGAGAAAGTTGGCCGAGGTAGAAAATGGGAAGAAAACAGTGCTTTTGTCGATTTTTGGAATTTTTTTTTGATGAAAAACGTACTTTTTTCTCAATTTTCTTGAGGTTTAGAACGAGGTAACAATTTTCGAAGTTAGGAAAGGTTCAACAGTTCAAAATCAAAAAATATCAGACTGATGAAAAAAAAACTGTTCGGAATGTTTTTCGCAATGTATTTTGTCTATATTAATTGAAAATTCCGATTATTTAAATCAGGAAAAGGAATTTTGAAAAATGAAAAAAGATTCGAAAGTTTTTCATTTATTTATTGGACTAATTTAGTCCGACGGCGACATACCGTACTCCATTGGCAGCGAAGATGAGGAAGGTATTTTTCAAAGAAATCTGAACAAAAATTAAAAATAATGGACTTCAAGGTCCTCTTACTACGGCCGACGGCCAAAGAGCCGACAAGGTCATCTCCGTGAGCGTCGAGTTGGACCCTCAGGCGAAAAAACGCGAAGTTGCTGTCGACGTTCCCAAGGAGGTGCGTTTGAAAAAGTCGATTTCAAGTTTTAAAATACAATCATCTTCCGGCACGCCCCTTTGCTCAATTCCTTTTTTGAGGACCCCGATTTCATCGAAAATGATGAAGACGCCAATGTTTCGGTCCTCAACCGCACCTTGGACCTCCAAGCGATCAACTTGCCACAAAAACCTGACCCGGAAGCGGTAGAAACGTCCGCACTTTACAGGAAAATGATGGACTTTTCACAGACTCTGCCCGATGGCTCGGTTCGACCCCGTCGTCGTGGAATTTTGCGTCGTCCACAGTGCTGCCTCGTCATGTGAACAACTCCAAAATGATACGAAAATGATGATAAATTTCCCCCCGAAAGCTTTATTCCCTTCAAAAGACTGTTTGACCCCTAACCTATTCTTCTTTTTTCCTTTTTTAAACTTAACTCTGTCTCTTTTTGACTATTTTTATATTTTATCGTTTTTCCCCGTATTTTGTTTCTTTTGAATCGGTTTACAAACCCAGATGATGAATTTTTTTCTTTTTGTTGCAGTAGGGAAAAGGAGCCATGGAACTTGGAGCTAAAAAGATGTTTTTGGTCGTTTTAATTGGATTTTATGCTCTGAAAATGTTTTTTTTAAAGTTAAATCTCTGAATTTTTGGTTTTTATCAACATTTTCAGCGTCTAATTCATGTGGAAATGTTAAAATCTTGAATTTTCGGGCTTCAAAGCTATTTGAAATGTGGATTTTTAATATTACGATCTGGAATAGTTCTAAAAAATGTTTTGAAACATTGCTTATTCGCTTAAAATTATTTAAAAGACCTAAAAGTAACTTTTTTCCCATTTTCACGGTTCCTTTTCCCCTACTTTCCTCTCTTTTTTTGCCGGCTTTTCCGTGGCTTTCAGTCCTTTTTTCAAGAAAATAGCTCTCCCTAGGTCTATTTTTGCATGAAAAAATGACACGCCACTACTGGTATCTTTAATATATAATTTCCTTCCTTTTTCGTGGGTATTGAAGCCTTTTTTGGCCCTCAAACTCTCTTTCTAAGCGTCGTTTTATGTGTCTTCTGCTGCGTCTCTTGGCCAAATGTACACATTTTCTTTCTCTCTGTGTTTTATTCCATAAATTTAATTTCTAAAAAAGATAAGAAGTAAGACGTTCTATCCGACCCGCCGTGTCTCTTTGTTGTAAATGATTTTCTTTTTTTTTTCGCTTTTTCTTCAAAAACACGAGAATAAATTGTATGCAACTGTGTTGAGTATGATCCTTTTGGGTAGAAATTTACGAATCTTACTGTAGATTTTGTGTTATTTTGTCAATTCGAAGCTTTCAGATTTTGTTTTGAAATCAGAAGAATGACAGGTTTATGCGAATTAAAAATGGAAAAAATTTTTTTTTTCAAGGCGACGATTTTTTGGATGTTTTGAATGCTTCTGCACTGGCATTCGCTTTAAAACTGATCAAAGATGAGAAAAAAGGTCCGTTTTTTAAAGTTTTTACTTTGAGTTTTTTGAAAAATCGCATTATTAAGGTTTGAAAAATGTTTTTGAAGGCTTTAAAAAAATTTGTTTAGTTGAAAAATTTTTCAAAATCTTAAGGCGACGAAAATTTTAAGTTTAGAATTCTTTGAGGTTTAGCTGAATTTCTATTTCAAGGGGTCGCTAAGTTTGAGGTTATTAATACCAAAAATTCAATTATTGATGATTTTTAGAATATATACATATATATCAAAAGTATAAAAGTTAAAAACGTGAAAAGAGAAAAAAGGATTAAGATCCCAAGGTTAATTTACGTTTCTCGAACTATGGTTATCTTTTAATTTCATTATTTCTCCAATTTGCTGATTTTTGCTGTTGGCACTTCTATATTCTATTCATTTTGTTTCTTCTAAAAATAGACTATATAACGACTGCTTTTTTTCTCTATCAAAGTTTTTCATTTCTTGACATGACTTTCACTAAAAAAATTATTTGAATTTTTCGTGACTTTCTGTATTTTTTTGATTTTTTTAACTTAAATTTATTAAAAAAACGTCAAAAAAATAAACAAATAATATTGCTACATGTGCAAAGTGTCACGTTAACGTCAGAGAGAAGCGGTTTGCGATTAAACGAGAATTAAAACTCACTAAAAAAATAAACAATTGATTGAAATAATAAATAGATCACGTGGAAGATTAGACCAAGGAAATAGTATAAAAGGCTCTGATTTGGCAGATTGCCATTCAACGTCTCGACACCGCCTCTGCCCCCACCTTCGCCTGCTTCTTCCGAGGGAGCCCCCGCGACTTGCCCGCGACTTCTCCTGTCTTATCCTGATTGCCGCTTTTATATAAGTTTGTGTGTACGTGTATACGGAAAACGGTTGTAGAACTGTGAAGACTTTTATTGACTTTGAGGATGAAGCAGGAGAAGTAGCAGCCTACATGCCCCTCGGAAGAAGCAGGCGAAGGTGGGGTAATATGATCGACACTCTGCAGAATCAGACCCTTAGGTAGGCTGGATCCCACCCCGGGGTGCGCGCCCTATCCCCACAAAATGCCAAAATGCGTCTTCTATGTTAAAGCCGCGTAGACCGCCTTGCCATTTCTTTGTCGCTGCCTAAAGCGCCAGGGGCCAGAACCGGGATGGCAAAAAAAGCCTGTGCAAGAAAAGAACACGAAAAAACTGGGATTCTCAATGAAGCTTCCAGATTTGAAAGTTACTTGAAATTTCTGATGGTGCGCGGAAATTTATACTCTCAGCGGATCCCTGACCATAAATCTGAAACTCCGCTCAAAGAAAGGAAAAATTTAGCAGCACTCTACAAAACATTTAACTGGACATCATAAACACCCTTCTTCTTCTCCTTTTTCCTACGCCTTTGTACCGCGGCATCGGCGCCCCAAGTCGATTAGCCGAGGTCCTATCCTGATATTAAGAATAATCAGTGAACTGAGTGACATATCCTTTCTTGTGTGTGACGGCTGGGGATTTGAAGCCGTGGTTTTCCACTACCAACATTTCTTAAACCTCTTGGTTGGGTCGGGGATCAAACTTGTGACCCTGCGGACCGTAGACAGGCACATACAGTACCGCTCAAAAGTGTATTAAGTTTTGGTTTTTTGAGGATATCTCAGCGAGTACTTATCCGATTTATATATAACTTTCAGGAATAATGTAAAAATATACTTTGAAACATATACGGTATACAAATACATGTCCGCAATCACTGTGACGCGTTTTAGGAATTTTTTTTGAATTCAATTTTTGTTTTTTTATGCTTTTTATTTTTTTATTTATTTTTTTATTAAATTTTTTTAAAAAGTAATAATGTTGCCATATGTTTTTTTTCATGTTTTCAGACATGGGAAGAACCTCTGGAAAAAGGATTTGACTGATAACGGCAAAAGAGCCATCGTTGTGGGTCGTCAAAATGGACTGACCATGATGACGCTGGCAGGAATGTTCGGCGTGACAAAGGCGGGCATTTCTCAGTTCCTAAAGCGTCAGAAAGCTCAAGATGGCTCTACTAACAGCCAACGCACTGGAAGACCACGTGTCACTGATGGTAATGACGATAGAAACATTTTGAAGACGTCTAGAACCCAATCCAAGACTCACCGCCCCTGCGATCAGACGGGAAGTTTTCTTGAATTCGCCATCTCCGCCATCCGTCTGGTCTGTGAAACGACGTCTGAATGCTGCTGGAATCATGGGAAGACGTCCAGTGAAAAAACCGCTGATTTCTGAAAAGAATCGAGCCGCCAGGGTGAAGTGGGCGAAGGAGCATCTCAACTGGACCCGTCAAGACTGGAACAAGATTCTGTGGTCCGACGAAACGGTCTTCCACCATGTTTTACAGTAAGTAATTGGTGTTGCGGATGATATCTGGACCCAATTGGTCTACGAACCCAATGAATTCCGTCACTTCCGAAGAGGAGGAACTTGCTTTCGTCGGACCACAGAATCTTGTTTTTCATGTTTTTTTGGAAAACATGAAAAAAACTTATGGTAACATTATTACTTTTAAAAAAATTTAATAAAAAAATAAATAAAAAAATAAAAGCATAAAAAAACAAAAATTGAATTCAAAAAAATTCCTAAAACGCGTCACAGTGATTGCGGACATGTATTTGTATACCGAATATGTTTCAAAGTATATTTTACATTATTCCTGAAAGTTATATATAAATCGGATAAGTACTCGCTGAGATATCCTCAAAAAAACCAAAAACTTAATACACTTTTTGAGCGGTACTGTATCCTGCTGCGCTACCCAGATGGACATCATGAAAACTGAAAATTACAAAAAAATAATAATGGAAAAGTTGCGAAACCAAAAATTGATGAAAAATGAACTAAAATGACAATTTTCGCCCAAATTTTGCAACGTTGTATTATACGCCATCGACACATTATGACGCGGCTCATTCCATCTCAGAGGCCTGATGTTTCTGGGCGTAAGGCGGGCATCTTGCGCCCGGGAGTGCCCTCATTTCTTTCACATCTGTTTCCCTGGTCTAATCTTTCACTTGATCTATTTTCATTTGGCGAGTTATACATACTCAACATATTTCAATAATAACAAAAAAAAATTCAATCAAATTCAGATGCGCTCGAAGACAAGCCACAATTTGAAGCCACTATAACTGGTTAAAAAATCCAATTTTTTTCAAATAGATATTATTTTTTGTAGGAGATCAGTACTACAAGGCGGCGCTACTCGCGTTTTCTCTTCATTTATTTGAGAAAAAGTCAGAATCTTCCGTCGTTTCGGAGCGTTGCGATACGATTTCTTTGGCTTCGTGTTTGAAAATAAAATGAATGGAATATATTCATTATTTGTTTCAGGTGATCTGACCAAGGGATTGTATGGCATTGCCAAAATGGGTGAGTTCCGGAAAACTGTCTCAAAACGTTTTAGATATCTTCTTCGTTTTTGAATTTTTTCGGTTACTTTTGAAGAGTGATTCACATGAATATATTGTTTTGCTTGAAAAGGTCCTTTACTCATGAAATTCGTATTCTCAAGGTATCACTGCAGGTGGAGTTCCAGGCTTCCTTTTTTTCAGGCTTTTGGAACCTGTTTAATTTTTTTTTCTCATCACTTATTTGGAACTTATTTGGAAAAGAAAGATCCGGTATGAAAATAAACAGTCCTTTAGTTTAGAACTTCTTCTTTCAGTTTTTTAGTTTCGAAAAATAAAAACGAGTTAATAAAACATTCATAAGATGAGCAAATTTGAATATCCTCTCATGAAGTGACAATATTGAAGGCATATTATTCAAAATCTGGCTCTTCGCTATGTTATTTTCATTTCCTCAAAATACCATAGCACAAATTTTCGAACGAAATTACATTATTCATCATTATTTTCAGAACATCTGACTTATTCCGAATTGCCGCAAGATACTCAAACCCAAGGATGCGAGGATAATATGAGCTTGCCGGAAACGAAAAGTTTAGGCTCCTTAAAAGGTTCAACCGGTTTTTCGAAGCTATGGTCGCACGGGGAATGGTTTGATCCATATTCTGTTGCTTTAGAACATCCGATGAAAATTTTGGTTCGAGTCTCGACGCTTTTAACCATTCCAAATGCCACCACTCAAAAAATAATAATAATAATAAACTTGATGACGGGGTTAAGAAAGCGAATCGGAGGAGTTGACCGATTTCGAGATGGATTCTGATGAGGAGGGATCACAAGAAGAAGAAGAAGAAGAAAAATATACGAAGCAACTTTTGTCGATTCCCAGTAAGGAGATGCTCAAAAAAGGCGCGAAAGTCGTGAAACAGGTAGTGTTTACAGTGAATATTGACTGATAGAAAAAGAGCTATTAATTGTCGTTCTACTTTGAAAATTCGAAAAAAGGAGTTTCAGACAGAGTTTTCCGATATTCCGGTATTAACCTTTGTAGAAGAGTTCTCTGTTCAACTTCAAAAACTTTTAGAAAAGTCAAAAAAATGGCTGTGAACAGATTGTATTCAATTTCAATTTTTCCAAGTGTTTTTTTTTTGAAAATGGAAAATTGAGAATTAATTATTAGTTGACTTCCTTTTATCAAGGTTATTTGTTCTCTTCTCCTTATTTAATAGGATTTCACTCTTTTTTCGAATCTAGTCCATTTTTGAGCTTGCAGGACTCGAATCTGATCGCACTTCTATCATTCGATCCCAGAGCCCGCAAACAGTTCCCTTTCAGACTCAAATGGCGGGAACTTATTGAAGAACAAATCGAACTTTTGAGGTTTTTTCTGAATCTTTGGGAATACCTAAAGAACTATTGATTTTTCCTGCGAGTTTTCATGAATACAATTGGGGAAGTTAGAAGACGAAAAACAGCTTCTGCAATATTTAAATGCCGGCGTTAGTGTTTTGGACGCATACACACCGACTCACACTTGCACGATTTCTTTCAGAAAAAAATTTTTTCGCATTTTTGAGAAAAAGAAGCAAATTTAAGAGAGAAATGACAAAAAATGACTTCTTACCTGCTTCTAGGAAACTTCGTCTGTTTAATGTTTTTAAATCCTTTTCATTTACCTAAAAAGGTCGCAAGGAAGAGATTTGACGAAGAAAGCACAAATGAAGTTTCTGAGAGGGAAAAATGATTTTTTTTTCAGAAAAAAACATGAAATAGGGGAACTAGTAGTATTCGAAAGATATACATGAAAAAGCTAATTTTAATGAAGCTATCGTGATTCAGGAAAAATCAAACAATAGTTTTTCCGTTTCTGCAAAATGATTTTAGCAAAAAACAAGCATTTTTAACTTTCATCATATGAATAATTTATTCACTAAAAAACCCAACTTTCTGGCCGTTAAAATTGAATTTCTCGTAAATTGTTTTGTCTTTTTTTTTTGGAATGTTTCTGGATTTTCATTTTTTCAGATACTCATAGTTTCACTGTTTCCAACCAAAATATCTACCCTTCTAAGATTTTATTTAAGTTTTCATCCGCAAATCTTTTCTTTTCTGAAATTTCTTAGAGGAGAAAGGGTTTAAAGATGAGAATATTTTATCTCGCGCAGCCGTTTCGGGTCCCAAAAATGGACGGCTTAGAGGGAGACCCATCGTCAGCATTTTACCCTCTTGCTTTAAATCAAAAAAAGATATAAAAAAAGTTTTTTTAAGCTATTACACCTAGGCGCAGTTTTAAATTAATAAAGTTTGGGAAATTGAAAAGGAAAAAGGAAAAAAACTGAGAAATGAAGGGGGAAGAGAAAGGAAAAAGAAAAAAAGTAGGGAATGTAGTCATATATATATATCAATAATTCAGAGAAGTCAAGACTTCGAACTTCTCAACATATGTCTCCATTTCACAATTCCGAGATTATTTCCATATCATTGGATGGGAATGTGCCGTGTTCAGGGTTGAAAAAAAAAAACTAAAGCTCAAAAAAAGAAAGAAAATTTAGATCAGAAATCCGTTAGCTCAAGATGGATTCCTGCATTTCGCAGTGAATACAATGCAACTTTATGAAAGTTTCCTGGCCATGGAAATTACGGTAACTGTTTTTGAATATTTCTTCGAGTTTATGTGTCTGTAAAGAGTTCCAAAATAGATATTTTGGTTTATTCGAAAAATAATACTACTGTAGTTTTTTTTGCTTTGAATCAAAATTTGAACTGAGAACACGAATTTTTCAATAAGAAATCGCCAGTTTTATACCCAAGGGGGGCGTGGCCTGCCTGCGCTCTCTACAAGCCAGGCACTGTTTTCTTTTCGTGTCAGGACCCATTTTTCGATGGCTCAAGTCAGCCGTGGACTAGCTTTAAGATGAGAACCGGAAATGAAGCTTTAACACAGTTTTTTTAATTGGAGAAGGATTTCTCTACTTTTTTTAGACCGTTAAAAAGAGAAAAAGAAAAATTAAAATTGTATTTTATGTCGATTAGAAATTAGAAAAAAACAGTTAGTATTTTTTTCATGCAAACCTTGGGTTTTAGACCTTTTTTTAAAAATACAGAAGTCATTCTGGAATATCTAATTTTGATAGGGATTTTTTTGGAGCAAAAAAAATTTTTTGTTAATTTAAGCTGTTGTCATTTTTTTTCATTGAACTTTTGCGCTTTGCATTCTCAAAGTAAGTTTTTTTAAAATCATTTTTTTATCGATTTTTGACTTCATGTGTGAATTTTTACATTAGAACTTTGAAAAAAAGAATAATTTTTACAAAAATCTCAGGAAATCGCCTCATATCCCTCGCAAGCACTGCAATATGTTCTCGTCAAATTTCTCTACTGCCCAGATATTTTCTATGCGAGTTCAACTGAGTGGCTTCAAACCAAAGAGGTTATTCCTGATTGGTTAAAGGTGGTGAATTGATTTGAAAATTTGAAGGTCCTGGAAAAAATGCTGTCGTCTTTGACGATCATGGACGTGCTGCTGAACTTGCTCGCCACGATTTCGGACGTCTTGCAGAAGTTTGTGAAGAATTCTGATACCAGAGTGGCCCCTATAGGGACACTCTTAGGGGCACTTGAAGGCTCCCCTCTTGGGACCACTTAATTTCCTCCTGTAGGGGGCACTAAAGCTCACAAAAGTTGCAACCTTAGGGATTTTAGTTAGTGGCCACTCTAGGGGAGCATGCTAGTCGTTTATGAATTGTATGAGAAGAAGTATTTCCATGCGGAAATCTCAATGAATCAGCGTTTTTTGAATGAAAAAATGTCAATAGTTGATTGATCTATCACGCTTTATTAAATACGTCCTTCTCATTTTCAAACCCGATCAAAAAGTTTGACTTCTATAGGGACCACTTCAGCTTTAAAGGCCGACGGCCTAGATCCCAGAGAGAGACTACCTTAATTTTACAGAGGCTTCTGGGCCAGACCCTAAACTTCTATGAAGACTATAATTTTTTCCCCTCCAGGGGTCACTATTTTTTCATGTAGGGCTATTTCCCTGACCCCTCTAGGGACCATTCTAGCAAGAAAGCCCCGAGATACCTTCTGAAAAAGTTTCGACGAGCTTTTACTCGGTTGTCTGTGGCGTTGAGCAGAATTTTATTTAATTTTTTTTTGATTTCCAGCTTTTGCATCACTAAGGAGAAAGTTTAGCAGAATTTTAGCAGAAAGTTTAGCTTGGCTGACGCCAGGCTCACTCATTCCATGTATGAGTATCTTTTGGAAAAAATTGAAAGACCTCTTTAGGGACCACTTCAACTTTAGGGGCTTCTGGGCCAGACCCTATACTCCTATAAAGACTATATTAGTTTTTCACCCTCTATGGATCACTTTTTTTTTTAAATGTAGGGCCGTTTCCCTGACCCCTCTAGGGACCACTACAGCAAGAAAGCTCCGAGATACGCTCTGGAAAAGTTTCGACGAGCTTTTACTCGGTTGTCTGTGGCGTTGAGCAGAATTTTATTTAAATTTTTTTGATTTTCAGCTTTTGCATCAATAGAAAGTGAAGTTTAAAATAAAATGAATCAGTAAAATTTAACCATTATGAAACGAAGTAGTTGCAGATTCTGCAAGGAGAGGATCTTGAAGGACGGATCCTCGCGTGACGACGTCTTCATCTCCTTCGCTGTCAGTCAACTCCAATATTTGTCCCAACTCTGTTCCCACCGCATGACCCAAGTCTCTAATCATTACGATGGGATTACTTTTTGAGTTTTGATTTGATTTTATGAGGAAATCTCAAGAAGGATCTATTTTTCCTTTTTTTATCCCAAAATAATCAATTTTGTTTTGTTTTGTGAGCCTTAATTACCCTTCCTAAGCAGTGTGTAGCCTTTAGTATTACGGTAACTTGGGGTAATGTAAGAGGTGACATGCCTAGGGGTTGGGGGCTACACACTACTAAGCTAACTTTCGGTTATTTTTTAGAAATCTTCATTTTTTTATGTACCATATCAACCTTGTAAATGTATCATTCTGTGAATTTTTTTGCTGTATTTTTTTGTTTGTGATTAAAAAAATTTTTTTGTTTTCCGTGGATTTTTTTGTTATTTATGTACCTGTCTAATCAGTTTTTTTTTTCAAAGAAAAAAAATTTATTCAACTGCCTGAAATGAACGGTAGTTGATCAATCTCATCTGGAATCCAATAAAGAAACGCGATCCAGTAGACGACGTTGAATAGAATGTACAATGAAGGAAAAATGATTTTTGAGACGTTGTCGATTCGGTTCACTACCTTAAAATGGTTCAATTTATTAGAAATTCAAGACGAAAAAACCTTCGCCGGATCCCGCATTTTGAGCTTTTTCTTGGCGATCGCTGCCTTTACGGCCATCCGGTAGAATACTGAAAGTTTTGGTGACGTCGTTTTGCTTGGTTAGAGAGTGTTTGAAAGTAGGAGAATTAGATATGCAGAGAAAATGATATGACGTCATTTTATTTGCGCCCAACTTCCTTTTGATAATTCATGACGTCATCGCTAAGTTTTTGATTTAAAATATAGTCTGTTCAGATTTCAAATGTCAAGTCCTCGCTAAAGCTCCGCCCCTAACGGCGCGATAAACCAATCAGAGAGCGAGGCATCTACAGAGTGTTTTTGAATGACGTGGCACTTGACACAATGGCACTTGACATTCAAAATCTGAACAGACTATAACTGGAAAGAGACATCATGACGTCATTTTTTTCAAATTTCTTGATTCAATGGAGTCATTTGAGCTGAGCCTGACTTATGACGTCACTTAACCACCTTTTTTGTGAGCAATAGATCTCAAAATAACCCCCTTCATCTTTCAAAAAATATTCCTTCTCCAAAAAAAGACCTGATGAATTGCTATTCTGATCCTTCTGGAACAACTTCTTGTACCAGGGGATCGCTTTGAGACGAGCTTCCTCGGCTTCAACCGCCTGGTCGTCAACCTTAACTTTTTTTTTCATTAAGCTATAGTTTTTTCTAGAAAGTTAACCTGAACTGTAGGCCTTCGAGCACCCATCAACCCGGCGGTGAACATTCTCATTTGTCCCATCTGCAAATGTCAAAAAAATAATTTGAAGTTGCAAGTTTGCTCTATCGAACAAGGTTTCTGATTGGCTATATAGCTGATTCACGGCTGGCTTGAGCCATCGAGAAAAGGGTCCTGCCACGAAAAGAGACGAGACAGTGCCCTGGTTGGTGGAGAGAGAGCAGACAGGCCACACCTTTTTTGCGTCCCAAGCTAGCCGTGAATCGTCTATACACTCCTTGGACTTCTGTAACGGAAACCGGACGTTTCTGAGCATTCCTAGGGACAACTTTAGTGACGCCAGAGCTCTTAAGGGATCACTTGAAATGGTCAGAAACGCCCGGGGCGCGTTCGAAAAAAACGGCTCATTTTTTTTGTTTCTTTTTTTGAGGCTGGAAAGAAACGTTAAGAATTTTAAAAAAACTGAGAAAAAAATTTATTCAGAACAAAGTCTGGGATTAGAATATTAAAAAAAGTACAAAAGTCTCAAAAAAATGCATTCGCAAGCGAAAATTTGTGAAGCAAGGCCTGTTTAGAAGATTGTTGTAAAAAAATAATGCTTACAATAATTCTACTGTTTTGAAACAGTTATAAATACCCCGATTTGAACGTAAATCTATTTTGAGACCCCTTCGGAAGGCAGAGTCCCTGTTTAAGTGATTTTATCAAATTCGCTTTTTAAAATAATAATTTCTTCACAAATCTTCACGATAAATCGCCCTTCAGAAGCGTCCTATTTTGAGTTTTTACATCTTTTTGAAATTTCCCATCTATCAATTATTTGAAGCTTCTTTCAAAAGCTTGTGAGCTTCAAGTTCAAAAATACCGCATTATTCTGCTCGAGGCCTTTCAAATCCTCGACTTGTTTCCGGATATAAACGATTTGGGCGTAGTTTATCACGGCGTACTCGACCATCGCCGCGAAAACGAATCCAAAACAGCTCCTGGAAGGTTTTTTTGAAGATGAAGATGTAGATGATCTTCTGGGCTTACAGAATGTAGATGTCCAAGGCGGTCGAATGCGAGACTTTGGGTAGATCCGTCCGAAGGCCGAATCCGAGGGTCGACATCGAGAGAACCGTCATGATTCCTGGAAATTTCGTAGGTAATGTCATGTTTCTTCCTCAATATTCATTCATAATTTGAAAAAAAAAGCTTCTTTTGATCAAATTTCGGGTGGAAGGGCTCAAATGCTTGCTTTGAAATGCGCCCGACTTGAAACGACTTGCGCGATTACGTGTTAGAAACTATTAGTTATCAAAATGGTTTTTTTTGAGCCATTCCAGGTGCGACCAGAGATTAAAAGTGAAGTTTAATGGCGATAATTTTTCAAAACCAAGGTCAGAGTACTTGAAAATAACCGTTAATCGCCACGACTCTGACCTCTCTGCGCTCTTTTTTCCCTCGTCGGTCATATAAACGTGAAAAATAGCCCGTGAACACGAGAGGCACAGAGAAAACAGACTCTCATTCGTGAATAATGGACACCAAGACACAAAAAAATATTGCATAGCGGAACAAGAAAGTATAAGTTGGTGTGAATAAGGAACAAGCTTGAAACTGTGATCTCCAATAAACTGCAACCGACCCAAAGCTACTCTCGCCGGCGAGGCCTCCTTGTTGATCCAGAAAGAGACCCAGGACATGACGACCAAAAGAGAGCAGGGAGTGTAGATTTGGAGGACGTAGTAGCCTTGCTGACGTTGGAGTTTGAAGTAGACTTTCAGGACTGAGGCTTCTGAAAATGTTGAGGTTTTTGAGTATAGTTACTGGTTATTTAGTATGATCTCTAATTTGATTGAAGAAGGGTTAGATTGGTTTCATGGCAACTTTCCGCTTCTAAAAATGGATGATGAGAAATTTAAAGGGATTTTTTAAGTTTAGGCATAGTTTATTCCTACTTACTACAATTCAGATGATTTTTGTTCAAAAACGAAGAAAAATGCCCTTATTATTTCCTTAATGTCTTATAATCTTTAGAAATCGAGAAAGTTTCCTGAAAAATTTTCACTTTTAAATATTCAAAATTCAAAAATATGGCCATTTTTATAATAGCTCCATTCAAAAACGTAAAAATCTGCACTACCTGGGGATTTTGTTGAATTTAGCTATGGTCTGTTCATTTGAAATATCAATCAATCAAAAAAGACTGTTGAGAATTAATTTTTCAGCGCGCCCGACCCCCTGCGACTTACGCCCTGCGCTAAGCTTTCTAAAGTTTTTTTCTCAGTTTTTTGCTCCTGGAAAAATCGTGAAAGACAAAAAAATTTCGGAATTCTATCCAAACACGACTATTTGGTAGCAAAAAAGGAGTTATAACCTCTTTCGGGAAACCGGAGATCTGAGATGTTGAGCTCGGATTTGGACAGGCTGAGGACCTGAAATTTCATTATTTCATAGAAATATTCTCAGATTGCTATTACGATTTTTCTGCGTGAATTTATTTAAAAAATGTCATGATCCTGAGGCATTTTTCGATCTTGTTCTGATGTCAAGAGTCTTCTCCGCTAGAGCGGTATTAAATATGCTCTAGTGGTCACTTTTTCGATTTTTTCGAAATCACTTTGAATCAATCACTGACAGAAGAAATAACAGTATTGCCTTCGGTTTCATTTAACAATGCTTTTGAAACTGCGAAGTGTTTCTTTGTGACTAAGGGACCGTTAAAGTTTCCCTGGTATCAAGAAGAGTCTTCTTTAAAAAAAAGAAAAAAACTTAAGGGAACACTTCAATTTTAATCAAGCTTCGAAGGCTCCAAATTACCGCTTAAGTGATCACTCAATCTGTCTTTGACAGAGCTGATCTTTTTGATGGGAAAAATAACCCTTAAGTGGTCCCTTCACTTTTTAAGAAATATATTTTGAAGATGAAGAGTAATTTTTCAACAGCTGCGTGATTGCTTAAGGAACCACTTCAAGAGCTCTTGTAGGACCATGAAGCAGGAAAATCCCTCAAGTGGTCGCTTAACACGCTGTCTCCGTTATTCTCAAAAATTTCTAAAAGCAACGGGTACAATAAAAAAAATGTTTTTTGATTTCGACAAAACTTCATCCAGTGTGATAACCCATCATCAGAAATGCGGACCCAACTTTTTGAGCCATTTCCTCTTACTGTAGCCGGGTTACGGTAGGCAGGTGGGCACCTGCGTATCTCAGTATTTATGAGTTTTTATTAGGCAAGTGATATATCAATCGATAGGTAATTCAATTTTGGGAACTTTTACAGTACATACCATCATGGGTTACGGTGGGAAAAATTTTTGAGTTACGGTACTTTTTTTGTGTCCGCCGAGTCAGTTTTTTTCGACCACCATGAGCTTGAGCCAGGGAGATCCATTCTTCCTAACTTCTTAAAAGATACCTTATGAGAAGCTGTACAAGCTGTTACTAGTTTGAAAAAATCCTAGGTGGACCATCATTTCGAAAAATCGCCTCGAAGGCGCGCAATCGTGGTCTTGCGGCGGCCAAGTGGGTGAAGTCCATGATGCCTGACGGCTCATTCTTCAGAGATCCATTCCAATCTTTGTTTCCATTTCATTAATAGACATCTATTATTGATTTTTATTTCAATTTGAGATGTTTTCGGGTTGACCATCATCTCGAAATTTCATTTTGAACCCAAATTTGGCCTAAAATGGCCGACTCGGCCTTTTTCACGGGATCCCTGACCCCGTATGTGACCGTTCTCAACTTTTTTCTTTCTTAAACATGAACAAGAGTGTCTGAACAACAGTTTTATAACAATCGGAACCCCTTTTGAGAGGACCATCATCTCGAAATATCGATTTTAACATGAATTTGGCTTGAAAACTTTTGGTTTACCCTTCCAATGAAATTATTGGTTCTCTCAATACAGATCTTGGCCCTTTTAACTTTTTGATGAGAATATAAAGATGAGAACTGAAAATAAAATTTATTTTGGACCAATTCCAAAATGACCGTTTACCTAGGAAACCCACTTTCAAATAAAATTTTGCTTGAAAATCGAAATATTTTTTTTGGTTATTTTTTACAAAAATAGTCACAAGACGAATGTCTTGTTTTTTAGGTATGAAAAATTTTGAAGATTTAGAACTACTATTTAGGTTATAATAAAAAAACATTTTTTTAAAAAAATCACCTTGAAAGTTAAGTTTCAACCTCACCGGTAGTCAGAAAGACGAGTTTTCTCTTTTATGAAAAAAATTTCTTGGTATTTCACATTTCTCATTTTTGATTAGCTGTTTTGAAAATAAATTGGCAGAATAGATTTCGATGTAAATGATAAAAACTTCAAATGGGGAAACTAAGCCGATATTTGGGTTCAAATCGATATTTCGAGATGATGGTCCTCTCAAAAAGGGGTTCCGATTGTTATAAAACTGTTGTTCAGACACTCTTGTTCATGTTTAAGAAAGAAAAAAAGTTGAGAACGGTCACATACGGGGTCAGGGATCCCGTGAAAAAGGCCGAGGTCGGCCATTTTAGGCCAAATTTGGGTTCAAAATGAAATTTCGAGATGATGGTCAACCCGAAAAACATCTCAAATTGAAATAAAAAAATCAATAATAGATGTCTATTAATGAAATGGAAACAAAGATTGGAATGGATCTCTGAAGAATGAGCCGTCAGGCATCATGGACTTCACCCACTTGGCCGCCGCAAGACCACGATTGCGCGCCTTCGAGGCGATTTTTTTCGAAATGATGGTCCACCTAGGATTTTTTTCAAACTAGTAACAGCTTGTACAGCTTCTCATAAGGTATCTTTTTAAGAAGTTAGGAAGAATGGATCTCCCGGCTCAAGCTCATGGTGGTCGAAAAAAACTGACTCGGCGGACACAAAAAAAGTACCGTAACTCAAAAATTTTTTTCCCACCGTAACCCATGATGGTATGTACTGTAAAAAGTTCCCAAAAATTGAATTACCTATCGATTGATATATCACTTGCCTAATAAAAAAACTCATAAATACTGAGATACGCAGGTGCCAACCTGCCTACCGTAACCCGGCTACAGTAAGAGGAAATGGCTCAAAAAGTTGGGTCCGCATTTCTGATGATGGGTTATCACACTGGATGAAGTTTTGTCGAAATCAAAAAATATTTTTTTTATTGTACCCGTTGTTTTTGAGAATAACGGAGACAGCGTGTTAAGTTTCCTTAGCAGTTTCTAGAGTTTTTGAAGCTTATAAGTTATCTTCCGAAGGTCTGATTTTGATTTATAATTTTTTTAAATTGGAATATTATCATTATAAACCCTTGAGTGACCTCTTAAAAGGTATCTAATGATAAATTTGAGCTTTTTAAAAAAATTTGAGTGTCTTGAAATCATATTTTTTCCACCAAGACTCGATAAAGTGCTCAAATTTTTTTTTTCAAACTTTCAGCTGATTTCAATCCCCTTCCTTCCAATGCAAACCTTGTACTGACTGAGCATATTGCCCATTTTCGCGTCCATTTCGACGTCTTTCCACTTGTAAATCACGTCGTTTGTATAGTAACCCAATGATCCGACTTCGATTGGACATGCCTGTGATTATTCTTCTCTTTTTGGTTCAAATTCTGACCAGAAAAACCTGAATATCCATCGGGAATTTACGCAAGAACATGGGACACCTTGAGCGGATCGTTAATCTGAAGTTTTTTTTTTTGGATAAATTCTCGATTTTTCCCGGCGAAATGGCAGAATGTCACTTTTACAGTGTTCATGGCGCCAATAAAAATCGATAGAAGTTTTATTTTTTCCAATGATCCGACTTCAATTGGACATTTTTTTTCAATAGTTGTTTTATATTTTTTCTAAAGTTTCAGGTTATCAAAATAAAATACTTTACAAAGAGGGGTTTTTTCATCAGATGAATTAAGATAGACCTCCACAAAAGAGTTTTAAAAAGCGATAATTTTTGAATTTGGCGCCGAAAATGCGACGCGACCGCTTCGCACATACCATGTTAAGCCGAAAAAACGGATCATAAGTAACCTCTGAGAAACGTGAACTTGTCCATCGGATCTCACTCGAAATAGGATATTCGGAACGGTCAGAGTGTGTAGATAGGATTGACGGCCGTTTCTGATGTAGGTGTCTGGGACCTGGAATTTCGCAAAAATATTTGTGGAAGTTTGTGTTTCCTGGTGATTTTCCGAATTCCATTAAAAGTCGTTTTCTGATAATTTTTATTCACATTCCACTATACCAGGCTTTCCAATGATTCCCTGTCTGAAAATTTTCAAAATTCTATAGTTTTGCTCACTGTTCAGAAGTGTTGTAATATTTTCGGATTCATCCATTGTCTTTACCGCATAATTTTATAGGATTTAGAATAAAAAGTGAGCTTTTCTTGGTGAAAAATCGCTTTGGTTGGGTAAGAACTGGTGGTATGAAAAAAACACCAGCGAAAATTCAAACGGCGACTTTTCCGATTTTTTCATTTCGCTAGGGAACTTTCCGACGGCCACCTTTCCGACGAAACTTTTTCCGACTTTTTTCCCTTATGCTTTTCGGTTTATAAAACATCTATGAACATTTTTTTCCTATTTCTTTGGGTTTTAATTATGAACAAACTACCTACTTTATATAGGAAGATGTAAAACGAAGATTTTATCGAGAAAAAAAAGTCGGAAAAAGATTCGTCGGAAAGTTCCCTAGCGATATGAAAAAATCGGAAAAGTCGCCGTTCGAATTTTCGCCGGTGTTTTTTTCATACCACCTAAAAACTACAAGGAGATTTGATTTTCCAATTGGAAATCGTATTGTGAAATTTTATAGCACTAAAATAAACAGCTGAAAAAAAAATTCTTGCTGTTTTTCATCTCAATTTCTTCCAAAACTTGGAATTAAGGGGGATAAATGATAAAGTTCTTGAAAATCCTACCCAAATGTCTTTGAGCATCTTGCTGGCCAGTGGGATCTCGGTTTTTGATGGGTTGATTGGAGTAAAAAGAAAGCCGACGATCGAACCATTTTTTTGACGGAAATAGCAGTCCAGCGAGAATTCCTGATACGATTTAAGATATTTTCGTTTTTTTCGATGTTTTTTTGAGCTTTTTAACTGCTGTTCTGGGAAAAAAATCAAGGATCCTTTTTCATGAAGAAAAATAGAAACATTTGAAATTAAAAAAAGGGAAATTATTAATTTTTTTGTTTCTAATGTTTTTTTAAACTTACCAATCTATTTGGGAGCTTCTCTTTGTATATTCGTTTTTCATAAGGCTCCAGTAAATTTTTTTCAAATTTCTTTTTTTCTCACTTTTTGAATTCAATGATTTATTTTTAAAGTTTGGAACGGTTTTAGATGAGGGAAAATTGAAAAATGACCATTTTTTCAACATATTTCGTCCATAAACCTTTGCTCAGATTTTTGAAGGAGCGAAAAACTTTGCGTGTCCTAAAAGAACAGTGAAAACGGTTTTTCGTGTCGAGACCTTCATAAAATTTGCATATGATCCTTTAAAATTCCCAGCAACATTTTATAAACAGAAAAGACCAGAACAATTTCAAAAAATAAAAGAAAAAGGTTTTTTTTCCTAAAAAGAATAAGCTCACCCATCTAGACTTGAAAAAATAGACAAAATGTCCCCCCAGAGAATATTCATATCCATTGGCCGATTCATCAACTTTTCCACTAAAAAGAAAAAGAAGAAGAGACTTGCTGACGGAATGTTTACGACTGTGGTCCTTCGGTTCGTGGGGGCTCAAGCTTAATTGGCTGCAGGCCTCCGAATAAAACAAAAAAGCGGCAATTTGAACATTTTCCAATGGCACGACTTTTCCTGTCTTTTCCGGATAATCTTTTTCGATCTGATGGTTGAAAAAAAAAATGAAAGATGTACTGGAAAATTACGAAATAGCCGTAGAAGTAGAATATCCTGCGCTCTATGGATAACTTAAACAAGCTTTGTTTGGCCGGATAGCCCAGAAAAAATTTTCATTTAGAGGCCACCTTTTGCAGTATCAAATCCCAGGCTTAACGGGTAATAAGGCAGGAAATTTTTAAATTGAAAAAAAGTTATGGCGGCAATTTGAACGATTTGGTTAGCCAAAGAAATCAAAAATTTCTATTTAAGTCTACTTTTTTTTGTTTTTCATGGTGATAAAATCAAAAGTTTTTAACTCAGTTCAGAGCTGGGCAATTGAAAAAAAAAGCCCCGAAAAATGAAAAAATAAAACTTTTGCGCTCCATCGTCAATTTGGTTCATTGTGCACTTTTTATTTGACGAAAAATTCGATTTTAAACTGAAAAACACGGAAAACAAAACTTTTCCATGGAGCGCAAAAATCAAGCTTATCGCGGCTATTTTTGAACTTGATCCACAGGGAAGCTCGACAATAGTATTTTTCAATTGAAATGGACAATTTGAACCGTTATACATTTTTTATTTGATAGTTAATCTCAAAACTTTGATTTTAAAACTGATAAAGATGATAGGATCTCAATTTTTTACATCTACCGTGGATCGCAAAATCCAGCTTTTCGTAGCTATTTTTTTTATCGCACAACGACTAGTCCTCATGTTGAACCCTGAGGAAAATTCGTCAAAAGCCCAAGCCATCGGCCATGTTGTTTTTTTTTATTCGTTGAAGCAGTTGAGGTGGCTCTCAAACGTCTGACCGCTTTATAGCCTTCACATCAAGAAGAAATGTGCTCTTTTTCCCACGGAGCACTACATTTTGCTCCTGGCTTCCAAGCCAACTTCCTCTTTTTGATCTTTTTTGGGTTATTACTACGGAAGATTTCCGGGGATTGAGAAACTTTTGCTTTTTTGGGATCAACAACATTTCAAATGATAGTTGATACGAAAAACGTTGATCCTCTTGTTCGAGATTTTCAAAACGTAAAATACTTGATATCGAAGTTTAATTATCAAAAAAGCCACTGGAATCCAGGAAATAGGGAATTATTCGCTCTATGGATAATTTTAGTTATCATCAGAAGTCAGAAAGATTTTTTCTAGAGTTTTGGCTTTTGAACAAGGTTTTTAATTGAAGTATTCAAAAAAAAAAATCGTCTTATGATTTTTTTTCAACAAAAAAAAGTTACGTTATTTTTCTTTTAAAACGTTTTGTGTGAATTCATCATCATTTGAAGTTACTTCTCAAAATTAGCTTTTAAAAGCAATTAAGTCTGAACTTGTTTGCTCCATGGATAATTGAAAGCGAAATCAAAGATTGAGGCAATTTTTTTCAGCTAAAAAATCTCTTCCCTTGAATTATTCAGTTAATCGTTCTAGTGTCTTTTTTCACCCATTTTAAATTTCTTTGAGGGTTCAGTCTTGTCCATGAAGTCTTTTTCTAGGCTTTTTGAGATTTGTCACATTTTTCTCATAAAAATGACATTTGTTCAAGGAGCTTTAAAGTATTCTGCGCTCTATTGATAATTCGAAGCTTTAAATTTTAGTTGTACTGATGTTGAAATTAAAAAAATAAATATATTGAAAAAAATAAAGAAAAATTAAAATGAAAAACTGGTGATTAATTAATTTTTTTAAAGTTATTCAATTTTTTTCTTTGAATTGTCCATAAAATCGATTATTTAGCTCAATAAACTGAAAGTCGAGCTGATTTTCAGAATTTTGAAAGATCAAATTCAAAAAAGTGATAGTTTAAAATTTCTAAAGCTTCAAGCATTTTTATAAGAAAGTTCCTCAATAGCTATATACTCATTTTTTTCAAATTCTCACCATTTTCTGCTCCGAAATCGGCCCCATACTTCGGATGCTGATGTCGACTTCGACTTGTAATGGAGAATTATCTGAGTTTCAAAAAACTCCTCATTTTCTTCCAAAAATGCTTTGAAACCTGGATTTTGCGGACGGAACATTTTGTCCTGATTTAGTAGAATCGTGTTGAGAAGCTTCGTTGTGTACCGGATCAGAGTTGTGTTGTAGGTGGACCTTGGAAAATGAAACCGATTGAAAAACGATTTCTTCCTTACCCGGAGAAAAATAATCACTGATCACTTTTTCAAAGGTTTTTATAGAAAAAAAGGGCAAAATAACTCGATAGCACAGTTCTATGGGACTTTTTATTGAGCATACCATAAAGTGCGGACGTTTACAAAATGCGACCGCTTATAAAAATGGCATGCTGGAAAAGTCGGTCGGTTCTCCAATGGGACTTTTTATTGGGCATACCATTAAGTGCGGTTTCTTATTTTCATTTTTTTTTTTTCAAAGAAGTTTCAGTCTTCTGATCTATAAAATTAGGCTCTAAAATGCATTCAGTTTACAAAAAAGGCTTCAAAACTAATTTAAAATGAGCTTTTTTGCAAATTACTATCGAAAAAGCCTGTTAAAATTGAATTTTCAGGCTAGTTTTTCAAAAAAGTCAATTCTAATTCTACTATATACGCATTTGGTTTCCAAAAAAGGCATCGTTCACAAAATTCACCGCCTACAAAAACGTTTTCCTCATTTTTAACTTTTTACAGTTTCTCTAGCATTTTTTTCAAACTTTTTTGTTTCTTCTATCTTCGTTCAAATAATCATGAATTTTTTTAAATTTTCTAGTGGCTTCACTAACTTTTAATGCTACTCTGCAGAAAAATGATGCGTTTTTTTCCGCCTCACAACACTTTTTCCATCTCGAAATATGACATTAAGATCTCAAGATGTTTGTGAAATTAGCTGGAAACGGACGTCATTTGAATTTTTTTGGATGTCTGGTCTACCCATTCAAGTTCTGTTGGTTAGGGCTTCAGAGATAATTTTTCTTTGTCCGGAAAATTATTTTTTTCTTTTTTAGTTTTCTAGTTTGTCCACTGTTATTCTGAAGACGTGATGAAAAGATTTATGATTGGCGGGCCATTCTTTTTGAAGATCAGTTCGTTAGAGCGCATTTTCACAGTTTGAAGGCCTTTTTCGGGATTTGGCGATGTGAAAAAAAAATTTCCACCGCTTTGTTGAAAAAATAATCTTTTTATTTGAGGCGATAGAAAAGTAATCCCTTCATATCATCAATTTTCAGTCAAATATCGGAAAAGTTCATTCATAGCTATCTTGAAAGGGCTTTTTAGATTGGCTAGCCACGCCTACTTTTTGAGGCTTTTTTAAGGGAGACTCCGTTAGAATGCTTTGAAAAAAAAGATGATTTCTTGAACTTTTAGGAACATTTTTGAATTTTTTATTCAGAAGTCTTTCATGTAGTGAAAGTTGTTGGTTTTTCGCTATTTTTATATTTTAAAGTTGGTTGACTAAATAATTAACTCAGAGCTATTTTGACAAGTGCGCTCTAACGAAGTAACTCTTTGATTTGCTGGCCACGCCTTTTTATTGATTTTTGAAGTTTTTTCGGATTCTGAAGTGGTTTTTCAATACATTTGAAGCTTCTCTAAAAAAAATCCAACCTGTATTTTCTCTCAACGTTGAGCGCATGGTGACCGTGTACAAAGGTTAATAATGGAATCAGAAATATAGAAACCATACGATTTCCCACCTGAAATATCAAAAATGAAGCTCCTTTGCTTGTTTTTGAAAACATGAGAAACAATATTGAAAAGAAGCGGGGCGGAAAAAAAGAACAAGAAAAGAACGTAACCGAATTTCGCGTCGCGGCTCAAATTTTCCTACTCCTCCCCCCTCCTTCAACGAAGATCCCGCCCTTCCTGCCACCGAAGAACAACTCGAGGCCTCAGGAAATCTTTTTTTCTTCTTGTCTTTTGTTCTAGGAACATTTTCATCTTCTTTGAAAGTTTCTATCTTCTCGAACTTTGTTTTCTGAAAAATCTCAAAAAGTTTTTTTTGGGTAGAATTTGTGATTTTTCAGTAGTTCCTGCTTCAGAAAGGCCTAAATGTTGTCTGAATCATAATAAATAATTATCATATCTTTCAAATCTTTTCAAGAACATCCACTTATCCAAACCCCGTCAGAAGATTATATATCTCCTTTTTGGAAAGATTGAAAACTTTTTTTTTGCTCAACTAGTTCATGTCGACATATTTTTCGGTTATTTTTGAGTTTTCGTGGCAGATTTCTATTTCGGTGATTTCTTGAATAATTTCTACCTCGAGTTCAAGTTTCTAGTTTTTTTTTCCGGTTTTTAGTAGCCGCGGCTTTTTCGAGAAAACTAGGGTTTCATTTAAAAAACAAAAAGTGGCGTCATTTTTTAATACCATTGAATCTTTTTTTCTTCTGACTCTTCGTCTCTTCTTCTTAGAAATATTTTCAGAGATGTTCGTGTTTTCCTCTATAATAGTTCTTTTTCAAAAAAATGTTTCGGCTCATCTTTTTCCTTCTCTTTTTTCCGCAGATTCAGGCCTAATCGTAAGGTTAGTCTCGCTATCTCGTTTCTTTTCTTGATTTTCAAAAACCTATCATTCCAACTCGCTCAAGATTGTTTGGAGATTTGCCAATTTTTCAAAACTGAAATCGATTTCTGATTTTGTTTTTGTCACGATGAGCTATCTATTATTTTTTGCCCATTTATTTAAATTTTTTTTTCCGTTCAAGTAGACTTCACTGAAATCAGCCTCCTTTTCAAGGAAACTTGTAGAAGTTCTTCATTTTTTCGAAGATAAAGAACAAAGGCTCTCCTTCTCGAACTACAACCTAGTTGACCAACTGACGTCATCAAAAACTTGGAATCATGTCAAGATCTGGAGTAGATAATAGAGAAGAACTAGAAAAATGTCGAAACGTCACTTTGCTCCTTGGGACGCTCCCCAAAGATTTTGGAGAAGCCCAGGGACATTTGAGAAAAGTGCAAGACAAACGGCCCTGGGGCACACGAACGACGACGCCTTCAAGATCGAGTAGGTGATAAATCCGCCCCACGCGACAAAAAAAGACTGCGCGGAGGAAAAACAAGAGTTTTTGAGCTTTTTCATAATTTGGGCACATTTTGATAGGGACTTATTCATGGATAGTTTGGAACTTTCCGGAATACGGGGAAGAAAATTGGTTTTTTTTAGCTAATATCTATTGATAAACGACTAAATTTATATTGATCTTAAACTATTCACGCTGAATAAAAGCTGGGAAAAAAGAAATATACTTTTTGAGCAAAGGATATTTTTCTTTGAGTATGAGCTTTATATCAAAAAATCAACTTTTTGATCCACAATTCAAGAAAAGCTCTTGCGCTCTATGGATAAAGCAATTCACTCGGACCTCGGTAAACTGGACGTTTTTAAGCATTTTTAGTAATCACTTAAGTGTTCTGAACCCGCTCAAGTGATCAATATGATCTCTCAGAAAAGTCCGAGTTTGCATTCTACAAGCAAAGCCTACTCGGACCTTGGTAACGCCAACGAATCGGACATACCCGAGCATTTCCAGGGACCCCTTTAGCGGCCTCAGCACTCTTAAGTGATCCCTGGAGTTGCTCAGAAACGTCCAGAGCGCGTCCGATTTGCGTTAACGAGGAAGATTATTTCGCCATAAAAACAGAAAGAGATTAGTCTTCCGCAGCTTGCACGCTCTATTGATAAATTATTCAAAGCTTAATAACCACCATTTACATATTAGAAAAGCTAGAATGACTTATAGGGGGGAAAAATTCTGCAGAGACAGTGGAAGTTTAAAAAATTTAGTGCTATTTTCCACTGAGAATCAAAAAAGGCTATTGGAAGATAAGTTTCAAAAAACGTACATTAGGAAAAAGAGATTTGAATATTCATTCCACTTGGCGTATAGAAATGAATGGACAGTTTTGAAATAGATTCAAAAAATGAAGAGAATGTAAGACGAAAAGACGACGTCTTCCGACCAGAAGACGTCGTCCCCTGGGTGTCGCCGCGGCAGCGACATCTCCTGCCACACCCAGAATATTCGACCGATTGTCTTTTTGGTCCTTATGTACTCTATTCTAGTGTTAGTTGATGCTCAGCCAATTTTTTCGGATACGTGGCGAAGTTTTTCTTGAGAACGATTTTTGAAATTCTAATACAGTCATGGCACTTGATCTTAGAGTCTGAAATGCAAAAAAAAAGCTCAGAAAATATAGGATTTTCGAGGTTAGGATAGTCGATGCTCAGTGGTTTCTTCGGATACGTAGGGAATTTTTTTTAGGCTTTGCGATCACAATTTTTTTTTATACGGCTTTAGTACGGTACTGACTTGTTCTTGCCATTCAGCCACTTGACTTTTTTTTTTCCTTTTCACCATAAAATTCAGAAAAAAAAGAACAAATAGATAGTTGAAGCTTGAAAGACCAGAAAATTCAAGTTTTGATTTTATTGGTTTTATTGGTCCAGCCATTTTTTCCATTTTTGATACGTAGCACCTTTTTTCGTCCTTTTAGCTCTTTGAATGATTTTAATTCATCAACCGATTCCAGGAGTTGATGCGCAGTTAATCTTGGGGATACGTAGTTAAAGAAAAAAATCTTGATATCCTGCTTGACCATTTTTTTTTTCTGAATAATTCAACTAGAGTCATAATTTTCTTTAATTGAGCTGTTTCCAATCTGTAGATGCTTTACAATAAATTGAAGTTTTTCATATATTGATGAATTTTCGAGTTGATGCGCAGCGAATTTGTCGTTTTTTTGTCGTTTTTTTGCTATAAATAGGGGATAAATTTCAACTATATAATTTGATTTTTATCCCAAAAATTTAGGTTTTGGAAAGTTCAGAAGATGAAAAAAAGGGTAATTCAAATTTTGAAGATCAGTTTGAGAGGCCAGGAATTTTGAACTTTCAACTTTAAAACAGTTGATGGGCAGCGAATATAGATTTTTTTCCAAAAAAATTTTTTTTCTTTTTTTCTGATTTTTCAGTTCAAAGGCATTGGCCAAAAACAAAACAGCTCTTGAAATTAAAAAGAAAAATGCTTTTGAATTTCGAAAAAAATGTATAGATTTTTTTCAAAAAAAGTTTCTTTTACCATTGTAATAACCCTCCTTTAAAAAAAGATCAAAAAAATGAAGAAAAATAAATGAAATTTTACGATACGATAAAGAACGACCAATAAAAAGGATATTTATAGCAAAAAGCGGAATAATATGGGCTCAAAAATTTTGGACATAAAGATGGGCCCAATAGCTCATCGGCGATGCATTGGGCCGCATCCAATTGCATGAGTTTCTTCTTGTCTTTTTTCATTTCTTTGGCCCCCCCTTCCGCCCGCCATTTCAATTCATTTTGGATCCGTTGTCTGGGAAGTTGTTTCCATGTAGTTTGATGTATAGTAAGGTCTTCAGTTGGGAAGAGTAATAAAGAGGAAGAGCCACCCATAAGAAGGTTTTTTCATTTTATTTTTCATTATCAGAAGAAGATCCTGAGCATTTCAACCTAAAAAACTGTCTCTATTTCGAGAAATAAATGATTGAAAGGCTTACTTTGACTTTTTTTTCGAAAACTTTTGTTCCTCCCATCCCCAGTCATTTCCATTCACTCAGAATATTCTTATGTGTCTAGAAAGTTTTCAAAATTTAGTTAAAGCTTTTTTATAGACTCGATATAATGTAGACTCATTTATAGTTAGGTTGGCTTTAACTGGGAGGAATAATAAAAAGATATATCTTTCCAAAAGGAGGTTTTTTTCACTGCGATCAGAAAGTTTCTGAAAAATCTTCGGAACCATTCACGATGCATCTGATGAAGACCCTAAAAGTTTCGAACTCTAAAACTGCCCTTTTCTCGAGGAATGAAGGCTTCTTTGACTTTTTAGACAATTATTCTCCTTCATCCGCCCACCAAGTCCATTCATTTTAGATCCGTTTCTGTTTCTGTTTCTAGGAAGTTCTAAAAGCAATTTGAGCATTTTCCACTGTTTCAAACATTGAATAAAGGCAGGCTTTTCTTTGACTTTGAGCGTGTTTTCTTTTTTCTATGTGGTTTGATGTACAGTAAGGTTGACGTCAGTTGAGAAGAAATTTTAAAAAAAAAGTAGAAATCGCCGCGTAGATGTTTTCATTTGTGCTCTATTGATGATTCAAGTTTACGATATGTGAGATATTTTTATTGATGCTCAAATGGTTGCAAATTTGACGTAAAATGAATATTTTTTAAGATCTCTTCCCAGTGGTCACTTTTTCCCGTTTCTCAGCCCCCCTTTTTTTTGAATGTTTTATATAAATTTGACATTTTTTCACCCTTTTGTATTTTTCGAGTGAGATACGATAAAAAATTATCCATGGAGCGTACATATTCAATTTGGACGGCTATTTTTTCATAGCTAGCTGATTTATTGAAAATTTTATGTGATCAGAAATGCTCAACGGATAATTTTTTCATGCAATTTTTTTTGAAAATATAAAGCCTTTAACTATATTTTTCAAGATTAATCCAGTTTTCCTTATTTAAAATTTTTCACAGGTAAAAATTCCAAGGATTCTATCAACTAATGTAATTTTGCTGAGATTTTTTTCAAGTTTCATTTTTGTTCCCATACTTCCTTCCCTTTAGTATGAAATACCGTGTTAACGTTGAAAGTCCAAAATGATTTTTGAAGCCTGCGCAACTCGTTTTGGGTCGGGCGCATTTTCGAATAACTGCTTCAAGCTTATCCATTTCCACTGCAACCATCGCTTCTTATTTGAACTTTCTTCAACTTTCTCATAATTTTGAAATTCTCCACTTTTTTTCAAGTTTTTCACTGCCGCCCCTCACTTTCTTTTCCACTTCTTCTTCCTAAAAAAAAACACATCGATGATGGAAAAAAGGTCTCTTGTACCAAAGAACGGAAACAAAAGGGGGCAGGCAGAAGTCGAAATAAAGATAGCAAAAGGAAAGATTGAAAGCCCCCAGACAATCCGATGAGCGTTGAGCTTCTTCCCCCCTTCTTTGCTCGTTTTTCCATGAAAAGCCAAAAATGTGGGCGTGGCTTTCGGCCACGCCCACTTCTCAAAATGGAGCCCTCGAAAAACTTATGAACAAGTCGCCGTTTCCGTCCCCGTTTATTTTTAGATTTTTATTTTAGTTCTTTTTCCCTGCGTCTCCCAGAAATCATTATCTCTAACCGACCTTTTTGTTGAGTTTTTTGAGTATTTTTCTTGATGATTAACCGGAAAATTGGAAAAGTTTAGAGGAATTGAAACTTTCTAGGAAAAAAAATGACCCTGAATTGTTTTAGTTGTCTGCGTCTCTCAGATCACAATATTCTCTAGCCGCCTTTTTCAGACTTTCTGTCTGCGTCTCTCTAAGCTTCTCGCTCTCTAACATCTTTCGCCTTTCTAAAGCTTATTTTTGAGCTTTTTATTGTCATTTCCTTCAAAAAAAATCCTGTTTGGAAGAAAGTTTTCAGTGCTTAAAACTAGATAGAATGGGAAATTCGGAGATTTCGAGAGATCACTTGAGCGTCTGCGTCTCTTATCTTTTTCTAATCTCTACCTTTTTTTACTCCTCTTTTCTAAAAAAACCTACGAAAAAAATCGCTCGAAAAATGAGTTTCGGTGTAATCTCTGAAGAAAATTATTCGATTTATGATTTTTTTTTTTTAAATTTTTTTCTATACTCATTGTCTTTTCAAAAAATTACGCTCTGATAGAAAAGAATAATTAATTTTTCATACTTTCCCACGAATTTGATTTTTATGCGCAACTCTATGAAGACTCCTACTACTAACTGTGATTTTTGATCGAATAGAATAAATTTTTTCGCGCGTAACACTGTTTACTGTTTCGTAATAAGATCTTTAAAAAAGTCCTGATATTTTTTTTGTTACGACATTCGGGCGATCATTCATTGTCTTATCAATTAATCAGTTTGAAAAAATGATTCGAGTAAAAAATTTACTTATTCCATTTATTTTCATCTTGTAAGCGCTCAGAGCTATTGCAAGTGGCCTTTTTAAACCGGCAGAAAGTGAATTATTATTGTTATTATAGGAGCCCATTTTCAGTGCCTTGACCCGACAAGATGCCATAGCTCTCTTCAATTTTCCCCTACGTTTTTCTGGAGATTTATCGATTGATCGTCGATGACGTCACTGCCTCAGTACGTCTTCTGGACCTCGCTGACGTCACTTTTATTCGCGACCACTTTTACGGCTGGCGGGTGGGCTTTTCTTGTTTTTTTTTTTCTGGATTGTAACTTTTGTAAAAAAATTTTCATCAATTCCTTGGATTGCTATTAGGCCTTTTTTTGAGTAATTTTATCGCAAGTTCAATTCATTGAAATGAGAAGAAAAAGAAGAAAATCAAGGGGAAACATTTGGAAGATTCTGATACCTTTTGTGTTATAAGTTTTTTTAGTTTTTAGAACTTTTTTGGCAATTTTTTTTCAACTTTTTGAATGTGATTTATCTAGAATTTTCATTTTTCTAATTTTTAGAATGATTTTTCAGCGAAAGAGAATACATTTATTAGGTCGTTTACTAAGTTTCTTTCTTTTTTCGATTGAAAGTTACTTGGTGTATAACTTTTCAATTTTGGATTCAAACAGCAAACAATTTCTCCCCCGTCATCCTCAGCTATCTGTTAACATGACTGTTAACTTTGGAGTTCCTGACTTTAAAACGAGCAATGATATACTCAAAAAGGGGCGACTAACTCGATTTCAACTCCTCTTAGAAACATTTTTTTTGTTTCTTCTGAAAACATTTATGATTCAATGTTTTGTAGTTGATGACAACGAGGGAGGATGGAAGTACAGATAGAGTAGGCAAACTGACTTTTTAAACAAAAAACCAGCCTAAAAATCTTTTTTCTTTAAAAGTTTCGGTCAGTGATCAATGACAATGACATGGTCGCTGAACATTTAGACGCTTTTCTCATCAAAGGCTTTGAGGATGATTTTGATTTTTTGTGGTTATTTAGTACAGACATGGTCTGTATCAGTCACATTATCTTCAGAAGGTCTAAACGTTCGACGCCGTCAGAGAGCCTCCAGAAGTTCATCAAGCTGTCATTTCAGTTGTTTACCGTTTCTCAAAATTTTAGGCTGGAAAAAACTCAGTTGAACCACTTCTGCTTTGACACATGGCTGCAGTGACCTTTGTTGTACTTGTTTTTTATTAACTTGAGAGATAGCAAAAGAACAGAAAATTTGAGAGTGGATAGAAACCACTGCCCTAGTGCTATAAAAATTTTTTGATGAAAAAAGGCTGTAAAACTAAATCCTCGAGTTTCACGGTAGCTGCCTGTTGCTAATGTTGTGCCTTTATACTTTTTCAAAACCTCAAACCTGATAGATAATTACAAATGTACTTCGGGGAAAATCAAACGAAAACAGGACGCGCATTGTTCCAACAATGTTGGCCAATCATAAATTTGTATGGCCTGGCTTTTGAATAAATAACTCATTTCTCAAATTTTTTGGAAGCAAACGAAAACTTTCAGGAGCAACCACACGACTTCAGTTTACCTTTTATGTAACTCGTTCGAATGATAAGATTGAAAAAGTAAAATAAATTCGCAAAACTTTCCAAAAATCGAGATTTTTCGAGTTCGGACAAAGTTCTGTATCTTTTTTTCTGCATAGTGTTATAGGAGTACAGTTAATTTTAAACTGAACTTCAGATTGTGTAGTAGTAAATACTATATGAAGCAAAATTGTGAGAAGTGCTTTTTCTGGTTGAAAACTTTTTAAAAAAAGTCCTTCAAAAAAAGAAAAAAACTTAGTAAACAACCTAATAGCAATAGTTAGTCCAATAAATCCATAAAAAGGACTTCTATAAAATGAATGTGAGAAACTTGAAAGTGATCAACGATTGCTGTTGACGGAATTGCACAAGAAAACTATAGATTACTGTAAAAAAACTTTTTTTTAAAATATACTGCACATCGTTTCAGGACCCTTTGTTTTTGGTAAAACCGTAAAATTTCGAATTTTTCGGAATTTCTTGTATTTTGAATATTTTATAGCGACAACCTGAAAAAGTCTGATTTCTCTTTTTCTCTGCGCCCTCTTGCTCCCGTGCTGTTTCTCTGTTTTTATGACCTAGCCAGTGAGGGGAAAGAGAGCGCAGACTGGTCAGAGTTTTTAAAGGCATGGTGAACGGGCTATTGAGATTTAGAAAAAAGTTTGTTAACCAGCGTTTTTATGAAATAATTTTTTATTGACCAGATTTCAAAGTTATTCAATGATAAAATCGATTTTTGCAGCTCACTGAATGACGTCATCTCTGTGGCTCCAGCCGCTCCGAACACGAGCCGACCCAGCTCCTACACGAACGCCTCGACAATCCTCGCAGATCTTCTCTCCGACTACGATATTCGACTGCGGCCTGGATTTGGAGGTCTTGTTTGCTCCATTGATAATCAGGATTTTTTGGAGAAATTGACAGGAATTTTTTTGAAGTGTGAAGAAGATTGTGTAACTGACAGGGGAATTAGAGTTGGTGGCGGTATTAAAGTTTAATTTAGAGGTACTTTTGGGCGTGCTAGAGGCGCGAATTTAGCGTTCTAGTCCAGAAATGGTACCTCAAAATTTGGAATCTACCAATAAAGTAGAAAAGATGGATTTTAAGGATTTGAGGCTTGATAAATTTAATAATTAACCAAAAAAATGTGCGATTTTGAGTTCTAGTCAAGTTATTACATTAAAGTTTGGGATCCAGCATTGAGCTGGAGAAAATGTGTGCTTTCAGTTTTAAAAATCATCAAAAATTAATCGAACAGGTGCGAGTTTGTGTTTTTGATTCGGAAAACAAACTTTTGCCATCAAAGGGAATAAATGCAGAGTGAAACAAAAATTTCAAAGCCTTTTTAAAAATTAAAATAAATGGTAAGGAAATAAATAAAAAAATGTTTCATAGTCCCAAGAAAAAAATATTAGTTAGTTGAAGAAAGCTTTTTTTATTAATTTTATTCGTATTCTCTTAAAAAAATCGGAATCAATCTTGAAGACATTTCCAGCTTTTTTTAGTTTGTTCGGATACGTATATGAGCTCAGAAATGCTATTAGTTTGATATTATTCTTTGACGTCAACCATCTCATTTTTATTTATTTGAAGTTTTAACTTAACTTAAAAGTGTCTAAACTCGTCAACACAGAGAGACTTATCATCATGAATGTATCACTGATGGGAAAAATTTTTTTAGTGGCCACTATAGAGGTTATCTACTTAGTGGCCACTTCAGTAGTTTTTCATCCAGTTTTCCTTCCAGTAACTCTGATAATTTTAAAACAAACAGTATGGACCAGTTATGTTGATCCATTGATCCCTAAAGTGGCCACTAAAGTTTTTAGTGGTCTAGCAGTAGCACTTAGACATCTATAGTGGCCACTAATTTGACTACTATAGTCGCCACTAAAACGTCAAAACCCTACAGTGTCCACTAAAAATTTTCCCAGTAGATGTAGTTTTTCACTTTGTTTCTGGATCTGTGCTGAAAAATGGCAGATTAGAATAAAAAAATGAAAAATGTAGAAGTTCATCAGCTGGAATTTTATCAGTCTTTTAGCGATTTTTGGATTTTTGATCTTGGATCGATTTCTTTTTTTTTTGTAACTCTTTGTTTTTTGTTAACAATGGGAGGTACTTCAAGGGTCATCCAGAAAAATTCACTTGTCCAAAAATTGAGCGCCTGAAAAATTTATTTTTTTATTATTTTTTTCTTCTTTTTTTCAATTTTTTTTCCAAACTTTCTCTTAGATCTTCTCAATATGTTGAAAACAAAATTTGGAATCAGCTCAAAATACGGCGTCTAATACTTCTAGTCATTTTTTGAAGAATCGATTAGGATACATTTTATCTCTGAAATTTACTATTTAGGCTCTCATCTTAATGAATTTTTGAACCTCGGTATCTAAAACCGGATGTTTCTGATCATTTTTAAGGATCACTTAAGTGGGCTGACGGTGCTAAAGGGGTCACTAGGAACGCTCCGACAGGTTTGCGTTACCAAGGCCTGAACTCAGGTAACAGTAGGGAATCTGCTTTTAGTTCCTCGGAAGGTTTTTGAAAGCTTTCCAGCGGAGGGTCAAATACCTTCCAAATATTTTCGCAAAAGCTCTACTTACCTGCCCGAAGCCTGCTGGAAGGCACCTGGCAAGCATTTGTGATTTTTACCTTTCGAAGATCTTCCCAAAGCCTTCTCGAGACCTTTTATCTTTCATTCACCTGCCAACTCCTGCTGGTTGCCTTCTCTACACCTTCTCCCATTTTTAAACCGTTTTTCAGCTTTCCAAATAAAAAAAAACGTCTTATCGCCTTAAGGAACAATGCGATTTTTCAAAAAGTCGGTTAAGATCAATCTTCCTATGAAAATTCTTATTCAAACTCTCCCCTTGATTTTTCTACAGCTTCTCCCCAATTTTCGAGCTGTTCTTTTCATTTTTTGAACAACTCTTCGGTCTCGAGGAAAGTTGCAATTTGTCTGCGAAGAGAACAAGAGTGATTGGATTGCGGCCGATGAGAATCCGTCTTCATTTCGGGACGACGTCGTCAGCAAGGAGTCGTCGCGTGTCCCCAATCATCTCATCTCATTTCCCGCCCTCTCTTTCCAGCCCCCCTATTTCAACATTTTTATTTGCAAAGGCCTTGAGGAGCAGGAAAAACAAGCATTTTTGGGGGATCTTACCTGGAAATGAGCAAGAAGTTTTTTGAAAAATCTCCGGAAAGCTGGTTGGAAGCATGTGCGCTCCATGGATAATCTGATGGATAAGGTGTTTTTAAGCGATTCGGTGGTTACTTAAGAAATGTCAGAGTTTTTTTTAGCTGAACTATGAGAAAAGAATCATGAAGAATCAGGTTGGAAGCATGTTCGTTCCTGAATAATCTGACGATTTTTACGTTTTTGAACTGCTAAGTGTTCACTTAAGTGGCGTTAGAGTGTTTTTTGAATTAAAAAAATAAGCGTGGATACGTAGAAAAAAACTGGTCTTGAGTATTGAGTACGATCCATGGATCTGATGGATTGGATTTTTTATGTTTTTGAGGGACATTTTTAAGTGACGTATAGCCTCTTTTACTTGAAAACTAAGTGAATTTTCATAAAAAAAACATTCGGTTCGAAGCATGTGCGCTCCATAGATAAAGGGATGAATTTGAATTTTTTGAGCTGTTTTGGGATCGCTTGAGTGACGCTAGAATCTCTTACAGCCGTAAAATGAGAAAGGATTCATGAATAATCGGGTTAAAAGCATGTACGCTCCAGGGGTAATCTGGTATTTTGATTATCTGGGTCATTGATCCCTTAAGTGGCTGTTTTCACATAGGAAATGAGCAAGGAGACAGAAAAACGAGCCATGAGAAAAATATTTTCTTTTTTTGGTTCATTTCATAATTTTTTTTTGTAACTCAGTCAATTCTCCGAAGTTCCTGATGAGAAATTAATCACAAAAAGAATTTTTTTTTTCGATTTCCACAAAAAACTGGCTGTAGGATATTACCGTTTCAATGAAACCATAATAAGCTTCAAAGTATGTCTGACAATAATACCGTATTATAAAAAATAAGAAAGCAAAGTTCAAAAAGATTTACCCGCTTCCGACGGTGGCCACCAGGGAGTCATTGTAACATTTCATCTCACCATTTTTTCCTCCGTTCCTTTTTGGCTTGGGAAATTCAAAAAGACTCCGTTTTTTGTCTTTCTTGAGAGTTGAATGTTTAAGTACTCAAAGTTAAGCGTCTAGGTCTAACAGATCAAAAATTTGGGACGATTGTCATTTTTTTGAAGTTAGTTTTGATCGCAACGCTTTGAACCATTCCAAGTGCGACCACGGCCTTTTAAATCGATGTTTCGAATAAAATCATATCAGAAGTTTAACAAACAGGTTATCTGAAGGAAATGTGTAGGGCGGGAGATTTTATTTTATTTTATTTTTTGATGAAATTCGCTTACTGACGTCATAGGAATATATTTATGAACTTAATGTCGACGAATGAAAATTTTCACGAGCTTAATGACGTCATACACTAATATGTTTGAACTTAAGGACGTCATATGACAGTTTTCATGGATTTATTGACGTCATACAGCAATATTTATGAATTTAATGACGTCATATGAGAATTTTCATGAGCTTGATGACGTCATATGACATTTTTTATGAGGTTAATGACGTGATATGAGAATAATTTTGAGCTTAATGACGTCATCGAATGAAAAAGCGTGATTAACAAAATCAAAAAAGCAAGAAAGTCAGAGACGTAATCAATAGATCCATTTTTCTTATCCTTATGACGTCTGTTGTTCTTAACTTGCTAATGACGTCATTTGAAATGAGTATGTTCCTTTGAAGTTTTATTCTGAAGGAAAGATCCTAAGAAAAATCGCTTTGAGATTTTTTATCACAATTTTTTCAAGATTTTCATCATTCGATGCTCTGAATCCGTTTCCGTTCGCCGAAGAAAAATGAAAAGATCCATAAAAGGAAACAAGAAGAAGGAGAGGAAGAAGAAGCGGTGTTGATGGAGGGCGCGCATTTTCCTCCCGGGGGATCGCCTGTCATCATCCGCCGGGCCTGTCAGCACCGATGTTCCCATCGACAAGAGCTCCGAGGCTTCCAGGGCAGAACTCTTTTTGTTTTCCGATCCCAGCCAAGAAGCCTTTTTTGATCGGTCAGGGTAGAAGGGATGGGAAGCTGGGAGATTTTTGAAAGGTTCTTTTTAGAGTCTTCTAGAGGGTTATGGAGAAAATTTTGAAGTAATTTTGTCAGGAACTGAATTTGAATATTTTTAAGTGTTTTCCTTTTTTCAGCCTTGTTTTATTGGTCAGAGCGGACGTGATTTTTCATATAGAGAGAAGCTCGAAGATTTTCAAAAGGAGGTTCAGGGATTTTTGTAGAGTCCTAAAAAGTTATCCAAAGCTAAATTGTAATTTTTCCTTTGATTTTTTTGGTTATGAGACAAGAAGGCTTTTTTTTTCAATTGGTCAGAGTAGGACTTTTTACTTGGAAGGAAGCTTGAAGAAATCTGGAAGCATTTGTAGATTTTGAAATACTGCAGAAAATTATTAAGAGATGAAGTTTGATTTTTTTCCTTTTATTTCAGTCGGTCAGGGATAGGATTTTCGTATATTATTGAGTCAAGAGACCAAATTTAGTTCTCTTTCCGATGCTTCAGGAAAAATTTTTTTCTTCTGATTTTTTTGGAGGGGGAGGGGCGTATGAAAATGTTCTGAAAAAGATGGTAGTGGTTTTTTTGGAAAAAAAGTTGTGATTTTCGGAGAGTTCTGAATAAATTTTTTTTAACGCAATTCTATGAAATTATTCTGAATCAAACAGAATAGAAAGCAAAGTTTGGTTTTATTTCTTCGTCAATATTCTAATTCATCAGAGATGGAAGGAAATTTTTAGAAAGAAGTTAGGAATTTTGAAGGAGTTTTAATTTTTCCTTTACATGATTCGGTAGGAAATGATGAGTACAGTAAAGAGGTTAATCAACGAAAAATATTTAGATTTCAAATTTCATTCCATTTTCAAAAAAAGACTGATTTTTCATGCAGGCGATGCACTTCTCCTCACGATGGACGTCATCATCGCCTCGTTCGATGCGATTTCTGAAGTTGACATGGTGAACATTTGAAAAACTTCAGTGGTTTGAAATTTTTGAAGCTGAAGACGGGGCATTCGATCAATTACTTTTTCAGTGTAAAGTTAAAATTGAAAAAAAAGATTCCGAAACGTTAATTAACACTCTTTAGCCGTTTGTTGGTTTCTGCACCTCAAAATAAGAAGAAATAGTTGATTACATTTTTTCCTAGGACTATCTTGAACTCGGAAATCATCAAAAAACGCCCTGGTAGATCAAATTTCTTTCAATACCAGAGATTTATCAGATTACAGTTTACAGATTACTCCAAAAGAAATGACAGCCATTTGAAGTTTAATAGTATTTTTTTCAAGTCTTAACACCGAATCCCTTGGTCGCATTTAGAATGACTCACAGTGAGGCGGTTGAAATTCAACAGCTTTTTCCAATATTTTCCTCGCGCGCAACTCGTTTTGGGTCGGGTGCGATGTGAAAAAAACCGTCGAGCATGTGCGCTCGTTGATATTTAACTCAGTTTAAACCTCTTAATTTGAAAAAAATGCTTGATTTTAAAAATTAAAAGGATCAGTATCATTCAAGTTCAATACTTTTCCACTTTCTCATTTTTTTCCTATCTTTATAATTATTTATTCGCAAGACTCGAAAATGTATGACCTGTCTGCGCTCTCTTTTCTCTCACCGGCGAGGACATAGAAAAAGAGCGAGAGACTACGTGAATATGAGAGAGCGCAGAGAACCGCAGAGAAAATCTGTCGCAAACGGCTTATGAATAATCAATTTGTCTTAAATTTTTGATCCTATTTTGGAGCTTTGAAATTTCATTCGTTCAATCTACACGGATTAAATTAGTCTGACCTGTCTGCCCTCTCTTTCCTCTCGCCGGCGAGGTCATAGAACAAGGTAGAGAGTATTTTAATATGAGAGTGCGCAGAGAAATCAGTCCGATCTATAAACTACCGATAAAGAATTTCATTGCTGTCATTTTAAGTTTTAAATATTAATTAGTCCATTTGTCACTAATTCAATCTGTCTGACCTGTCTGATCTTTCTTTTCTCTCACCGGCGAGGTCAGAGGAAGAAGAAAGAGCATGAGAGGTAGCAGAGAAATCAGTCTTTTTCATTGCTAATAAGCTTAAAAGTCTTTCATTTCTCCTCGTTGTGAACTCCGAATTCAGGACTACACCCTGACGATGTACCTGCATCAGTACTGGACCGACGAAAGGCTTTCCTGGAGCCCGGATAGTCCGATCGATGAGATGACCCTCAGTGGAGAGTTCTCCCAGTAAGAGTCCGGATGGATGCCTTGATTTTATAATCTTTTCCAGGAACATTTGGGTTCCGGACACTTTTCTGGCAAACGACAAACACTCGTTTCTACATGAAGTCACTGAGAGGAACAAAATGTTGAGGATCGGCTCGGATGGCAAGATTGCCTATGGAATGAGGTACGGGGAAGAAATGGCCGCGAGAGTTTAGTATTCTTCGCTCTATCGATAAGCTTTTGAGAAGCTGCTTTTTCAAAAAAAAAAAAAGCAATTTTTTGTTCGGATAGCTTTTGGAAATGATCCAGTGAATATTTGTTACCAGGGAGGGGTCCCTGGTCGCAGTGGGACCTCTGAATAAGACCAGGTAGATGTAGTTTCACACGCTGATTCTAAATCTGCTTTCCAAAACTGCGGCGGAGGTCCTTGAAAAAAGTTATGAACCCTCAAAAGGTTAGTATGAAAAAACCAAGTTTTCAAAATGCGAAGTTGTCCATCAGCGATGCGCCCTTGTTCAGCTACTTTACTCTATTTTTAGATTGATGAAATATTCAGCTCTTTTTTCATTATTGATTCGTTCCAATCAAGCTTTTATAAGAACAGCTGCACTTTACAGATTGACCTCAACGTTGAGTTGTTCGATGAATCTTCGAAATTTCCCGCTCGACGCTCAAAATTGCACGGTAGAGATTGAATCATGTGAGTTTTAGAGTTTTCCGCATGGATGGGGGGTTTCGAGAAAGCGTAAAAAACTTGGTTAATGCCTGAAAAAGAGCAGATTTTCTTGTTGGAAGTGGAAAAAACTTTAATTGTCATCTAGACTTTCTATAAAGGCCATGTTGGCCCGGGGGCTCTTCGGGTGTACCCGTATAAAATTCTTGTTTTTTGAAGCTCCATGTGGCCCAGTTGTGCTGAAACGGGTTTTAGAAGAATTAAGGGACCCAGCTCTTTTTATTTCAATAATCGGAGACCCACCCGGGTTAAAACGGTATCTCAATTGTGATAACAAATGCAGAAAGTTCTACCAGATGTGCTTGTACGGGCTCAGAGCCCGTTCCAGCCTTTTGCGCGCAAAAAGAATTTTAAAATGTACTGAGATATGCCGCACTTTTCGAGGGGTAGGCCGCAGTTTGAGAAATGGGATCCAGCCGACGTCTGGTACGTCCCGTTCCAGCACGCCTGATCTATAGCTGATTCACGACTGGCTCGAGCCATCAAAAAAAGGGTCCTGACACGATAACGCGCGAGATAGCGCCTGGCTCGTGGAGAGCGCAGACAGGACACGCCCCCTCAGCGTCCCAAGCTAGCCGTGAATCAGCTGTACCCTCATCAGCATGAGAATCTAGAAAACTTGATTCTACAGTTTTTACCGTTCCCGTTTCACAGATGGGTACACGACTTCCGAGGTTCTGATGAAGTGGAATCATCCGCTGGCTGTTCACGGCGTTGAACAGGCCGACGTCCCTCAGTTCACGATCACTGGATATCAAACTGAAGACAGCATCGTCAGCACGGCGACGGGTACCAAAACATCTCTTCGGGTCCTAGAAAAAAATAAAATCGTGGAGAAATAGAAAAAGCACCAAGCCGTTTAAGAAAAAGAGGCCCTAAGGCATTTTTTCGAAAATTATCTCAAATCTAAGCGTTTTCTGCTATTTTTCGAGGCTACATTTCTCAGAAGTTTTTTCAAAAATATACTTTGTAATTTTCATTTCCAACTCAAGTTTCTCTAGGTTTCAAAAAAAACTACCTTTCAGAAAGACTCTCCCCTAAAGTTGTCACTAATTGGCGAAAAATTCAAAAATAACCGCAAAAAAGTGAAAACAATTTAGTCCCTGTTGGTGTAAAATGTACGTTTCATGGACAATATTTAGTCTCATAAGTTTAAAGTCTTTATTGGACCTCAGGAAGTAGATACATATCTTTCACAAAAAAAGTTTCTCCACGCCTGTTTAGGGTGGCTGGTCGTATTACGGTAGTTTGGATGGGTTTTTCAATAATAAAATGTAATCTTGTGTGCTTTTTGTGACGTAACTTACCTTGTAACCTCGAGAAATAGGTCCTTAACAAATTGCAAAAAGGAAGAAAAATTAAAAAAATTTCCTGGCTCCGAAACTGACTGCGCAATATTGACCCGCCGTAGTACTGTCTCAAACATGCGTGTCTCGGAATGTTTTTTTTCGATAGAACGGATGTGAATTTTCATTTTCCTAAATTAAAGAAAAAATTATCTTCTCAAAAAGAGAGTCATTTTACTTTGCGGTTCTCCTGAAGTTTTGCCAGAACACTTTTTGATGTTTCAAAAGAATATTCTGAATGTCTCAACCTGCATAACTACTCCGTTTCTGACCAGGGAATGGTCTCAGCTCACAGTGGGACTTCTGAATGAGACCACTTTTACTAGATGTAGTTTTTCATGCTGATTCCAAATCCGTTCTCAAAAGCTGCCACCGAGGTCTGTGAAAAAAGTTATGGACCTTCAAAAGTCGAAAATTTCATAGTCTCCGATTTAGTTCATTTTTGGAGGGTATATAGGTCTTGTCCCTCTGGTCACGAAAAACCATCGAATTTTTCTCGAAAAAATTTTGAAGCCAAGATATGAGCTTTCAAAGCCCCGCCGCATACAAGAGAATGCGCGCGCGGTGTCCTATTGCGATCCGACGGCTGTCGAAGCAACGGCAGCGAGGAGCAGTGGAAAGGCGGCGGACTGGGGAGCGCGAGGTCATAGGTTTGGTCCCCACGCTATGCAAACTTTTTTTGCAGTTTTTTCTTTTCTGTATATTTCTCTGTTAGTGCTCCTTTTTCGAGTTTCGAGATGTAGAAACATGAAAATACTGCGTTTTGAACCTATTCAAACAAGTGGACTTCTTTTTGTCGCAAATTTTTTTCATGGATTTTTTCGTGATTTTCCATGTATATGAGCATAGGTTGGAGTGTCGAAATTTTCAGAAAAGTTTTTTGGTTTTTTTTCTTTCTCAAAAGCTGTCTAGACCCAAGTTATCATAAGTGCGCTGGAAGAAAACGCATAACTTTTTCACTGACTTTCTCAGACTGCGGTTTTCACTTACCACTCTAGGAGAAGAAAAAAACTTTCGATTTTATTTCAGGTTGAGGCTGAAATTTCCGAGAAGGTTTTTCTGATTCATAAATAAAACAGTTAGAACAAACTCCCCACAAAAATCTTTCGTTCAATGTAAATTTCATAGTCAGACGGCAAAAAGCGACGGTCATAGGTGAGCACACTGAAAAGCACGAAGATTTTATTGAAGAATTCTGTATTCGATAACCGTAGCTATGATGAATTGAAATTAGACAATTTTTGGTAGAAGAAAAGATTTAAAAAAAACCAAAAAAACTTTTCTGAAAATTTCGACACTCCAACCTATGCTCATATACATGGAAAAATCACGAAAAAAATCCATGAAAAAAATTTTGCGACAAAAAAAGAAGTCCACTTGTTTGAATAGGTTCAAAACGCAGTATTTTCATGTTTCTACATCTCGAAACTCGAAAAAGGAGCACTAACAGAGAAATATACAGAAAAGAAAAAACTGCAAAAAAAGTTTGCATAGCGTGGGGACCAAACCTATGACCTCGCGCTCCCCAGTCCGCCGCCTTTCCACTGCTCCTCGCTGCCGTTGCTTCGACAGCCGTCGGATCGCAATAGGACACCGCGCGCGCATTCTCTTGTATGCGGCGGGGCTTTGAAAGCTCATATCTTGGCTTCAAAATTTTTTCGAGAAAAATTCGATGGTTTTTCGTGACCAGAGGGACAAGACCTATATACCCTCCAAAAATGAACTAAATCGGAGACTATGAAATTTTCGACTTTTGAAGGTCCATAACTTTTTTCACAGACCTCGGTGGCAGCTTTTGAGAACGGATTTGGAATCAGCATGAAAAACTACATCTAGTAAAAGTGGTCTCATTCAGAAGTCCCACTGTGAGCTGAGACCATTCCCTGGTGAGTTATAACTAGGGTTCGGAGCCCCGAAACAACTCATTTCATAGTCCTTTTCTGACCGTTTGAAAAAAACCTTCCTCCTCATTTTGGAATGATGTTTTCTTATTTTTCTAACTTCGATGAGAGAACAGAGAGACGCAGACACGCGAAAACTGTCAAGAGAACAGACTATAACGGATTTTGATGGTTTTCTTTAGCTCTGCAAGGACTATAAAATAGAGTTTTCGAGGCTTTAAATCTTTCCCAAGGAAGTTTTACTTTTAAAATCTTCACGATCTTCTTCCGGTACATCAAAGAGTGCTCTAGCTTCAAGTCCTCAAAGAGACTTTCCAGGATCCTACCAACGGCTCTCGTTGGTCTTCCAACTCCAGCGATCCGTCGGCTATTTCATCTTCCAAACCTACCTGCCTTGCGTCCTCATCGTCATGCTCTCCTGGGTCTCCTTCTGGATCAATCACGAGGCGACCAGTGCTCGTGTCGCCTTGGGTGATTTTTTGGATTAAAAAAAATTTTTTTAGTCTTTTTCAAAGTGTTTTCTTTATCCCTCTCTTCTCTTTTTTGATAAATATTTTTTTACTCTCTTCTCATTTTTGCTATAGACAGGTTCTATGACATATTTCTAGACATTTTGAGAAGCTAAAATAATTGTATGTTTTAAAAAAAGATGAAGACTTTGAGCAGTTATTTTGCGCAATTTTTCTGTTTTTTTCTCTCTTTCATAGCTTTTTTTTCATTCATTTTTTTATAAATTGTTGACCTGCGACCCGTATATTTTTAATTAATTTCAACAAACTCTATTTTGCGACCGATAGAAGGTAAGATCCTTCATGAAATTTGGTGAAATCAACTCTCAAAGATCGAAAAAAATAATAATAAAGCTTTTTCGCGTTTTTTTCATAGTTAGTTTACCCTTTATTTTTTTCATTTATGTTGAAATTTCCTGTCTTTCTCTTCTTTTTTTAGAGTAAGAGTTTTCCATTTTGATATTTTAAGGAAAGGAGGCAGAATTATTGCAGAATGGTTAAAAAAATATTGAAAGTACGGAAATTTTCAAAATAAGAACCGTATGAATTTTTTTTTTACCTTTTTCCAGCCCTCATTTTTTTGCTCGAATAGTAATTTTTCTTTTTTCCCGATTGTAACCCTGCAGAAAAATTGCATCAAAAAGGCTCAATTTTCCAGCTTTATTCAATCACTGATTCCTTTTTTTTCAAGGTATCACAACGGTTCTTACAATGACAACCATCTCGACGGGTGTTCGACAGTCCCTCCCAAGGATTAGTTATGTCAAAAGTATCGATATTTACTTGGTTCGTTTCTCAAAAATATTTTAACCCAAAAATAATTTAGGTAATGTGTTTCGTTTTTGTGTTCGCCGCGTTATTGGAGTACGCGGCCGTCAATTATTCCTATTGGGGCTCGGAACGGAGGCAGAGGAAAAGCGGAGAAGAAGGGTCAGTTGACAGGAATTAGGAGGGAAATTCATGAAAGTCGTGGAAATATTGAGAAAAAAGATGGAAGAAATGGCCGAAAAAGTGTTCATTTACGGATCTTTCGAGCAAATGCGCTCTGATGAACAATTTTTGATTGAGCACTCGAGCCTCGGTTACTTAATAAAGTTAGAAGTGTTTTCTTTGAAAAACTATAGAGAAAAACTTTTTTGAAGTGCTCTCTATTGAGAACGTGTTTCTTTTTGAGTAAGACCAACATGCGCAAGTAGTTTTTCGTCGGGTGCTCTGAAAAATCGAGACCACGACACACTCTTTGCCCCGTACTAGAGCCTTCTGCATTTTCAAAAGTTTCCATTGATTTTAAAGATCAGTGGATTTCGCAGAAAATCATAGTTTCGTTTTTTTTTTCTTAAGATTTCTAGTAATCACGAATTGGAGGAATGATTGAAAAGCTCATTTTCCCCAAAATTTTTCGAATTAAGTTTTCTCAAAATCAAGTTCTGTTCAACTAATTAGAGCAAATCGAATTTCAGGTGGCCAGTGAACAAAGAAGACCGGGAAAGTGCTGTAAATGTACAGAAATGGGTCCCGAGTGGATTTATGGATGTGAGTTTGTACTTTTTTTCAAAGAGAAAAAGGTAAAATAGAAATATTATAAAATATTAAGGGGATAAGTGACTTTAGATTCCTTTCTAAATCCTGATTTTTATTAGCTCGTAGCTTTGTTTTTTGAAAATTTTAATTAAATTGCGGAAATTCTTTCAATGCTTTCGAGTCTGAAAATGAGAACAACTTTGCGAAAATTGAATTTACACTGTATATACCAAAAAATGTTTAATACGAGCATTTTTTCGGAAATACAGTGTTTTGCCAGTCGCCAGCGTAGCTATCGTGAAGCGCTTTATTGACGACTGAAATGAATCGATTTTTATATTAAGAACTCACGAATGATGTATTCGGCGATAAACCCGCAGTCTTTGCGAAATTTAGGATTTTGGTTCACGCAATAGGCGAATCTGAAAGTAAAAAGGGAAGATTTTGGAATTTTATACCTGAAAAAGTTCTGAAAAAAGGCTTGGCAAAATAATACAGGTTTTCCCTAAAAATTTTCGGGCTTTTTTGGGCATTTTTTCAGCAAAAAACGAAGAGGGACCGAACTCGTGACCTTAGATTTATAGCCTGAACCTTAAGCCGTTTGACTATCCGCGATTTTCGTAAAGCAAGTTTTCTAGTGTATCAAAATCGAACCATGTAGTACATAAGCCGAAAAATTTGCCTTTTCGGGATATTCTGACAAAGAGGGATATCGAACTCGTGACCCCTGGATTTGCAATCTCGGATTTTAACCACTTGACAACTTGAAATTTTTTTTTCACCGCCTAGTCTACTAACTAGGGAACGTTTTTTACCCCCCGGTTGAACTTTTGACGAAACTTTGCAGAGATGTACTTTGAGGTCTCCTGAATCCAGAACAAGAAAAAAATTTCTCGCAATAGACCTTGTTTTCGAGATATGCAGCCTCGAAGTTTGCACGTGAGATCTGCGGAAGCATGGAAGAGGGAATATGTTGCGCGCAGTGTCGGTTGAATGCCAGGTGATTCGTGGCAGAGTGGTATGAGGGCGCGCACTATGTGCGAGCTGTGGTGGGTTCAAAACGCCTTTGCTGACGAGTTTTGCAAAAAATCTTTTGCCAAAACTCCAATCATTCAAAGCCATCCACCTGGATGGAACGAATTGAAATAAACTAATTTTGTGGAATTAAAAAAATTTCCATTCTCAAAAATTTTGAAATGATGATTGAATATCAACCCGTCTGAAGTATAACAATATGCAAAAACACAACCAATACATTCAAACCAAACAAAAATTTCAGCGCTTATGACAAAAACAAAAATCTTTCTAAAAAAATTCAAATGAATAAAGGAATACTGTTGCGAAGAGTTTGAAAAAAATTGCATCATCCTTCTTTAAACATTCGGCAAAAGATTTTTTGCAAAATTTTGCAGCGAAATGGGGCCGAACCCACTACAGTTCGCACATAGGGCGCGCCCTCATACCACTCTGCCACGAATCACCTGGCATTCAACCGACACTGCGCGCAACATATTCCCTCTTCCATGCTTCCGCAGATCTCACGTGCAAACTTCGAGGCTGCATATCTCGAAAACAAGGTCTATTGCGAGAAATTTTTTCCTTGTTCTGGATTCAGGAGACCTCAAAGTACATCTCTGCAAAGTTTCGTCAAAAGTTCAACCGGGGGGTAAAAAACGTTCCCTAGTAAGCCTTTCAAGTTTCACGGGTTTTTTCACGATTTTGAAGCGAAATATTTGTTTCAATAGAAAATTTCGACGAAAATGTTAAACAAAGGGTTGAATTGGGGGCTTCTCTTTCCGATTTTCGGTTATTTTTTCACAATTTTCGAGCGGTTTTCCTGTTTTCATATGAAAACTTAACGAAAATGTGCAAAAAACCAACTGGGCATATTTCTGAATGACGGTACTCATTGAAACACGATTAATTTCGATCATTGGATCGATAAATTCCTTGTAGAACAGATCCTGCAGTCTCGAACTTTCTCCTATCATCCAGTCGAGAAACTGAAAAAATAAATGATTGAGGTAAAATAATTTGGAAAAGTTCAATAGACTATCCTTTGAAGTGTCAGAATTGGAAAAAATTCATTAAAAAAAAAAATTATCGAAACGTTTTATTGAAATCTGTTTGAAAAAAGGTTTTTTTCTTAGAAAATTCATACTTTATTCCATTTCTTGGAAGCTTTCGAGACGGTGAAGTTTATAGAATTTTTTTCACATCAACAGAAAATACTCTAGTGATGATTTTCTACTTAATAGGCCTCAAAACTCACCGTCTATCATCACGAAAAAAAAAACCAACCCTTGCATTTTTACTCCGGCAATTTACCACGTATTTGTCCAAAAACGTCTTGGGAAACATTCCCTTCAGCTCAGCTTCATCCAAAGTCAGGTTGTCCTTGAAAAAAAAAAATTCCATCTCTTTATTTGTCGCATGCGGAATCGTCTAGCCATTCCAAATGCGACCGAGAATATCGAAAACTGACGTATATATACTGATCAAAAACCGCAACGAAAGCTTTACGAAACTTTTCCTCGTCCTCATTCCAAAATTCTGAAAAAGTCACAGATTTTTCCTTTCGTGAAGAAAAATATTACGCTTCTCGAAGTATTTTTGCAAATCCTCGTGTTGTTCCGTCAATACCGACGTGTTCATCATATCGAATCGCGCGTGGGAATGTCTCAAAAAAGTGACTAGAGATTAGAATAATATTGGAGAGTTTAGACGTCAAAAGAAAAGGGGAGTGTCTGGAGCCTCCAGTTTTTACAAGCTCTCTGACCGCATCAAAGAAAAAACTGCTCTTAATATCTAGTTAAGAAAGATTTTCAAGAAAGGAGGAAGAAAATGAGAGATTATGAGAAACTTGGAGACACGCAGAGATGCAAAGAAAAGACGGAGTGTCTGGTGTCTCCAATTTTCGTACACTATCTCGCTAATTGGGAGAAAAAGCTCACCTTGATAATGTGATCAGTTATATCAAGAATCTCAGAAAACGAAAATACAGAGAAGAAGATATTATGAGAAATTTGGAGACACGCAGAGATGCAGAAAGAAGAAAGAAAGGCGTGTCTGGTGTCTCCAACTTTCCTATGATCTCTCTTTTTTGGCTACTTTGTTCAGAAAAATCATAAAAACTGTATTCCTGGACAAAAAATACTTTGATTCGAATCCGCCGGTTGAAAAATGGACGAGGGTGAAAAAAGCAAAGAGCGAAATCATTGCTTCAACTTGAAATGGGTGGGCAAAAACGTGTTTTTTCGAAGTTATGCGTGAAATAATTTTTTCGAAGTGAGTTGCTCTTTGAAGTTCAGAATTTTAAGATTCTTGAAGCCTACAATACTGAAATTTTGAAGAGAGATAGTGGAAAAATTTAGATTTTGAGGCCCTATTTTAACTTCCTGAGAAAATTTTTAGTGACCACTGTAGTGGCTCGCCAAGGACTACTTGGAGAGGACACTAAAGTGGCCACTGAACCTTCCTCTATAGGGGTCGTTATTTTCCGTTTCAGTGGCCACTATAGAGGTTCTCTATTTAGTGACTACTTCAGCAGTTTTTCATCCAGTATTCCTTCCAGTAACTCTGATTATTTTAAAACAGATTTAACCAATTATGTTGATCCATTGACCCCTAAAGTGCCCACTAATGGGACTACTATAGTGGCCACTAAAACGTCAAAACCCTATAGTGGCCACTAAAATTTTTCCCAGTCAGTTCGAATAGTTTGGACATTTTTCAGTCGAATCACTCGGATCCGCGAACACAGAAGCTCGAAACAACACCGGCCGCAGATCTTCCTCAACCTATCAAATCGGTAATTATCTACTCTGTAACGGAAACCGGACCCGCTCCGGACGTTTCTGAGCAGTTCTAGTGATCTCCTCTTTAAAAATGATTTCAAGCTGGACGACGTTCGGAATCGAAAAAGAGCTTCGAGTCCGATTCCGTCGCTTTGCCGGTCCGGACAAACGTTGAACGAAGAAGACGAAGACTATCCTCGATACGCCCAAACCTCCATGAAAGGCTCGAGGGCGGTCAGTATCGGCAGGAATATTCGAGGCGTCGCCTTGAGGTAGGTTGTTGGAGAAAAAAGGAGCATGGTTGCCCATAGTACCATCTATAGCTGATTCACGGCCAGCTTGGGACGCTAAGGGGGCGTGTCCTGTCTGTGCTCTCCACGAGCCAGGCGCTATCTCGTGCATTGTCGTGTCAGGACCCTTTTTTCGATGGCTCAAGTCGGCCGTGAATCAGCTATATATACATGAAGAGTACTTGTAAGCTTATAAAGGACCGCCGAATGGTATTCGCAGGCTTGTGGGTCGGGCTTGGGCTGGCCCGGGCTTTGCGTCTGATTTGGGGCGTGAAGGGCTTGGGTCAGGCCTTTTCTACTAAACAAATTTTCTCATTAGTTCTCATAGTTAGAGACCGCGGAGCTCCGCCCCTTTTTGGGATGGTGAAATTCATTTTGGTTTTTTTGGTTTTTTTTTTCGTATAAGCGCAATACTGAACCGATTCTAACGAAAATTGATAGAAAGATAGAGCGGACCTCCCTCTTTCGGTTCGTGTATAGTTTGCTCCATTACCTTGCGTTTGAGCGGAGTGTCGTACAGGAAAATGGAACGATATTGAATTCGTCCGTTTTTAACTATGTTTTTGATAGTGCACACTATTATTTTTTTAATGTTTTATCATTGGAAGATGAAACATTTTTTTAAATTGGCCCGGCCGTTTTTGATTGGGTCCCAGCGAAATCCGGCTCGAAATCGGGCTTAAAATTTGGCCAGGGATGATAGGCTATCGGGCCGGCCCTCGCACAAGCCTTGCTAACCGACAGCTACTCGTATCCCCTTCTCGATTCACCATAAAAATCATTGCGATATCGCAGATCGCGACGCCGAATGACGCTGGCGCGAATGAACGTCTCGATGAAGCAGTCGATCTCGGGCCTCGGTCGCAAGGCTCGCAAAGTGATCCCGTCGATTCGCGTCCGCGACGTCAACCTCATCGACAAGTACTCGCGGATCGTCTTCCCCGTTTGCTTCGTCGTCTTCAAGTTGGTTCTTTTCAAATTTAATGAAAATTGAGCCTACTGTAAAACTCTCTTGTTTTCGCACACTGTTTCGCTCGTAGTAACTGCGACATAGTTCCAGGATTATTTAGTTCTAAAATCGGTGGTTCTCGTCAGTTTAGAAAAAAAAAACTTCGGAAAATTATAAAAATCTACGAGCTCTAAGATGTTTAGAGGGCCCCGATAGGGGGACAAATGTGGTCCTTGTAGGAGCCCCTATCGAAGCCCCGAAAATCTGGTTCAGGTGCCCCTATAGGGGTTGAATTAAAAGAGGGCAGGATCAAATTTTCACTTGAATTCTCTTCCTCATATTCGTCCCTTATTTTTTCAAACAACGCCCCTCACGCAATTTAAAGAAATTTACTTTCTATACGGCCCCGAATCGTTTACGAGGTTCAAGGGAAGCTCCGGGGTTCCTGAAACTTTTTTTGCATTTTCATTGTGTTTTTACGGTCTACTTGTCAGATTTGACAATTTTTTTTTCTTAAATTGATTTTCCTCAACTACTAGTCATCAAAGTTTTTGGTCTATGTCATTTGACTTGAAATAACGTTGAAACGCATGTAAAAATGCTCGTTTCGCCTTTCTACCTGAGTTACTAATAAATCTCAAGTTTTTTTTATAACGTATAATCCAAAAATTTAACTTAGAAATTGGAAGTTTTCTTAATTTTCTTTCAACAAGGTTTTTTTCAGTTTGTTCTACTGGGGCTACTACAGCATGCTGACCGCCTACGTGTAATTTTTTTACTTCCCTTTTTTTAAATTCAGAAACATTCCATTTTTCATTTTTTTCAATTTTTAACCTTCTTAATACCATTAAATTTTGCTCAACCGCTCGTACTTTCATTTTTAAAAATTCTGTTTATTATCATTATGATACATTATTCTCTGATTTTGATTGTTGCTATAAATTTTTTTCAATTTTCGTGTAAAAACTTTTGTTAGCGTAATTTTATTGAATGAATGTGTCGAGTATTGAAATTGATGGAACTGAAAATCGAGTTGGTTATTGCCATTACTTGAAAATGTCCCTTCTTTGAATGACTTTCAAGTTTCAGGGAAAAGAAAAACCTGAAAAATTTGCAAATTTTTCTTGTTAGGCTATTCAATTTGACCGCATGTACAATTAATTCACGCGCAACTCTTGTAGTTTTGTAGAAAAATTGGCCAACAAACAGCTCGAGTTTAAGTAAAGGGTCACGCGGCTCCAGTTTCCTTCTTACAACCAACTTTCTAGTTTTAAATTGTGTTCCTGGCCAATTCGCAAACATTTTGCATTGCCGTGTTTAAAGAAGTCCGCGAAATTTAAAACGCTTTCTGTCAAGAATAGAGCTTTTAATTGTAGATTCGAAATGGTAGAACACTTCGAGGAAAATTAGAACTGAAGTTCCTGAAAAATGATGAAATCTCGAAATTATCAATTTGTTATCAAATTATAGTTAAACTTGTAAACCACAATATTTTTTTCGTTTATCGGAAGACGGATTTTGGAAGAGGTGCAGGGGGACAAAAAAAATAGGAAAGGAACGGAAGAAAGGACGTCTTCTAGAGGAAGTAGACGCCGTTTTCTTTCATTGAGGGGGTCGGTGAAGTCCATTTAGAAGACGCCGTCGAGTGAGTTGAAACGGAAGATGCCGTGCTATTCTGGCCTCTGAAAAGGTTTTTTTTTTCAATTTTTGAAGCGATTTTTGAAGTTCTTATTAGTGTAGTTTCTTCAGAAAGAGAAATGAAAAAAAATCGACTGAAACCAAATCTTGACGTTATGGTGCAAATTCCAAAAATTATTGATTAAAGAAAAGGGAAAACTACAAGATTCCAAAAAAAATGTTCAAAAATTTCCAGCATGCTCTAAGTTCCCAATTATCATTGAGAAAAACGTTCAGAATCTGAATTTGATCAAATTTAAAAGTGAAGATCACTTCAAGTAACGTTCCATGGCCCTGGGAACCTCCTCGTCGAAAGGCTTGTCCGACTTGTAAGTCGTGACGACCATCAGCTTGCGCCCGTCCAGGGACTTGTAAAGCCGCGATTTCCTGGCCTTTTCCTAAAACATTCAAATAGCTCTTCAGGTTTTCTTGCAACCGACCATCCACGAGATTTCGTCAGAGGTACGTTTCGGCAGGGTTTTCGGCACGTTTTTCTGGCTTTTCTGGCTTTTTTGGCTTTTCTGGCTCTTTTGACTTTTCACGGCTACAGTTCCAGAAGTCTGAGACGTTCCAGAAGTCTTAGAAATTCCAGAAGTCTTAGACGCCGATGGCGAGCAGTTCACCTCCTCCGAGGAGGATGAGAAGATGCTGCTGGAATATATATTTTTTAATTTTTCATGGAAAACGTATTTTTAAAGACAATATTCACCTCTTTCTCGACGTGCCACTCATGTCAATGATTGTCTTATTCGCTTCAGCTTCTGGAATCAATGAAATCAGAAAAATGATTATTTATTGATCAAAATACGTGATACTCCAAGAATTTAAGGCGATAAGCTAGAGCGTATGATTCATAAGAATGAAAATTAAAATTTCTAGAGCTATTTACTGGACTTCCCTGTAGATTTTTTGAATAGAAAACTTTTTGGAAGGAAAAAAAAAGATTAAAAAAAACTGAATTTTCAAGCGATATTTCCAAAGTTTCCTACGGGTTTTCGGTACCATTTTGATCCTTGTAGCGGAAAATTTCCAAAAAACCAACTGTTTTGTATATTATTGAAGCTTGACCGAGTTTAAAAAGAAGAAATATGTGACCGAAGTTAAATTATTCGTTTCAAAGGCAAACTTTTAACGTTTCCTACTAGTTTCCGGTACCATTTTGAACCTTGAAACGTAAATATTTCGACAACCCAACATTTTCCAAAAATTCGGAAGGAAAGAAGTTTCTGTATGAGAAAAAAAAAACGAAGACGAGTTTTTCTGTTCCTAAGGCTGATTTTAACGTTTCCTACGAGCTCATGGTACCATTCAGATGCCTAAAAAAACTAATTTTCAATAATCCAAAACTTTTCAAGAATCTCTAAGAAAAACTATGGGTCAAAATGGAAGAAATCCGTTCCTAAGGCTGATTTTCAATGTTTCCTATGGCTTTCTGGTACCATTTTGATACTCGCAACGCGAAAAGTCCAACCTCTCTTGAGATCCCTCAGGTAAGACTCGGCTTCGGCGGCAGTCCTCTCCATGGCACGCGATATCGCCTCGTAGGCCTCAATGGAACGATTCGAGCTCATTGTCCGACTTGAAATAAGCACCGCCGTTCCTATTTTTCACGTTGAAACATTCAGTTTTCCTTCACTTTTTTTGAGATCAAAGTTTATTGTTCAGGTTCTTATCAAAGCGCGGGCCTTGTCCATGATTTCTTTCTTGATTTTCGGGTAATGGGGGTACTGTTCCAGGACTTTATGGCACGTTTCGATGCAGGTGAACAGCCGCCGACATTTGAAGTAGTTGTAGGCGAGTTTGTAGCCTGGAAAAGAGGAAATAAAAGTAAATAATTGGGAAAAATTTTAGTGGCCGCTATAGGGTTTTGACGTTTTAGTGGCCGCTATAGTAGTATAATTAGTGACCACTTGAGGGGTTAAAAATTGGTGACCACTATAGAGGTCTAAGTGCTATTACTAGGCCAATAAAAATTTTAGTGGCCACTTTAGGGGTCAATGGATTAACATAACTGGTTCAATCACGTGGACACTAAAACGGAAAATAGTGGCCACTATAGAGGTGGGTTTAGTGGTCACTTTAGTGTCCTCTCCAAGTAGTCCTTGGCGAGCCTCTATGGTGGCCACTAAAAATTTTCCCAGAAAGTTGTAAAATCCTTCATTTTCTGACCACAAGTAGAATGGCTCAACGCGTCGCGGCTTCGTTGAGCCATTCCAAGTGCCGCCATGGGAATGATACTTCTTTGAGCAGTTTATGAATCTGAAATCTTAGGAGGCCCGTTTCAAGAATATAATAAAGCGCCAGTCAAATTTGATCACACGGTGCGTTTAACTTAAAAACATTTTTTTCATGACTGTTTTTTTCAAAGTTACATTATTTTATAACCTAAAGGAAAACTAAACAAAAAATTGAAATCAATGAATTTTGACAAAATTATTCCCTAGCGACCTAAAAAACTGAAAAATCTTCAAAACGCACTAATATCCTTCTGAAATGCAGTTTCCAAGTCGTTTTACGGTCCGGCGCAGATTCCAAACCCGCTAGGAACTTTGCCATTCCAAGTGCGGTCATGAAGCTCCCATTTTGGGTAGATAGAAACCCAGAGGGAATAAAAAAACTTAAGCTTTTGACTGGGGATTGAAAATTCATGAAATATAACTCCGAAATATGTAAAAAATCTCATGGAAAAAGGGCTATAGCTACCCGAAATTTGTATGTTCTGTCACTTTTTTCATTTTTCCAACCAACCAATGGCAGGATTCCTCTGCTGGCAGATGCGCCAAGCCTTCTCGTAGTGTTGGACGGCTTCCGCCCATTTCTGCTCCTTTTCTCGCAAATATCCTTGGAACTCGAAGGCTTTCAGTGAGCTCTGAAAGAAACTTGATTTCAAAAAATGATTGGATGCATAAAAATAAATAGATCCCACTAAAAAGCAGTTTATAGTTGTTACAAAAAGAATAGCTCAATTTTGAAATATTTTCAGGAAGAAAAAACTGATAACATCAGGAAAAAAAAAATCAACCACGTTCTCAATAGAGCGCACTTGAGAAAAAAGGTTTTATTTCCCGAACTTTTTTCTAACAAGGGCTGTGTGCGCGGTGAACATCGAGTTATGAATTGAGGCTTTTATGGTAGATGGACTTAAAGGAGAGTCTTCCAAAACGAAAGAGAAAATCTGCTAAGCGCCATAGGGTACCGAGAAAAAGCTCGTCAAAGTTTTACCGCCACGTATATGCCCGCGCTCGGAGTGCACAGCCAGCAACTGGGAGCGTGGTGAAGTGGCAGTGCTCTTGAATGGCGCTGACGCTATGCTAGGTTCGATTCCCTTTGACGTGAAACTTTTTTTGCTCTTGTTTTTTCAATTCTTCTACACTCTATTATCAACAAAAAAAAACAGCAAAAAACGTTTGAATTGGAGGATATAATTGGAAATGGGAAAAGAAGGAAAGAGAAAGCACAAAAAAATTTTTGTGTCATATTCAGTTTTTCATGGAAAACTTCTGAAAAATTGTTCAAATAATTGATGCCTGGGCGGCTTCTCGAGATGACAGCCCAACGAAATACAATGAAAAACTTGGTACCTCCTGTAAATAAATGTATACTTGTGAATAATATCACACCTGGCTCCTCTGGCCTCATTCAACCATTTTATATGTTGTTTCTCTTTTTACTGTTTGAAAATCTTTCATCGCGAAAATTCCCCCGGCTGCTCTATTTTCCCTTTTTCGATGCCCCTCTCATACCAAAAGTTTTGTTCTATTTCTTACCGAAATTTCTGAAATTTCATGGAGAATGCGAAAATACATTGACAGGACTCCCTGTGCTCTTCGGGCTCGTACTCATACTTGGTTTCTTTTTTTTTCGCAGGATTATGAGTGATTTTTCACTTATATTTTTGCTTCGATTTCATCTTTTTGTGATCTCGGAAGCCATAAACTAATTATCAGAACTTTTTTTTTCCGATACTTTCAATGGAAAAACTTAATATGACACGAAAAAGTTTTTTTTTGTGCTTTCTCCTTCCTTTTTTCCAATTTTCAATCATCTCCTTCAATTCAAAAAATTTTTGCTGTTTTTGTTTAATAATAGAGTGGAGAATAACTGGAAAAAAAAGCAAAAAATGCTTCGCGTCAAAAGGAATCGAACCTATCATAGCGTCAGCGCCATTCAAGAACACTGCCACTTCACCACGCTCCCAGTTGCTGGCTGTGCACTCCGAGCGCGGGAATATACGTGGCGGCAAAACTTTGACGAGCTTTTTCTCGGTACCCTATGGCGCTTAGCAGATTTTCTCTTTTGTTTTGGAGCACTCTACCCTAGGTCTATCTACCATGAAAGCCTCAATTCATAACTCGATGTTCACCGCGCACACAGCCCTTGTAAGCAAAGAGTTTTTAAACTCAATATAAAAAAGCTGTTTTTCGAAAACTTTCTTTTCTTGGATCTCACAAGAAATATTTTATTCGAGGATAAAAATTTGGATTTCATTGAAAAAATCTTCTAAGGAGAACCATCTATTTTATCTCAAAAAGAATGAAATTTAAAAATCAAACAAGAAATTTTCCGAAAAATGTTTATATTCTTCAACAAAGCCCACTTTCTCAATACAGCACCCTTTCCGCGGCGATTTTTTCCCACCGTTCACCGCGTCGTAATGAACAACCGTTTACAGAAAGTTACTCCGAAAAATATTGTATACTTTGAAAAAAAAACCAATTTTCTCATTGGAGCACCCTTTCCGCGGCGATTTTCTCCCACCACTCACCGCATTGTGATGAAGAACCGTTCTCAGGACATTGGTCGCTTGGTCCGTCTTATTCTGATTGATGTACAAGTCCGCTAAAAGAAGCCAACCTGCAAGAATCTTCTCTTTTTGACATTCCGTACTTTTTTCTCACATTTCTCCAAATAATCCGCATTTTCGAGGGTCCACTGATGAGAGATCACCTTTTTCAGGATCGTTTTTGCTTTGGGTACTTGTTTCAGAATCATGTAGGCCCTGGCGGTGCCCAAAACAGCGCCAACGTTTGAAATTGTGTCCTTGAAAGAATATTCTGCTTGAAAAATAATTGGATCTTGATGTGAGACTTTACATATTCAGCTCCGGCTCAAAAGGGTTCAGAATTAACCTAATAAAATAATGAAAAGAGTGTATCTGTAATTAGCAACCATTAGTATATTCGAAAAAAAACCTAAAGTCCTCCATTTTTCCTTCAAAACATTGCCATACCATAGGCAAAGTCGGAAGAACTTTTGCGGGTCCTTTAAGGGTCTTTTATGGGTGCAAAAGGTTTTCATTGATTGTTCCTTTTTACTGCCTTTTTCCGTCCTTCCATCGGCCCTAATCCACCCTTTTTGGACCTATTTGGCCAAAAAAATTTCTTTGAATTGATATCAATCTCTACTAGTAACTGTGTATGAACCAAAACGTGCTACAGTAATAAAATCAGAAATAATTAATGGCCGAGACTTTTTTTTTCACCCTTTTCAAGGCTTTTCAGCTAACCAAGAAGTAAAGGCTCATAAAAGGCCTCAAAACGGAACCCTTTCAGCGGCCAGTTTGCACCCGTCTTCCACATTTCCGACTTTAGCAACGTACAAACCCCCTCTCCAATCATGGACAGAAACGCGTTGAGAGCCGTTTGAATGTTCATTTTATTGCCGGTGTGCATCAAAATGAAGTTCTCCATGAGCGAATATCTCGAATCAACGGTCGGTTTGTATCGAAGTTCCTAAAAATAAAAATTACCATTCTAAAAATCGGAAAATCAAACTTTCAAGAATTTTTCGGCCGTTTTGGTGCCCATCGCTCGGTCCGCGTCTTCTGGCCTGAAAAGGATATATTTCGAAAAAAAATATATTATTTTTGTTGAAGAGCTTTCCTAGAGATCCCTCGGGTTTCTTGAAACTTCGAAATCTAAGATTCTGCTTTTCTTCAAGACGATAATATTCTTCTTTTTTTCCGGAAGAGAATGCGAAAGAACAACTATGCCCCTTAGAGACTCCAGAGAAGCTTGCTATCTCTCTTTCTCTAATCTCTCTTCAAACGACCGCATTCTCCTCGAAAAACTAACTTGTCCTCGCTGGACTCCAAGACTTCTCCGCCGATGATTTCATTGTCGGGATTGAGACAAATTTCGATCATATTATAAATCGCCTTTTCGCCCCAAGTCAGATCCCTTCGAGCTCTATTGAAAGCTTGCAGAGCGCCGTTCGGATCTCCGGTGAACCTTAAAAAAGGCTAAATTTTGAAACTTAAAGCTTAAAAAGGGGAGTTTGAAAAAAATGAGCTGAAAAAGCCATTTTTCACAGAAAAGTCTGACTTCTCTGCGCTCTCTTTTCTCTGAACGGTGCATGTTTCTTTGGGTGAGGGAAAAGAGAGCGCAGACAGGTCAGAATTTTGTAAATATTAGCGAAGTAGTTCTTTTTGGAAGATCAATAAAATGTTCCAAAACTTTTTAAAAACTCGAAAAAGCCTGAAAAAAGCTTGTAAGCAAGAGATCACGGCGACTGAAGAGACTCCAGAGAAGTGAGGGAACCTCTAACTATCTGGCGCCTCTTCAGGCCGTGTTTATCTCTAATTATAGACTATTTCAGCTCGAAAAATCGGAAAAAGATGTCAGAAAAAAACCTATTCAACTCTTTGAATTGTTTTCATAATGATTTTAAATTTCGTTAAGATTCCAATTTTAATTTGAAATCTCCAATAAATTCACTAAAATAATCGGAAATAAAATGGGAGTCGATATTTATAAAATTATAAGAAAGAAGATAGATAATTTGGCATACAAGGAATATATTTTCATTCTCCGAATTTTTTTCGAACCAAAAATTTTTTTCAACTTTCTTCCAACCCTTTTATTGAGATCACTGTATCAAAAATATAATTTAAAAATTCAAGTTTTTTTGAAGATTTTTGTTAGAACAGTGTAAGAATGTGTGAATCCTCAAATAAACTTCATAAAACTGATCATTTACCATTCATGAAGCCCTTTACAGTAATTGTAACCGGCATCTACCGTAGCCCGCGGATTCGCTTCCACGGCTTTCCTACAATTTTTTTGATTCCTCTTTCGAAAAAATATTTTCCGAACATCAAAAACTTCTCGGCGTTCTCGGCATCGCCACCTCTCCAGGAAAGTTCAATGACCCGTGCCAGGGCATGATAATGGTCTGTAAAATGCGGACATTGAAATCCAGGGAGACGACATGAAATTACTGGGATTTCTGGTCAACAATTGGGTGAAATGGACGATCGCCTGGTCTCCTTCGTTTTTGAGGTACAATAAATCGGCCATCATCTGAAATTCGAGAAATCAGAGAAGGCTCTTTTGAAAAATTGGACTTGGTAATCCCAAGTTCGGAGAAAAATGGATGAAAAAATATTTAGATGTTTTTTTTCTTTTTTTAAAGTCGTTAATACCGTAAATGATCCCTTAAGGGAAAACAAAAATTAGTAATTTTTCAAAATGAAGAATGCCCTTATTCCTTTCCGAATTCTGCTCTAATTTTCTCTTTCTTTTTCAAAAAAGCCTCCGAAATCCGCTCAAATTCGCTCCACGGAAAAAGCAAATTTTCCCTGACATCTGAGTAAATAGTCTCTATTACTATATGGTTAAAAAATCCACAGAAACGCCTAAAACATGCCCTAGTTTACGTATAGAAATGGGTTTGAAAAAATCCTTTTAACCGCAAGAAAGAATTCTTCAAAATTCGAAATTCAACCAAATTTATCATCAGAGCGCACAATCCCCTCAGAAAATCGCCTCACCAAGGTCGCCTCGTCGTTGTCTCTCTCAATAGCGAGGACGATGTTACATTGCTGATTGCATAATTGGAGTCGGTTTTGGGACATGTAAATGTGCGCTAGGGCGAGGTTGCTCTTAATTTTGGGAATTTATGAATCTCTGATTTTTTCTTCAAACCTTGATGTCACCTTCGTGAAAAGTTGTGGCTTGTTTGTACAACTCCACGGCTCTCGTGATGTCTTTTGTTCGGGTTTGGAGCTCGGCCATTAGGCAGAGGATTCTGTGAGAAGTTTGATTTTCTAATGAGAATGCCGAGAGCTAGAAATTCCCTTGATTTTTCTGACTTTCATAAACCTTTCTAATTTCCAAAAACCTCGCTGATTTCAGAAACATCGTTTGCCATTGTTTCTCAGAGACTGCGAAAAATTTAATGGCCACTATCAAGGCTCGCCAAGGACTATCTGGAGAGGACACTAAAGTGGCCCCTAAACCCACCTCTATAGTGGTCACTGTTTTCCGTTTTAGTGGCCACTATAAAGGTTATCTACTTAGTGGCCACTTCCAGTATTCTTCCCAGTAACAACACATTGGACCAGTTATGTTGATCCATTGGCCCCTAAAGTGGCCACTAAAATTTTAAGTGGTATAGTAGTAGCACTTAGAACTTTATAGCGGCCACTAATTTTTCATCCCTTAAGTGGCCACTAGTTTGACTACTGTAGTGGCCACTGAAAAGGCCAAAACCAGTAGTTGCCACTAAAAATTTTTCTAGGAGTCGATGAAAACTGGTTAATTCCTTTACTTTTCTCACTTTTCTCAATGGGGCGAACTTTCCCATCATGACTGGCTTTTCTCAATTTTTCTATCGAAAAACAAAGTTTGTTTTTTTGAAACGTAGTTTTCTGCAAGCTTAAATTCTCATTCACAATTTCTCAAAATTGATAATTACGATTCTTCTTCATTAATGTTGAAATTTGGTTAAACTTTCGAAGGCCTCTTTTCTTCTATTCCCTTTTCAATTTTTCAATTTTATTCCCCTTTTCCCTATTCTTTTTCACCCTTTTTTTTCATCAAAACCAACCTCGCGACCTCTCTCTTGACATTGAAGTTGGTATTGGTCTCAGATTTGGTCATCAGTCTGAGCTGGAGCCTTTTGGCTCTGTCGAGACAGTCCGAAGCTTCATTCCACTGTTTTCTGGCTTGATGAACTTTTGAGAGCAATTCGAGAAGTTGGATGTGCGAGGGAAGCACGGTGAGATCTTAAAATCGATGCTTATTGGTTTAGTTTTAATTTCAAAGGATGGTTTCAGGACAATTTGAGATTTTCAAAAAGAGACTGGTATCACAATATGAAACGCTTCACAGTGATTCCGAATTTGTGCTTTAAAATCACCTATTAAGTCTCTGAAAAAAGTTTATATCCATTCAAAACTTGGAAATGAGTCGCCATATTAAAAGAATTGAAAAAAACTTTTCACAACTACCCTTCGGTTCTCTCCAATACCAAAAAAACCGCAAAGCCTGTTTTTTTTCAAACTTTGAGTACTTGTGAACCTCTTCTTGCGGTATTAAGGTCTAAAAAGACATAGTTGAGGATTAAAATACTTATTTTTTCTTGAACCTCTTGATCTCCACTATCGATCGATACCAAATATAAAAAAACTTAAAAAGTTCGACTATAAATTTTGATTTTCTATAACTTCCTAACTTTCCTATGGAAGTCAATCCTAGCCTTAATTTATTTTTCGTTTATCGATTGATATAAATTTTTTCCAGATCGGCTTCCACGCTCTCAAAAGCTTAAGAAAAACGCAAACTAAATTTTTTTCAATTTGCGGCAAAATTTTTCGAGATAAATCGATGGGAAATGACGTCAGAAAATCAAGTTCAGAAAAATTTAGACCCTAAAAAAATCAGAATCATAGTTAAAAACTGCTCATTCCTCAAAAATCCTCTAGAAAACTAAGGTTTTCTCACCCGCGGGGTCAGGATCCAGGTCAAGGGGCTGCTTGAGGACTTTCTCGCACTTGTCCAGACTTCCGAGCTTCAGGAGCAACTCGGCGAGTTTCTCACGCATTTTCCTGTCTTTGTAGATGTTCATGGTCGACTCGTAGAAGTTGACGGCCTTTATTTATGTTTTAAATCGGTTTTCGGTTCTTTTTTTACCTTGGCATAGAGATGACTCATGACATAGGCCTCTCCGATTTTTTCGGCTAGAAGGGCGTCTTTATTTTGCATTTTCAAAGCTTGCTCGTAGTAGGAAATCGCTTCATCAGGCTAAAGAAAAATATAGATTTATTGAGTAATTTATAATTGACATAGGAGAATGCTAACTCATTGGGGGAAACTAGGCCGAAATTCTCTGAAAAACGGAAGTTTAAAGATGAGTCTTGTTATTCAAAAGAAAAACGGATGGAAGAAGAGAAATTTTCTATTTAAACTAACTGATTAGTTTTACATGACCAGGACCAGAAAAAAGCCTGTCACAACCTGAGCTTTTTCTTGAAGCTTCAAAGAATTTGGAAGGTTCCAAAAGAAGTCAGAAGGCCTACAGGCTCAAAATTTTAACTACAAACTGAAAGAAAAGATTCTAACAAGTTCTCAGAGTCTTTTAAAGCTCCTAGCAACACTAAAAAAGTGTTAAAATTAATTGAACACAATTTTTCAAAAATATAGATAAGAATACTCGAAAACTAGAAGAGTAATCCGGTAAGCGCTACGACGTCCGAGAAAAATCCGGTCTAAAATGGAAGTTAAAGCCTTAAAAACGACCTTTCTTGAAAAAGGTTCCTTTCGCGTTTCTTATGTTGATTGGATTTCCAGAAACTCTCGAAAGACTTCCGATCCAATATTCAATAGCTCTATCCAGACCTCCTGGATGCTCATGAAGGCATCGCCGAGCATGGCGTACGAGGCCGGGGTCGGTTCCATTTGAAGGAGTTCCTTGTAACAAGCGGCGAACATTCGCTTGTCTTTCTTCTCCTCGATGTAGATTTCCGCCATTTTGATCCGCGCCGAGTGATAACTCAACTGTCCGGGTTGCACCTGAAAAACTCAGTTTTTGAATATTAGCCTTTTCATCATCGAATAAAAAGTTTTCACAATGAAAATGAGAAAAAAAGTCCGTCAATCGTTTATTAATAATGAGCTCAGAGTTAGGCCAAAACAGGTTTCAAATTTATTATAGGCATCTGGAAAATATTGCTACTTTTCCTTTAGGGGACCACTCTACCCCCCTAGACCAAAAACCTCTAAAGGGAGCGCTTTTTGATTTTTTTACTTTCCTAAAGATCTCTTTAGGGACCACTTTACCCCCTTGATCACCCCTAAAGGGAGCACTTTTTTTTGATTTGCTTCTTTACCAAAGACCTCTTTAGGGACCTTTATATCCCCCTAAAGAGTTCACTTGACCAAAAACCCCTAAAGGGAGCACTTTTTGTGGTTTCTAGAGCTGCCTTTTCCCTATAGAGATTAAAAAGAAAATTTTTTGTTTTTTTTTTCCTTTTTTTCGATAATCATGCAAAAAGCTAGCCTTTTTCTTCAATGGAAAATCGAAGAATTTTCAGATTTTTTTAAAATGCACCCATCTTATAAACCTTCTGCAAGATGGCAAGAGCTCCATCGGGATCTCCTTTGGAGACCAAGATCTGAGCCTGGGAGATGAGGAGCTGCTCCTGTTCGGCCTTTCCTTGCCACTCGTTGAGGGCCTCCGACATGGCCTGTTCAGCTTCGGAGGTCCGGCCCATCACTTGCAGAGTGTCGATGAGTTCCAGTTGAACCGAGATCTTCTGCGTGTCCGCTATTTCTTTTCTGAAAATCGAGAAGATTGGGAAAAATGGATAAGCGAAAGATCTGCCCTAAAAATGTTTCGCGAAAATTAAAAAAAAAGAAATTTCATCAATCTTTGAAAGCTAGAAAGCGTTCAAAAATGAGAGCACAAGCGCTTTCTTTTTCTCTGAATGCCTTCTTGTATTCCTGTGCTCTCTAACTTTCAAAGATTCAAAGTGTAGGGATAGGAAAAGTCCAGAATCTTTTGAATTTAAAATTTTTAGTCCAAAACAGTCCATTTATTCAATACCGATCAACGAATGATCTCAACTCACAGTAGGACTACTTTATGAAAAAAATCACTAGATGTAGTTTTTCACGCTTTTTTAAAAATCCGATTAAAAAAATAATGAAAAAGGTCATGAGCGCTAAAGCTGCAAAGAATGGCTCAAAAAATATTCAGAAAAAGTCAATTTATCCGGATCATCAATGTCAGCTCTACATACATTTCGAAAAACGCCTCAAAATATTGATTTTTTATCGTCAAAAGAAAAATCAAGACAACTTTGCCCAATTTAAATATTTTCCGGAGACCTGTAACCAATCCTCGGCCAGAAATCAATTAATAATGCCCTTGGAAAGTCAAGATTTAACTTTGTCGTAAAATTTTTGAATTTCGTGGTCGAAAAACCCATTTCTGAATAAATTTAAAACTTGATTAATGAATTAAAATATATTCGCGTGGATTAGTAGCTACAATCATTTCTTGACCTTTTCTCTCTTATGAGTAGCCGCGATAAGATTGTCATCTCCACCGATGGAAATCCCCAAAATCACAAGTTCAAGGTTTCTTTTTTCATTTACTGGGAAAACTTTTAGTGGCCACCATAGGGTTTTGACGTTTTAGTGGCCAATATAGTAGTCAAATTAGTGGCCACTTAAGGGGTTAAAAATTAGTGGTCACTACAGAAGTCTAAGTGCTACTACTAGACCATTAAAAATTTAAGTGGCCACTTTAGGGGTCAATGGATCAACATAACTGGTCCAATCTGTTTGTTTTAAAATTATCCGAGTTACTGGAAGGAATATTGGATGAAAACTACTGAAGTGGCCCCTAAATAGAGAACCTCTATAGTGGCCACTGAAACGGAAAATAGCGGCCACTATAGAGGTGGTTTTAGTGGCCACTTTAGTGTCCTTTCCAAGTAGATCTTGGCAAGCCTCTACAGTGGCAACTAAATATTTTCCCAGTACCTTCCACTTTAAAAATGTGAAAATCGAGTCTAAGTTCAAATCTTCGAAAGCTAGAAAGCACTGGTAAACAAAAAGGTGTTTAGAGAGAAAAAAAACCTCCACCCTCTCCTTTTTAACGCTCTCTCACCTTACAACATACAACTTACAACTAGAAAATCAACTTTCTGGCAAGATTTTTCCGATGGTTTCTCTATCTTCAAAAATTTCCCTTCTCTGATTTTTAGAAAATTTCATATCCCAATTTTCCAGACCTCTTCCCACTCTCACCCTGAGCTCGTCGACCTTCGTAAGTTTCCCATTTTATAATTTCTTTTCACTGTTAAAAAGATTTTCGTTCAGTGAAAAAGTTCCTACAAAACTACTCCAACTGTGACGTTCCTCATCTCGAAGAGGAAGCTCATGAATTTGTCAAGTTTCTGAAAAGGAAAAGGCGCCAATCCGAGCTACATAACCGTACGTTTCTTTCTTGATCAAATGAAAATCAGGAGGATCCTTTTTTTTTTGGTTTTGAGAAACATTTCAAAGTCACATAAGTTCAAAATTTCTACTATTTTTTGTACATAAAACCTTCATATTATTATTTTTCCTGTTTTCCGAGATGTCTGACCTCTCTGAACGAAATGGGACGAAAAATTAAATTGCTCTGATTCTTGATTTATTTTTTGAATTTTTCTTTCGCTCTTCTGATAATTCCCTTGCTCTTCGGATCTTGGTAACGCGAACGGGACGCGAATCGGACGTGTCTGGGCATTTCTAGTGGCCACTTTAGTAGCCTCAGCACTCTTAAGTGATCGCTAGAATCGCTGAGCAACGTCCGGAGCACGTCCGTTTAGCGTTACGAACTTCCGAGTCATTTACCATTCAAAAAAATCATTTACAGGAGCTCCTTTACTTTTCCACGATTCTTCTTTTTCTTTCAACTATTTGATAGGCTCAAGTTCAAAAACTTGATTCTCAAAAATCTCTGGCCATTTTTGTAACCATCAGAGCATTTTTGGCTATTTTTTCCATTAGAAAACGCCCGAAAACCCAATAATTTCTTCAATTTCAGACGACCAAAAGGTCCACCGCTCCACGGCCTCTCCCTACGCGGTATCGTCGACGCGCAAGCGGAATCGCCAGTTGGAAAGAGCCCCCGTGGCGACATCGCTTCACGAGCCTCTGCGGAAGTTCAGTCGGGTCGACGTCGCGACTTCTTCGGCTACATCGCCATCGTTGGACAGCCATGTCGTCAGGCCGACCGCGAAATCGCCTCCGCCCCATTCTCAATCGGCCGACGACCGCAGCAAACCGCTCCGGATCAAGAACCGCAACGCGCGCGCTGTCGCTCGCCAACCAGCTCTTTTTCCTTACTTTATCGTCTGAGTAAAGGCTTTTCGTTCTTTGTTGCGTCTTTCTCATCATTGATAAGATAAAATGACAACTCTATGGTATTTTGATCAAAAAATCAAAAAAAGTGAAGTAAATGAAGAGACTATCAGATAAAATGTTCTAAATTTTTTTGAAGATTCTGGGAAATTTTTTAGTGGCCGCTATAGGGTTTTGACGTTTTAGTGGACACTATAGTAGTCAAATTAGTAGCCACTTAGGGGTTAAAAATTAGTAACCACTATAGAAGTCTAAGTGCTACTACTAGACCATTAAAAATTTTAGTGGCCACTTTAGGGGCCAATGGATCAACATAACTGGTCCAATCTGTTTGTTTTAAAATTATCAGAGTTACTGGAAAGAATACTGGATGAAAAACTACCGAAGTGGCCACTAAGTAGATAACCTCTATAGTGACCATTAAACGGAAAACAGTGTCCACTATAGTGTCCTCTCCAAGTAGTCCTAGGCGAGCCTCTATAGTGGTCACTAGAAATTTTTCCAGTTCATTCGAATAAAAAGTCTGTTTCTTGCTAAATTTTTCACTTTGAAACCTTCAAATATCTATAAAAATGGTTGAAAATCAGCGCTTTTAAAGAATAATTTTGAAAAAAGCCCTTTCTTGATCATTTTTCTCATCCGAACCATCAGAATCTAACGAAAAAGGGTGCCAAAGTCCATTCAGACCCGGTTCACAGAGAAGTGGCGTCCCAATTGGCACGTGACCAACGCCCCAAGGCAGCGCTCCGAAAACAAACAAATATGTTTACGTTTTCGTTTTTTTCCCTCCCTCATTTTTCAGTTTTACTTTCATTTCAGAGTTTCGAGTACTTTTTTCTATTGATATTTTTGAGAAATATTTCAAAAATTCGTTTTTTATCTCTCTTAATTCCTAATTTTTTTTTGTTTTTCTCAGTTTTACTTTCACTCAAACTTTTTGGGAGTACCTTTTCCTGTCTATATTAATGAAAATTTTGAATTTAAAAATGTTGTTTTTTCCTCTTTTTTTTTCCTTTTTTCAGTCCTTTTTTCATTACAGAGCTTTTGAGTACTTTTTTCTGTTCATTTTTTTTTGTAAGAAATTGAAAAAAATATTTTTTCCGTTTGAATTCATTTCTGGCTTCGAGTACTTTTTCCCTCTCGTCAAATTTTTAATTGCAATTTTCGAATATTCCATATCGTAAGTTTTTTCTATTCTTCTCTATCAACTTTTCAAACTTTCCAGAACAAAAATGACGTCTGTTCTAGCCAATTATCCGGTCAATTACCCGAATTTCGTTGAGGAACAGGTATTTTCTTTGATTTTTTTCTTGCTGGTATATGATTATAAAGCCCCAGAAGAGAAAGAGAACGAAGTTGAATAAAAATATGTTGAATAAGAAATTTTCTAGCTTTTTATTGATTTTGAGAAGCTCAAAAACTTTCAATTGAAAAAAGAATTCAGAAAAAGTAGCTTTCCGTTTCAAATTTGAAAAAAAATACCCTAAAAATGTATCAATAGCGCAGGATTGACCTTGAAAAATAGCCACAACTTGAAAATTTTTAAATTAAAATCAAAATTATTCCAACTTTTCGTGGTTGCCTAGTTAGAGGCTTGAAGCCTTAAGATAAACTTGATCATCTTCTGAAAACTTCAAAAATTAGCCTCAGAGCGAGAATAAATTATGAAAAAAGCCATAACCCTCTAGAAAGGTCTATAGGTCCAAAAAAATTGCTCAGTCGTTCTTTTAGAAATTTTTTTTTATTAAATGGGGCTATCCAACTCATAAAAAAGGTAGATTCACTAAATTCATTTCTCAGAGCCTGAAAAAATCAAAAAAGCTTTAAAAGAAATGATTTTAGGGCGAAATTCGCAGAGCCTTGGCTCCAACTTCCCATGGCAACTTCTTCCAATGGAGATGAAGCACGAGATCACTCGAAGGATGGATTTTTCGACAAAGTTCTTATCAATTTCCTGAAGAAAATTCTAAAAAAATACATTCCAGGAGGAGATTTTCATTCTTATCGCTAGAAACATGGAACGTTTGCAAAAAAAGGCTCCAACTTTTTTTCGATTCTTTGGAAATCGTGGACAGTTATTGGAATCGGCCGGATATGCCAAAGGTTTGAAAAATTTCCTTAATTATTTAAAAATATGTTTTTTTCTAGCCAACTTACCTGATTTGGGGCAAAAAAAAAGAAAAAGAAAAAAACTTTGTTTCTGTCCATGAACTTCGGAAAAAAACTGACTAAATTCAAAAAAATCTTAAATTCTTATGAATCCGATAGTGGTCCCTATAGGGGTTAAAGGGGAGAAGATCCCTATAGTGATCGAAAAAAGCGGCCCATATAGGGGTAAAATTAAGGTGGTCCCTATAGGGGTTCAGGGTCTGATCTCTTAGTTTCTAAAACTCAAGTGGATCCTATAGGGATGAAGGGGAGATCAACCCCTATAGTGATCGAAAAAAGCGGCCCCTATAGGGGTAAAATTAAGGTGGTCCCTATAGGGGTTCAGGGTCTGATTCCTTATCCCCTAAAACTCATGTGAACCCAATAGGGATGAAGGGGAGATCAACCCCTATAGTGATCGAAAAAGAGGTCCCTATAGGGATTAAATTAAGGTAGTCTCTATAGGGGTTCAGAGTCTGATTCCTTATCTCCTAAAACTCAAGTGGATCCTATAGGGATGAAGGGAAGAACAACCTCTATAGAGGCTGAAAAAATGGTCCCTACCAGAGTCTGATTCCTTATCCCCTAAAGCTCAAGTCTTACAATTTCGTTCAAAAACACTTATTTGTTCAGTTTTCCCCATGGAAAAGCTTCTTCGCTAAATTATCAAACCAGTTATTGACTAGCATGCCCCCTATAGGGGCCACTTACTAAAACCCCTAAAGGGACCACTTTTGCAAGCTTTATTGGTCCCTATAGGGGTTCGTAAAGTCGTCCCTCCCAGAGCCCTTATGGTCGCCCCTATAGGGACCACTCTGGAGTTCCTCAGTTCTTTCAAGATAAATTCAACTAAAATAATTTATTGACTTGAAAATGTTACGCCCGTCTGCGCTCTCTTCAACTCTCGACCGAACAATTTCCATGGGCTGGTGAGAGAACAAGAGAGCGCAGACCAGCCTGAATTTTTTCTCAATTTTTCTTCAGTTCATCAAAATCTGCGCCACCGTGAAACGGCAGCACTGTGAGCAATACACTTTCCGGTTTATCGATCGAGGATTTGTCAATTGCGAAGTCGAAAAGTCAATCAAAAAATCATACAAAAAATGGTCAAATTTTCCAGAATCTACACGACGGATTACAAAAACCCGCGCACCGACGTCGCCATTTACAACGGCGAGAATTTCAAACAAATGGCTTTTCGATTTTTGAGCCGATTTCTGAAGGAGAATCGCTTCGACCACGTTGAATACATGACGGTTCGTGGATTTGAAAGAGATTTCGAGTTTTCTTCACAAAATACAGTGTAAATAATGATCTTTATATTTTTTGTGTTCATTCGAAAATTGTCCGTAGAGCACATATTCGCCTTTTGCTTGGCTATTTTTTCATGTTTTTTTTGGTCTACTTTAATGAGTCTTATCAATTTCTAAGGGGTTTTCAGTGAGTTTCCAGAAAATTTGTCCTTAGAGCGCATATTCGCCTTTTTCTTGACTATTTTTCTCATATTTTTATATGTTTGCTTTAACGATTCTTATCGACTTCTAGGGCTTTTTCAAGCGAGTTCAAAGGAAATTTGTCATTGGGGCGCATAATCTTCGCCTTTGTGAGGCTATTTATTCTCATATTTTTATTAAGCTTTTTCAATAATTTTTTTAAGTTTTAAAACTTCTAGCCATTTTTTGAGGTAATTTGACTTATAGGGAACTTTTTTGAACACTCAAATTTTTAGTTGAGTTCAAGTTTAGAGCTTGCAAATTTTTTTTAAATATCTGTTTTCAAATCGATTATCCTTTTGCAGCTACATTTTTCGATAAAAATCTATATTTTCAGGCCTGCACCCCATGTTTCATGTCAAAATTTGTCTGCAAATCTCTCACGATTTCAACAGTCGACGAGGCGACTTTCAAGAAAGTTTTGAACTTGGCGCCGTCTCATTTGAGCAAACTTTCCATGCAATATCTCTCCGGATCCCTTTATCAAGATCGCGGAGTTCAATACTTCAAGGATTCCGACGTTTTCGATCTTCCTCAGGTTCGCAAATTTTTTTGGAACTTTTTTTCAATTTTTTTCCTAGTGAAACAGAGAATTTTTTTCAGAATCAATGAACTTAGTTGCATTGAAAAAAATAGAACTCAAAGTCTTAAATTCCAGGTTTCCAACACTCTTTCCCTCAACGTCACCAACAAATGTTCCATGAACGACGATCAATTTCTACGGCTAAAAAGCGATCGGATCGATTTGACAAGTGATAATATCACTGAGAACGCAATCAACATGTATTTAAAGGTAAGAACTTCTTTTAAAAATCTCAAAAGTCATTTTTTCAGGATTGGATCAATGGGGTCCGGGGAAACTTGGAATATTTATCGATCCGGTGCAAAGAGGCCTTGAACTCAGCCAATCTTTTGAAGGATATTGATTTTATTGATTGGGAAACGGTCCGCAGGAGGAATGGGTGGGTTTTGGAAATTCCAAAAATATTCAAATCCTGATTGAAATTGATCAAAAATCTTCATTGTATCACCTTCTCTAGCTCTCTTGTTTGATTTATTATCAAATAACTATTTTTTTTTCTTTAAAATCTGGAATTTCAGGGCATTCGCCACAGAATTCGAAGCCCGCTACACGAATGACCGACTTCAAAGCGCAATTTTCGAAGTTTCCAGCAAAAATAGTGGAAAAGCTTGCTTGATCGTGTCTCCGGGACATTTGGCCCGCTTCATTGTTACCCAAAAAGGTGGGGCTTATTTTGTTTGATTTTTTTTTTCTAAATTCAGAAAAAGATTATATTTTGCTCATATATGTAGACTTTCGAAAAAAATGTACAAAGCTGTATAAAATATGTACAAAATTGTAGAATACTTCCGTTTCAAGCGGAATTTTTTTCTACCCAATTTTATAAATTTTTAAATTTCTGAAGATTGTCAAAATGTAAAAAAATATACATCAATCTCTCAATTATTTTTTAAAAGTAAAATTCGATTTTTTTTTATCACGGTTCTCCTCAAATTTTCTCTCCTTCCTTTTAATTTTAAAAACCCAAACGTTGAACAATATTGTAGAATCAACCAAAATTTCAAGCTTATACCCATTTTTCTACCTTTTTTTTCTTTCTTCTTTCGAAAAACTAGGCATTTTTGGTGCTTCTTAGAAAAAGACTGCCCCTATAAATTCTCAATTTTCATGAAAAATTCATTAAAAATACGACTTTTTTTGTTCCTCGTTTCTTGTCTAATTCTTTGAAAACTGTATATTTGCCCAATTTGTAAAAAAAGATGTATTCAAAAAAATGTAAAAATGTACATTATTTCCTCACCTTTCGCTCAAAAAAAGACTCCATTTTTTTCACTTATCCTTAAATTTTTTTTCTACTTTCTTTCCACGTAGAAAAATTTATTTTACGCTCTAATTTTCTCTTCATCACTGCTCATTCTATTATCGATCATATTTTTTTGTCCCTTAAATCGAAATAAAAAGAGAAAAACCAACGGTGCAAGCAGGTTTTTCGACCGTTCCTTCTGTGGGATTTTCAGCGCGGCGCGGAGAGTTTGAATGGCTTCATTGTTTTCGTTTTTTCTCTGAAAAAAATGCGTCATTGATTCAAAATCATGCCCGCAGAGAGAATGGCTTGAAGCGCGTCTTTTGAGGCTGCACCCGACCATGAAACGAGTTACGCTAGCTGGCATCAAACAAAAAAATTTTTCGAAAAATCAGACTAATCAAATTAAAAGCAGCTTTATAATTTGGTCTATCTAAGATGTCTGATGAATGAAAACATTCACAATGAACTTGCGCCGGACCACAAAACGACTTGAGCAAGCTGAGAAGTTTTACAAAAAGACCAAACGATAAGGTGAAAACCTTCAGAGTTTTGGTCTTGGAAAGATGAAGAAGTTTCGCCGCAAAAAATCACGTAAAAATACTGAGATGGTCTCAATAAACTTGCGCCCGACTATGAAACGGTTTACGCTTGAAGGCAGTAGAAAATTCTGAAAGACGATAGGAAAACGATTAAAGCTCATGCTTCCTATAATATATTTTATTTTTCTCGGGAATGCGACGCGAACCATTCCAAATGCGACCACAGGATGATTATCAAGTCACTTTCAAAGTTTTGGCCTTGATCAGATGATAGAGACTCGTGTCTCTAACGGCGAAATTGAAATTCAGGCCGGTGGTCAGAGCTTGCTCGGCTTCGTTGATTTTTCCGCCACGGTCGATCGTCATCTGAAAAAAGGCTTTTTTTTCTGAATAGAGACCTCTTTTTTCGAAAATTCCGAATTGTGGCTCATTTCTTAGATATTCCTCAGTACCTTTCAACCTTACAAACCACGAAACTTCAGAAGTAACCCTAAAAAGCTTAGAAAATGATCCAAAAATTGATTAAGGACACGAAAAAGCCTTTTTAAAAACTAATCTAATATTATTCTGAATCGTTTAACTCAAAAAATCTGCAAAAAAACCTCTACTAAACACCAAATTAGATTTTTAGAACCCTCAGAACCCTCCAAAAACACCGAAACACCTTTTCCTTTTCTAAATTCCCACCTGAGCCCTCAAAAGGTAGGCCTCCGTGAAAGATTCATTCTTTTCCAAGCAAAGCTTGACGCTCTCTTCGGCGTTACCGTAATCCATCGAGAGGTACTGTACCCGGGCGAGAAGGTAGGTGACATGAGCAAGACCTGAAAGAATGTATCAGAACTGCGACGCGACCGCAAACGCATGCCTGGAGATGCATCCACGATCATCGTCAGTACTTTGTCGGCTATTTTCAGGCAGTCGTCGGCGGCTTTGACTGGCTGAATAAAAAAAGGTCCTTATAATAAGGCTTCATGCTTCATTTATCGCTTAATAGCCTGCACGGGCTTTCCGGATAAAATTAGCGATGAAGCGCAGAAACTCTGTCAATCGCGGCTGTTTTTACTTTTTCACAGAAACCAGTTCATTATGAAGCCACTAAAGTGATTACTTGGATAGGGAAAACCGACCACTAGAGGGGCGAAATCGAGGATTTGCTGAGCAATCAGATACATCACGTCGCTGTCCATCGCACTCAAATAATCGACCCCGAATGGGATGTTCTGAATACTGTAGGTATTTTACAGTATGAAAACCTGCAGTAAACCACAAAGTCAAAACTGTAAGGCCAGAGCGCATACTCACCAATTTTAAGGCTTTTTGCCTATGAACTTGGTTTTTTAATACCAGTCTTCGAAAAGTACTGGGAAATTTTCAAGTGGCCACTTGAGGGTTCCGACGTCTTAGTGGCCACTATAGTAGTCGCATTAGTGGTCATTTAAGTGGCGGAAGTATAGAGGTCACTTTAGAAGTGTAGACCACTAAAAACTACTCTAGTAGCCACTAAGACGCGAAATAGTGGTTTCTATTAAGGTGGTCTTAGTGGTCCCTTTAGTGCCCTCTCCAAGTGATTATTTAGGAACCACTTAAGTGACCACTACCTTCTCAAGTGATGGAGTTTTTCTGAGTACACTGTGGACTTTGTAGAGTATGAAAAAATTACAGTAGCCTCAAAAAACATAAGTCAAAAATGGGGAATAATATTTATTTGCAAAGATCGTTCGCGCTGGAGCGCATTTTCACCGGTTTCGAATAACATTTTCATTTTTTCAAACTTCAATTTCCTACACTGTAGATATTTTACAGTATGAAAAAGTACCGTATCCTATAAGAAAAAAATTCAAAATTTTGATGTGACGGCCACACAGAAACTTATCATTGCCGTGTCAATTTATCCAGGCTCAAACTTCAAAAAAAAGGTCTTTAAGAGATCTTTCGCGCTAGGGCGCATTTTAACCAATTTTGACCTTATTCATATGAGTTTTTTTTTAATCTACAGACTCTTAAATAAAAAAGAAAGCAACCTGCAAATTATTCTGATGAACGTCCAAGGCTTTGGCGATTTGCTGACGAAAATCATCGAAATTGCCACTTTTCTGCTTGGCCAAAATCGCGCCGATGACGTAGTAGATCTTGAAAAAGAGGCTAGTGACGTCATTATTGATTTTTGTGAGTTTTTTCTGTTTATCCTTAGGGCGAAGATGCACTTTTTCGAAATTTTAAAAAATCCAAAATTTACACTTTTCCAGGACTGTAGAGATACTGTATAAATTTGTAAAACCTTTCATTTTAATGCTAATAATATTAATTTTTAACTGGGACTTCGGGATTTTATATTGTTAGAAAGTTAAATAAACTATTATTGTTTTGAAAAATTTACACTTTTTTTCAGATCTATGAAATCTTTCATTTTCATAGCCTAATTTTTATCCAATTTTTCGAGTTTTTTCGTTTAAAATTTGAAAAAAGGTTCACTTATGGACAAATCTACCAGAAATTCCAAGATTCTCAAAAAAAAAAATGCATGCTTGAACGATTTATTCACCGTGGAAGAAGTGACGAATTGATGAGCTTCATGGACGATTTCGTACTGAGTCGCGGCGTCTTTCGCATTTCCGCTCATTAGAAGGGATAGTACCAGTCCTAAAAATCCATTTTTTTTTAAAATTCAGACAGGCTATTAGATGATTTCAGAAAAGTAGCTCAACCAGAAAAGTCAGAAAAACGTTTTTTTTTTCGAACGAATGATGAAAAAACTGAAAAATGAGAAGAAAACGGATTATCAAAATTATCATCTTGGAATTTTTCTCAGAGTTTATTTTTATTGAAATTTAATCCATCTTCATACTGGAAACCGCAAAACTCCACTTGTTTCAAAATTCGCTAAGAAAAACTCGTAGAATCTCAAATTTTATTCGAAAAACTTCGGCTTCAGCCGAATTTAAGAGAAAATGAACAGGTCAACTGGGAAAATTTTCAGTGGCCACTATAGAGGTTTGCCAAGAACTACTTGGATAGGACACTGAAGTGGCCACTAAACCCACCTCTATAGTGAATACTATTTTCCGTTTTAGTGGCCATTTCAGTAATTTTTCATTCAGTATTCCTCCCAGTAACTCTGATAATTTTAAAACAAACAGTATGGACCAGTTATGTTGATCCATTGATCCCTAAAGTGGCCGCTTAAATTTTTAGTGGTCTGGTAGTAGCACTTAGACCTCTATAATTTTTTTTTAGTTTTCCAGGGTCCGTTTTTCAGAAAGCTATTTTTGAAGTCTGAAAAACAATCCTTTCATTTTTTTCGTATTTATCGTTTTAAGTCTGTTTTTTTTCAAACATGGACATGTCCATAAAATCTTCCATTTTCTTTAATTCGAAGTTTTCAAACTTTAAAAACGATAAAAAGTTAAGAATTGAGCAGTTTTTGATTAAAAAAACTTTTCCTTAGGAAAAGCTTCATTTTTTTGAAGTAAAACATTTGAAAAAAAGTGAAAAATTCGTACCCAAAGCCGCATAAACATTATCGACATCCAACGTCATTAGTTCTTTTGCGATCGCTGAGGCCTGAAATGAACATTTTGTCAATTATTTGTTTTAATTCAAACCTCCTTAACATCATCGAGTGAAACGGCGATCCTCAGGGCTTCCGTCAAATAATTGGGCCTTCGGCTGATTTGCAAGGCTTTGGCGAGGAGGTTTCTTGAGGTAAATGATAAAAAAATCAAAAAAATCAAACAAAAAAATTGAAGGAAGGCTTGAAAAATCGAGACAGAAAAAAACCAATGAAAAAAATTCATCAAGTTCAAAAAAATAATCGAAAAATGATCAATTTCGATTTTTTTAACTCTTTTCTTAGTTCAAAAACGCGAAAAAAATTAATATTTTCTTGTTTTTTTTCTTTCGATAATCTTAAAATTAAAAAAACACTGCATTCTTAACTGGAACTTTGAAAAAAATCTCAAATTTCATTTTGAAATCTGAAGTGAAATATATATAGATACCACTTTTTTGAGCTCTTAAAATTCGGAAAAGACAATTTTTTTGTCAACGGAAATGGAAAATTTTCGGATTTTCAAAAAATTCTGGTAAGAAAAAGCCATCAAACTTTGCTTAAATCGAGAAAGTCAGGTTAAAAAAATGTTATTTTCGCAAATTTCAGGAGTTTTCAATCTCTTTGAGAAGGTCAAATAAACTATGAACATTGAGATGATATTTAAAAAAAAATACACTCGGGCAAAGTCGGAATGGTGGATAATGGCCACAAAAAGGGAGAGGCTCAAAAAAGGCCCCAGTAAGGCTTCAGAAAGGCCGCAAAAAGGCCTCAAAAAAGGCTCAAAAAAGGCCGCAGAAAGGCAGCAAAGAGAGTCCATTTATCGAGCCATCCATTTTTCTGGGATTTTGAAAGCTCAAGAAATGGTGGATAAAGAGAGAGGCAGCAAAAATGGTGCATAAGGGCTGATAAAATGGAGCAAAAAGGCAGCAAAAAAGGAGCCTTTTTTCACCTTATAAGGAACATTTCTATGGTCCTTTATGGGTCCTTCCGACTTTGCCTATGTATATATATATATATATATATATATATATATATATATATATATATATATTATTAATAAACGTTGAACCTTTGAAATACTTTGTAAAGGATTGAATAATTTTGAGGGTATATGTCAAAAGAGCTGCGAAAATCGAGCCTCCTCACTGTTTGAGATAAAACTGCCAGCGAAAAATGGGCTGCCGAAGAAATTGCCAGGGAAAAAACAGCTGAGAGGAACGAGCTGCGAAAATTTTGCCCCCCGTTGGCAGGTTAATCGCGCAACTGTGCGCTCCACCGACAGCAGCATTTAACATTTAACATTTAACATTTATTCAGTCCTCAGAGTAATCTTGTATCTGCTGAATCATGGAATATTTGAAGAGATGTTTGTTGGTTCGCGCAACTGTCGCCCATCTTTCACCAAGAACTGCTCGTAGGTCATCTCGCCAACGGGGTTTGGGTCGTCCAACTCCACGCGTTTTCGCCCATGGTCGCCATTCCACGATTTTCTTCGCCCATGTGTCTTCTCCCGTAGCGATCTTCTTTGCGAAAAGCCATTTTCTCTTCACAGCTTCCGACCGAACTTCGCGTAGCTTCAATTTTTCATAGAGCCAGGAGTTTCTTCTTCTGTCGAGCAATGTTACTCCGAGCATCCATCGCATCATTTTCCGCTGTGCCGTTGCCAGAAGGTTCCTTTCTTTCTTCTTCAGAGTCCAAGTTTCCGAACCATAGAGAAAAGCTGGTTCAATACACATGTTGTATATCTTGGCTTTGTGTATATTGGAAACGTTTCTTCGTGTTAAGTACGTTTTGAACTTGTGGAAGACGCTCCATGCAGAACGAATTCGGCGTTGGATTTCGGTTTTCGAGCCATCAGCGAAGTGGAGATGGGTACCGAGGTAGATGAACCCATCCGTGTAGGCAATTCTTTTCCCATCAATCTCGACATTTCTTTGGGCTCGATTAGCCATGATGAACGTTTTCGCGAAGTTGATTTCCAAGCCGGCCTTCTTGCTCTCTTTTGCCAGCTCGTTAGCCATTTCTTGGATCTTTTGCGCACTGGATGCAAACAGTACGACGTCATCCGCAAAACGAAGGTGCGTCAAAGTCGTTCCGTTCACAGAAAATCCATAGCTCTCCCAATTAAGCCTTCGAAAAATGTGCTCGAGGGTGGCGTTGAACAAGTCTGGGGAAATTGTGTCCCCTTGACGCACTCCTTTCTGTATTCGAACTGGTACATCTTGTCCTCGAATTCTGACAGAGACTTCTGCTTCTTCGTAGATGTTTTTCAGAGTCATAACGATCTTCGAATGGACTCCAAACTCGCTGAGAGCCGTCCAGAGAGAGCCGAACTCCACAGAATCGAAGGCTTTCTTGTAGTCGACGAACATCAGGTACAAGGGGAACTTGTATTCCTGAGACTTCTGGATCATCTCGGTCACGACCAGGGTGTTTTCCGATGTCGAGAATCCGGATCGGAAACCAGTTTGCTCGATGGGTTGAGCAGCCTCTAGTTCACGCGTAGCTCTTCTTCGAAGTATCGAGGTGAACAATTTGTACACGACGGACAATAGTGCTACTGGTCGGTAGTTTCCTATGTCCAGGCAGTTTCCTTTCTTGTGGAGCAGTCGCACGACAGAGTCCGGCATAGATTGTGGAGCTCTTTCATTCGCGAGGCTTTCGTTGAACATCGTCACTAGGTGTGGAACGACAGCGGCAGCAACATTTTTTTGAAAAGTCGTTCATTTCGACGCTTTATTATCTTGAAATCAAGTTTTTTTTTTTCATATTTAATGGTTTTAAACTACATTGTTGAATCATTGAGAGTAAGTTTTGAAACGTCTGAAAAAAAGGGCAAGACAAAAATTCATAAGTGAGAAAAATGATAGCTAAGATACATAATTCTTTCCAGATTTTGCGTTTAATGATCAATTAAAAATTTTAATTGCGCGTTGCATATTGAAAATGATGAACATAACAAAATATCAGTTTATTAAAAAAAAAACCTAAAAAAGAACAAAATGTGAGCATGACAGGGTTTCCCGATGAAAATTGTCTTCATCTCTCGTGAAGTTGCGGAACCAATACTCGAACTTCTCCTTTTCGCAAGATTTCAATCCACTCTGATTGCTTTTAAGCGTCCTGAAACATTTTTTTTTTCATTATTAAAATGTTTTTCAGACTCTTATAGCCCGATTTCATTCGAAGCGGAAATTAAATAAAACTTTTCTGCACGAAATCACAACAAAATGAAAAAGAAAATGAATGAAAACAAATAAGAAATAACAAAAATAATGAAAAAAATTTTCCGAAAATTCAAAATCTGTCATCGGCGCGTTATAGTCTGTTCAGATTTTGAATGTCAAGTAGAATGACGTCATTCGAAAACACTCTGTGGATGGCTCGCTCTCTGATTGGTTTATCGCGCCATTAGGGGCGGAGCTTCAGCGAAGACTTGACCTTTGAAATCTGAACAGACTATATCGGTGGGGCGCAATATGTAGTCAACTATTTTGCCAACGGTGGGCAAAATTTTCGCAGATCGCTTTTCGCTGGCAATTTTATCCCTGGCTGTTTTTTCATCAGCTCATTTTTCTCAGCTCGATTTTCACAGCTCTTTTGACATATGCCCAATTTTGAAACAACATCAAATAAACTCGAAACTCTTTTCATTTCCTAGCAGAAACCTACACTACCCGACTTTGAACAATCTCATTCTAGTGCTACTTTTTCGCAGAAAACTCGACAAACTTTGCAAAAATCAGGACGTTTCTATCCTTGGCCGAGATTCTCGTCAGAATCCCAGCGACTTTCGCCCAAAGCGCATGATTCGCCGCCTCGTTTTCTTCCAAACTTCTCTGGAAAAAGGAATAATTTTTTTTATGATTTTGGGGAAGCCAGAGTGGTCATTATAGTGGTTAAAGAGGAAAAAGCCTTGAGGGCTCAAGTTCAAGTGGTCTCTATAGAAGTTAATGGTTTGACCCTTAAATCCCTAAAGCTCAAGTGGTCCCTAGAGTGGTCTTTAAATTTTTTTTTCTTCCGTTCAACAATTTAAATAGACATATAAGGGCCACTAGCATGCTCCCTTAGACTGGCCACTAACTACAACCCCTATAGGGGCCACTTTTGCAAGTTTAGTGCCCCTAGGGGAAGGTAAGCTGGTCCCTTGAAAGAGACCAACAAAAGCTCCTAAGGTCGCCACTTTAGGGACCCCTCTAGCGCTTCTAAGAATAATAAAGGTAGCTCCCTCAAGGGGCATATGAAAGTCCCTAATATTGCCACTTAGGAACTACTTTAGCGTTTCTAAGAATAATCACGGGAGCCCCTTTAAAAGCTCCTACAAGAGTCACTAAGGTGGCCACTTTAGGGACCTCTTTGGCGTCCCTAAGAATGTGCACGGTAGTCCCTTGAAGAGGACCTGAAAAGGCTCAAAGGCCGCCACTCTAGGGACCACTCTGGCTCTCCTTAGAATGGTGACCCCTAGAAGGGAACCTACAATAGTCCCTAAAGTGGCCACATTAGGGATCCCTGTACCGTTCCTAAGAATATTCACGGTACGATAGCTCTTTGAAGGGGACCTACAAAAGCCCCTAGTATTGCCACTCTAGGGACCACTCTGGCGTTCTTAAGATTATTCACAGTAATCCCTTGAAGGGAACCTACGAAAGCCCCTAAGGTCGCCACTTTAGGGACCCTTCTGGCTCTTCTTAGAAAAGTCACGATAGCCCCTAGAAGGGAGCCTACAAGAATCCCTAAAGTGGCCACATTAGGGCTCCTTGTACCGTTCCTAAGAAAATTACCACTCTAACTAGTAAGGACCTCTCTAGCGCCCCTTAGAATGTGCACGGTAGTCCCTTGATGGGGATCTACAAAAGCCCCTAGTGTTGCCACTTTAAAGACCCTTCTAGCGTTCCTAAGGAAATTTACAGAAATTCCATGAGGGGAACCCACAAAATCCTTTGAGGTCGCCACTTTAGGAACTCTTCTGGCTCTCCTTAGAAAAGTCACGGTAGCCCCTTGATGGAAACCTACAAAAGCCTCCAAGGTTACCCCTTTAGGGGACCCTTTGGCGTTCCTAAGATTATTCACGTTAGCCTCTAGGCCGCTCTAGGGACCACTCTAGCGTTTTTAAGAAAATCCACGATGGCTCCTGGAAGAGGACCCACAAAAGCCTCTAAAATTACCACTTTAAAGACCCTTCTAGCGTTCCCAAGAGATTTCACGGAGACCTACGAAAGTCCCTCAGGTGGCCACTCTAGGGACCCCTCTCGCTTTCCCTAGAAGACTCACCTGAAGAGTTTTCAAGCTGGAAGTGAGGCTTCCATTATAGCCGGCGAAACAAATCGCGTGAGTTGTTCGGAATAGTTCAATGTACGGATTGCTTGACTGAAAGTTTGTCTCATTTTGAAAAAAATTGGAAAAAGGTTCATAAAAAGTCATTTTTGATTTAAAAATCTATCTGGATGTCAGGGTGAGTTTTTATTTCAAAAAAAGACTCATTCTTCTGAGTTATTATTCATCCAGAAAGCTTGGAAATTGTTCAAAAATCCTAAAGAATTGTAAAAAATGGACCCATCGTCAGTTTGAGACTTTTTTTTTCTATATAGTTTTTGTATGATTCTTTCCGCTTTTCCTGATTTTCTGAATTAATTTTCAATCCTTACATCGTTGACTTCCGAATTCTCGAGAGATTCCATCGCGACGGCCCATTCTCGCATCAGAAGAGCCGCTTTGCAACGTTCAATGTACCCGGGAACGAATTGGTAGCTCGTGATTGTGAGTTCCTCAAAATTATTTTCATTGAATTTCCTCCCCATATTTTTAGGTGCTACAATTGATTCATGGCTATAACTGATTCACGGCTGGCTTGCGCCATCGAAAAAGGGTCCTGACCCGATAATGCACGAGATAGCGCCTGGCTCGCGGAGAGCGCAGACAGGACACGCTCCCTTAGCGTTCCAAGCTGGCCGTGAATCAGCTATAGCTTGTCTGCACTCTCCACCAAACAGGCACTATCTCTTTTTTTTAAATCGTGTCAAGACCCTTTTTTCTATGGCTATAGCTAGTCGTGAGTCAGATTTTAAATGTAAAGTAGAATGACGTCATTCAAAAATGCTCTGTGGATGGTTCACTCTCTGATTGGTTTATCGCGCCATTAGGGGCGGAGCTTGGGTTATGACTTGAAATTCAAAATGTGAACAGTTTATAGTCGGTTCACGGCTATTTTGGGATCCAAAGAGGCGTGGCATGTAACCGTGCACTATCTCTTTTTTTTATCGTGTCGGGACCCTTTTTTTCGTTGACTCAAGCCAGCCATAAATCAAATATCTACCACAAGCGAGTTTTCCTTTTACGAAGGTTACTGTACGTGAAAGTCCGCATTTCTAGTTGTTCCATTTTGGTGTTTGCACTTTTGTTTCACGGCCTTTTGTGAGGTATCCGCGTTTTTTAATTTAAATCCTTCTCCGATTGTCGATTTTATTTTTTATTGATGGAGCGATGGTGTATTTCCACCGTTTTCTGTGGTTATGATCCATTTTTGAAAGTTGAAAAAAAAAACAGGATGGCGCACTCGGAAACGTCAAGCAACAACAGTTTAGACATAAAGCTCTAGCCAGAGGTGGCAGTCCACTGGCCGCCCTGCCTGCCTTGCCATAAGCGCCCAAAAGGCGGACACGACTTTTCCAAAATCAAGAAGTTTTATTTTTGTCTTTTCTGTAGAAAACGACTAGAAAAACTTTTTTATAAAAATAAACGTACGCCGTGTTCAAAGTAATTTCCGCGAAATGCAAGAGCCTCCAAAAATATAACAATCTTCTCATTTCTCTGACGGCTATTTCGCGGAATGACTTTGAAGACGGCATTAGAAATGAAAAAAGTTGCAAGGACAAGTTACGTTTCAGGAAACGATGAAAGCTTTTCTTCTAACTTCAGATGTCATTCCTCCCGGCAAATATTCTATTAAAAATATTCGAACAAAAATGAGAATTCAACGCGCAAAAAAAGTGAATTTTTCGTTGATGTTTTCGGTGCAGCCTGCGTTGGACCTGAATGGAGTACACCAGAGCTGCTGAACAGACAGGGGCCCTGGAGCGCCCTGCCCCCTTCAACAAAGTTTGAAAAAAATTTTTCGGACACGAATTATTGGAAACCTGATATTTTAGGGACCCTTATAGGGGTTAATTGAAAGGTACCCCTATAGGGGGCAGAAACAACGGTTCACTGGAATTTTCTTACTCATTTTCATCCCTAATTCTTTCGAACAACGCTTCTTAAACAAACTTTTAAAAATATTTAGCCCCTAGAGGGACCCAAATCGTTTAGGGTACCTCCGTAGCTTCTAAAATTTTCTTAGTATTTAATCAGCGGGGCGATCGGCCAAAAAAAGTGTTCTTTGAGGTATCGTCACTATGAAACTATGAAAAAATGTACTCTAGAGAATTGAATCATTTCAAAATCGCCTACTAGACATTCAAAGCGAAACGGGGTGCACCCTTTACACTGCGGGGTGCACTTTTTTTTTTAGAGAAAGTGAGCAACTCGGAATGCTGACTTTCGAATACAGTACCCTCCAAAAATGAAAATATCCTTTTCAACACCAATTTTTGTTCTGCAAACCTTGGCCACGACGGCCATTTCGCCGCCGGAATGGTGGCCTTCCAGTAGGCGGCAGCGGCCAATGTACCTCAAAAAAATAAATATTTTTTTTCCTTTTTATGAACTTCATCTGAAAGGTTAGCTTTCATTTGATAGAGAAATTTTTTTTCTCATCTTAAGAGCCAGCAAACCCAAACACGAAACGATCAAAATTTTTCGCATTTCGATTTGAATTCATAAAGAAACAGGAATCCTTTCTTGTCAAGTTTAAAAAAGTTTCATAACGAATTTTCGATTCAGACCGGGGTAAATTGCCTTTTTTTAATAATAGCTCAGGGGAAAAATTCATGAAAAGGTCAAAAAAATAATTGACTCAAGACAGAAATTCAAATTTTCGAAGCAAATATTAAAAAAATTTATTATTTAGATGATAAAAAGGTCAAAATAATCACCAACCCGTCCTGAAAACCCATCGTCGAGGCCTTCTCGAACAATTTCTGTGTTGATTTTTGGTCTCTACCCAGAGCCAAATCGATCCAACCCATGAGACAATAATACTGAAATCTTTCTTTCAAAAAAATTAATATTAAAAAAAGGAAAGAACTTTCGGGTCTTTTTTTCCGTTCTTAGGGCCGTGTCGAGAAGTTGCTTCGCCTTGTTCAACTCTCCGTTGAAGTACAACACCTGAAAATGTTTCATTTTCAAACAAAATCGTTCAAGAAGTACCTCCGCAGCCGATGCAAAAGAAGCCGACGAAGTTTTCTCATTTCGCGAAATCGTGCTGATTTCCGAATCAATTTCAACCAGCGACTGATGATCTTAAAATTAAAATATACAGGAAAAAGCACGAGTAACAATTGTAAAAAAAAATAGAGCTTGAAATAAATAGAAACCTGGATTGAAAGCGCTTGAATGAGCCCATTTCAAGGCGTATAAAGCCCCCAAAAACGCATTCGTCACTTCGACAGCTTTCCAAGTGTCGAATCGCATCAGGAATTTTTCCTGTAATGTTAAAATATAATTTTGAAGTGCAATTAATTTTTTGAAAATAAAGCCGAACGACTTTTCACATTGAAATCATGGCCTTTTCACAAGAAAACGCGAATTTAACGAAGCAGAAATAGATTTTTGAATAAAATCCTTTCTTTGAACCCGCTTGAAAAAAAGGAACTTATTTTACGTAGAAACTTGCTTATGGTATCTTCAAATAAAAATATGAATTTCTGAGATATTGGGAAAAATTCGAAAAAATCACGACGCCAGAACCTTTTTAGGGGTTTTTCAAGTGTCCTCGTTCACCATGTCTTTTGAAGCTGATTTAAGCGAACAATATTCCTTGAAAAAAATTCCTATGCTTTAATTAAAAGCGTAATTAAAAACAAAACATATTTATTCATATAAACGAAAAAAAAAAACAAAAAAGGAAAAAAAAAAAATGTTAAACAGCCCGAAACATACACTTCGACGCAAAATAGTAACTTTACGCGCAAAACTTTATTAAGGTTGGCCGAGAAAAAAGTATTAATTCTTTCGCTTTTTAATGTTGTTCAGAATAAACTGCATTCTGACTACTCACCCAACAACGTCAAACCAACGCCTTTTAACACGGCAATCGAAGATTCCTTGCTTTGCCGTAACCTTCCCTCGCATAGTAAAATCGCTGTTCCAAAAAAGCCTTCCCTGTAAAAAATCTAATTTTTTGAAGAATAAGCAATTATTTTATGATTTAAAACCTCAAATAATAGTGGATATTAGAGACAGCGCGCCAGTAGTCTTCATCTTTGCCGTCGGTTGGCATTTTTTTACCTGGAAATTTTTGTGTTAGTTAGTTTTTTTGTTTAAAATTGAATATAACAGAAAGAAGATAATTTTCATAGAAATAATGTTCGATTGTGGGGAAAAAATAAACAAATAACTGAAAATAGGACATCTGTTCTGGGTCTTTGAAGAGCGCGTTGCCATGGAAACCAAAATCAACAGGACTTTGAACAAATTGGCCGGTTTTAAGGGTCCTGGATTTTTAGTGGCCATTGTAGTAGTCAAGTGAGTGGCCACTTAAAGGGTTAAAAATTAGTGGTCACTATAGAAGTCTAAGTGCTACTACTAGACCACTAACAATTTTAGTAGGGGTCAATGGATCAACATAACTGGTCCAATCAGTTTTTTTTTAAATTATCAGAGTAACTGGAAGAAACACTGAATGAAAATTTGATAGAACTTTGCTGGAAAACTAACACTTAGCTCAACCGGTAGCACTATTGTCTTTCAAGCTTGGTACCAAGGTTCGATCCCTATCAAGGACAATTTATTTTGCCATTTTCCAAGTGATTTTTCGAGTGGTTTCTATTCCATCTTCGTCCTTTCCCGATTAAAAACTACACACTAATTTGAAAAAAACCAATCAATTAATCGAAAAAAATGACAAAAAAATAAACTTACGAAGAAAATTGAAAACCGTGGCGCAACCGGTAGCAGTTTTGTCTCTCAAGTTGGGTACCAAGGTTCGGTCCCCATTAATGACAACTCATTTTGCAATTTTGAGCCAATTTCACCTTCGTACTTTCCTGATAAAAGAACAATCCACGCTAGTTCAAGAAACGGATCAAGAGAAAGTGAGGGAAATCTCACGGGGAAAGGACAATTATCATATGTTCCACAATAATCGTCCGTTTTTTGGCCCCTCTGTCAACGACCACTTCGAAACGGATATATAAATTCGAGGCCACCGAATCTTTTCCTTCACTCCGCTGAAATGCTGCTGTCCATTTTGATAGCTGGTTTGGGAATTTTACAAGTGGAATCTTGTGTTTCTGTGATTCCGACCAATCCTCCGGCAGGGGGTACGTTTTATTTTTATTCTTAGAGCGAATTTTCAGCTCAAAAATATCGTTTTTGTATTCATAAAAGGTCAAGTACTGGCGTAAGAACTTTTAAGTGATCACTAGAAGTCCGAGACAATTCTAGCTTCCTCAAGTGAACGCTAAAAAGACTCTGGAACTACTTTAGTGATCACTATACGACTCATAGCCGTTTGAAAATGGAAAACGGGATTTTTTCTCACTAGAGCACATTTTATCGTGAAAAAAAGCTGCGAAAGGAAAAACTGAACCACTGGGTACTATATCCGATTTTTTCTCAATGGAGCACTTTAGAAGCGGAAATAAAGGCTTTGATGGACTTTGATCAATTTTTAAAGGATTTTTTTTCTGTTGAGCAAATTTTCAGCTGGAAAACTCTAAAAAAAACTTTTTCAACAAGAAATTCCTCGTTAAGCCTGCACGACATGTCCGCGGAATCTGATGGCCTCCTCTACTGGAAACGTCGCCGGCGTCGTCAGCTACGGTCAGGATTCTGGAGGCTGCACGACGGCTTCTGTTTCCTGTACGTCGTCTGGGATGTTCCCGACCACTGCGCAAGCCGTTGCGGTGGGTTTCCATGAGAAAAATAACTCCGAAAAAAAAAATAAAACTTTTTTCGAAAGTTTGTTTACCGTTTTAAAATTTTTCCGAAACAAATCTCCAGCAACTGATCGTTTCAAAAAATTGTAGAAATTTAAATTCTTGAAAATTGAAACGTTTTTCGAGTGCTTAACATTTTTCGTTACATTTTTTAGGTTTGCAGTTGGAGCGCGTTTGTCGGTTATTTTTCAGCTTCTGATCATTCCATTAATAAAAAATCCGCAATTTCTGGAACCTTTTCCCTTTCATTTGACGATTTTCTAAAGCAATAATTTTTCCAGGGCGGACGAACATTGCCACTTGGAACCGGCTGTCAAACCATTACTGCTTCTGGTAACCAATATAGTTTCACTAATTTATTTCTTTTTTGGTGCTTCAACAAGATAATTAATTTATATTATTTTATGCAAGCTTCTCAGGAAAAGCGCTCAATAAAAGATCAGTCCAGTAGAGCGAACTTTATTTAAAACTTTTTTTAATCGGTTTTTTGTGTAGAGCTTATTGAGCTTCAAAAAGTTTCCGAGAGATGAGATTACAAGAAAAAGCGTTAAAAGGAAGATCAGTTCAGTAGAGCGAACTATCAATGAATTTTGAAACTTCCAACAAATTCAAATTCTTTTGGGAAGCTTTTTCCGATTTTTTTAGAGTAGGCTTGTAATATGTTGATGAAATAAGCTTATTAAGTTTTAAAATATTATTATTGACATAGGTAAAATAGAAAAATTCCTTCTGGGAGCCTCAGAAGAGCAAAAGCTTCTGACAAAAAATCTTCTGGGCTCCTTTTTCCTATCTCCAGAAGATTCTTCTTGTAACCCCGGGAACCTTCTGGTCCTCTTTCAACATCTTTTCATTTGATAACGTAAAATAATGCAGAAGTAAAATGTAAAATGTCAATTGGGGACCCTTAGAAGCTCTTGTTTCAAAAGAACCTTTCGAGGAGCTTTTCCATCTATCCCACTTCAAAAATCTCAGTAGAGCGCACTTCCGACATCTTTGAAGCTTCCATTTTTCCACACTTTTCAGACGTCGCCAAGTGCATTGATGGCAGTTGGTCGTATCTTTCTTCCCCATTGGAAAGATTCCAATGTTCTTCCGACGCTACTATGAACTGCATGCCTACTGGAAGTTGGTTTTTCCTCATTTCACTGACCTCTCTGCGCTCTCTCTTCCCTCAACAGCTCATGAAGTCGCCTAGAGACAAGAGGGCGCAGAGAACTGAGACGGTTGAAAGTTGCATAGAACATTTTTCTCCTTTATTCAAGATGCACCCGACTCTCGTGACTTGGCCAACTTTGGAAAATCACAGGAAGAAGAGAAAGAGTTAAAGAAAACAATTTAGTGCGAAACTCGCAGCGGGTCGGGCGCAAACGGAATTGTGTTGTAGAGGACAATATTCAATTTAAATAAAATTGCACATGACTTCCGTGACTTGACCAACAGTGAGAGAGCACAGGAAAAAGAGAGAAATTTAGAGAAAGCAGTCCTGAGCGTAAGTCGCGTCGGGTCGGGCGCAAGCATAATCTTCTTTCTGTGTGACCTAACATTAAACTTGAAATGGCAAAAGAGCTTCATAATGCTTTGAACTTCTCAGCAGATTTTTCGAAATGAGCCATTCCCACTTCAGATTTCAATATTTTAATATTAAGCCTGTCCTTCGTGCAACGTCGAGTCGTTGGTCGGAACCAGTTTCCCTCCAACTGCAACCGATACTCCGGCGACCGCCTTTTTCCTCCGAGGAATCGATCCCATCACTTGGTATTGACTTTCAAAATGGGGCCGAAAAATCAAAAGCTGGTTCTAAAACACATTTATTGTAATATTATCTTAACCTGTTGTCTTATTGATTTTTTTGAAAAAAATCCAAAGAGTTATAAGATTGAAAAAGGGGTTTCAAATTACTCTTAATACTCTTAAAATACTCTTAAACTTTAATTTTACCTGAAAAGGCTACTTTTCCATTGAGAAGTAATCATAGGAAATGGATTTTCCTGTCGAGAAATTGCCCGCAAATGCGCTCCATGGACAATTTTCAAAAATAAGGTGAAAACTTGCTTTTTTGAAATTTTTTCTGATCTAACTCGAGTTTTTCTCATGTGGAAATGATTCGGAATATGAATTGGAACTTTAATTTTCACTTGAACTTGATTTTGCCCATGGAGCAACTATATCTCGTAAAAAAAAAAAGCCTGGTTCTTCTAATTTTTCAAGTTCATATCATTATTCTCTCAAAGCTTCTTTTTATAAACTTTTAAGGCATTTTTCTCCATCTAAACTTCAAAAAAAGTCGTGATTCTGTACCAAAAGGAATATTTCAAATTTAAAAAATGAACCCAGGTGCGACACGGCGCAAGTCAACTGTGTAACGGAGGACGGGGCACTACAAACTGTGAGGATCGATATGATTTCGGTGACTTCCTTGAAAACCCTGTAAAGTACGAACATTTCCAGGGCGGAGCCACGACATCGCTTGGAACCGGCTGCAAAGTTGTCAATTCCGATCCGAACGCCCTTCTTTGCAATTCTCAGAATCAGTGGACTTATCAGTAAGTTTCTTCGTGATTTTTTTCATTAATTAAGAACTTATTTATTTTTTCAGGGGATCCACACAATTTTCCGTCCAATGCCACGCTTTGATCGCCACCACCTGTACACAATAATTTCGAAAAAAAGCTTGAAAAAATCTTTTTTTTTAAATTTTCCTAGCTTTCTGTAAAATTCGGAGACTTTGGCGAGAAAACTGGTATTCAAAAAAAAAAAATATCCTAGTTTTTGATTATTTTCCCGTTTTTTCCCATCTCATAAAAATGAGATGTGCAGATTTTGGCGGTAGAATCGAACTTCAAAATTCCAATTTTTATTTTTTCTGAGAGCTGTTTTTGAAGCACCTTGTGCGCCCCAATGAAATTCTTCTTCGGAAAAATCTAGTGGCCACTTAAGAGGTTCCTCAAAAACTACTTGGAATTCCACAATTCCAGTTTTCATTTTTTCTGAGAGCTGTTTTTGAAGCACCTTGTGCGCTCCACTGAACTTCCTCTTTTTTAAGCTTCATAAAACTGGGAAAAACTCTAGTGGCCACTTAAGATGTTCCTACTCGGAAAGGTCACTGAAGTGGCCCTTATTTGACGCCTTAGTGGCCCCTATAGTAGTTTTCAGAGCTATAATAGTTCCCCTTATATACCTAAAGAGGACAGTAAACTTTAGCCACTTAAGTGGCCACTAGAACGTCAAAACCCTCAAGTAGCCACTGAAATTTTTACCAATTTTTTTATTCTGATTTGAAATCCGGGTTTCGTTGTTTTTCTTCTTTTTTTTTTCAAACTTTCATTCATTTTTCTTTGAAATAAAAAATTGTCAAAATCTATGTTATTTACACGTATATCCCACTTCCAAAACAATAACAAAATAAATTTTTTAAAAAGTATCAATTAACTTTTTCTTTCTCGACATTTCTCCTGAAAATCGCGGGGAATTCAAAATTCAAGGCGAAATAAACGAGATAAGAAGCTACAATGACATGGAAAGCGTTCATGGCGAGGACGAAAAACGTGCATTTCGGCGATTCTTTGCATCGGGAAGAGGAAGATGTAGGGTATTGAAGCGAAAAATCAGAGGGGTACTGTAGTTGATCAACTTTTTGCTTGGTTGTTGAAGGTTTCCAGTTGAGGGCTGACAGGACGTTTTCCATTGACATCGTTCTGAAAAATTAATAATTTAACTTTTTTTATTTAATTGATTTTTTTCAAACGCCCCTTTTTTTCTATTGCACTCCATGTTTTGGAATCAAAATTTGACGTTCTGTAAGAATTAATTCAAGAAATGTTTGGAGCCTTGTTTGGAGACCAAGTGCGCTCTATGGAGAAATTTTTTTAGAAATTTCTGTTTTTTTCTGAACTTTTTCCAAAAAGCACTGTTTCAAGGATAAACTAACTAATTTGATAAAAAAAAATCTCTTTTTTTTTCGCTTTTTAAATCGATCAGAACATCCTCCATGCAGCACTAATAAACACAATTAATCAAGATTTTAATCAGACGAAATATTTTTCAAGAAATAGTGAAACTGATATGTTGGAGACATACCCCACCTGCACTTTTTTTGGAGTGGGCCAAAATTTGAGGGGGGAGGGGGTAGCCCGAACCTCGCGGTGGGATATAGCCGACGTACGAACGGAGAATAACAATTCAAGCTTTCTTCCACTAATTATCCATTCTAAAAAAAAACGAACTTGAAAAGCACAGCCAAAGACACAGTAAAAGCAACCGCCAGGGCCGGATTCTGGTGCGGACCCCAGAATTTCTGCATTTTCCTGATTTTCCTCAACTCGCTGGCCCCAAACACTGGGGAAGATAGCCAGGAATCGAAATAAATCTAAAAATCAGTTGATTTCAAGGTGGAATCAAAAAATTACCTGTTCAAGGGGGGCCAACAATTTCGGGTTGAAAAACTGCATCGAGAAAAAGTAAATGAGGGCCGAGGCGATGGAAATTCGGAGGGTGATGGAAAAGTTGGAACATACAAAAGAAAGACCTGAAAAAATGAAGGAGTTATTTGAAAAGGCGACTAAAATTTATTATCAAAAATTTTGTTCAAATAAAAAAAAATCGCGTGAAGTTTTAATAGAAGTTTCCCGTTTCAGAACTTTTTTTTGAAAAGAGGACACCTAATTTTAATGTTCAGAAGCACGAAGAATAGATTTCATTAATTTAAAAATGATTATCTAGATTAAAGATGTCAATCCTGACTATAAACTGTTAAAAAATGATATCCTGAAAAAAGTTAAAAATGAAAATCTTCCAACTAAAACAAATGGGGATAGGTTTTCAGCTTACTAGGGAATGGTCTCCATTCGCAGTGAGACTTTTGAATTAGACCAGGTTTGCTAAATGTAATTTTTCATGCTGATTCCAAATCCGGTCTCAAAAGCTGTCATATAAGTCTGTGAAAAAAGTTATGGACCCTCAAAACTTAAAAATTTCAGTGTCCCATTGAGCTGTTTTTTTGTGGGTATAGTCCTTGTTTCTCTTGTCAAAAAAAAAAACCAGTTACCTTTTTCGAAAAGGTTTCGGAGCACAGAAATAATTATTCGAAGCTTGGCGCGTGATAAGAACATGCTTAGATGTTTCTCTTTCAAAATGACGTCATTATTAAACTTCGGATGACATCATCAATAATAAAGTTGACGTCAGAAACATCCCAATTTAATTATGGAAAAGAGAGATTAAATTATAAAAAAGGGAAAAAAAAGGAAATTAACTCTCATGAATTTCTTCAAGAAGATTAAAAAATGTCGATTTTTTGACTTTCCTTTTTACTCGGTCAAAATACTATTAATGACGTCATTAATTATACAATCAAAATCGAAAATTTCTGGAAACCGAAATTTTCGAACAACAAGAAAATGTTTAGTGGCCACTATAGAGGTCTCAGTGCTACTACTAGACCACCAAAAATTTTAGTGGCCACTTTAGGGGTCAATGGATCATCATAACTGGTCCAATCTGTTTGTTTTAAAATTATCAGAGTTACTGGAAAGAATACTGGATGAAAAACTACTGAAGTGGCCACTAAGTAGATAACCTCTATAGTGGCCATTAAAACGGAAAATAGTGGCCACTGTAGAGGTGGGTTTAGTGGCCACTTTAGTGCCCCCTACAAGTAGTCCTTGGCAAGCCTCTATAGTGGCCACTAAAAATTTTCCCAGAAATATAACTCTTTCAAAATTTCGAAAAAAATAATTTTTACTGTCGTCTTTATTGAACATGAAGATGAAAAAAATCGTTTTTTTTTTTTTTACGCAATCAAATCTGAAAACACTGGAACAACCACTTAAGGGGTAATTTTTTGAGTAGGGAAATTTTTTTGTCGTTGTTTATGGAACTAAGACATTCAAAAAAAAGCTCGCAAAATTTCAAAGCCCAGTTTATTCGAAAAAAACCGATAAAAAAATGAAGAACAATTTTTCCGTAGATTTTAGGTCTTTAAAAAAATTTTTAAAAAAACCTCTCGGACCTTGGTTATGCGAAGCGGACGTGTCTGGGCATTTCTAGTGACCACTTAAGTAGCCTCAGAACTCTTAAGTGATCCCTAGAATCGCCCAGAAACGTCCGGAGCACGTCTTTTGCGCGTTACTCAAACTTTTCATCATCAAAATAAATTTCAAAACAATCAAAAAACCAACCTTTCCTAACAAAGTTCATTTTTTAAAAGCCAGAAATAGTGAAGAAAAGGCCTTTGTGGGGCAAAAGAATCGACTGATCGTCGCCTTGACCCAAAAATCTCTCCTCGTTTTCGGCCGCCGCCATTCCGTTTTGATTGAGATAATTGCGCCCCATCGGACAAATTACTTTCAGTGTAAAAGTTTAATTTAGTTTTAAATTTTATAAAATATCGAGAATGCCATTGGGAACGGTATTCTACCCGCGGAATGAAAAAAAAGACAATAAAAATTATTATTGGATAATATTCACACGTAGATGGCGGAGAACTATAAGGGGAAAGACAAAAATGTACAAAAAAGGTCTGGAAAACACTGAAGCGGTCACTTAAGGGAATGAACAAAATTAGGAAACAGATAACTTCGAAATTCTTATGATATACAGAAAATTGAAGTGAATACTTTTCAAGCAGACTCTTAAGTGATTCCTTCATTTTCTCAGACCTATTAAAAAAAAGTCACACACATTTGGAGTGCTGAACGAATAAAATTGAAAAAACAAGCTCAAGGGACAACGTGAGGGGTTTCAGAGAAACATGAAAAGTTGAAGGCACTTTTCTAGGGTTTCTTGTAGTTTTGCCACTAGAGGGCTCAACAGAGCAATTTCATTTCAATTAAAAAGTGAATGATCTGATAAGTTTTCCCCTCAAGTGGTCCCTAAACCAAAAAAAAAAAAATACAATATGCGATTGAGTAGCTACTCTAGGGCTATCAGGCAGCCAAAACGGGGGCTGCTTCTACAGGCTGTGGCTTCGCCGGCGACTCGTCGTCTTGGGACGCGACGGCGGCGAGCGCGACTGTGAACTCGCGTTTGAAGTCGGCGTCGCCCTCGTGGATGTTGTAGAGGGTGAGGGTTCCGCTGGCGCGACGGTCGCGACACTGGAGACCGCGACGCTGGCACTCAGCCGCGAACGCGCTCCCTTTGACGCCGGGGCATCGTTTCACGGTGCAGACCTGCGAACGGAGCTGCTTCTCGGTCTCGGCACGCTGCTCGAACCATTCCTGGAAATGTAGAAGGACTTGAAATTGATCTTTAAACAGTGAGACGGAGATAATTCGTTTCAAAAACTGATTTCGATTAGGGAAAGTTCCACTTGTCGTAAAATTATCCGTTGCACTATCGCTCGAACATCGGTAAGACGAATCGGACGTGTCGGGGCATTTCTAGGGACCACTTGAGTAGCGTCCGAACTCTTAAGTGATCCCTTGGAATGCCCAGAAACGTCCGGATCCACTCCGGGTTTCGTTACCGAGGTCTGAGCCTTTTTCTTCCTAATCTGCTTGAAAAATTAGCCATGGAGCGCAAAAGTTCCTAATATTTGTCGCTATTTATTTTTTCAATGTTAAACTTCCGAATCGGTCCACTACAAAACTCATTCCTTCAATTATTTTGTTGCTTTTCCGATTTTGGAATTTTTGTTCCTAAAAATCATTAGAAGTAAAATTTCAGAAGTTCGGATCGTTTTTCTGATTTATATAGGCCGAAAATGCTTGCAAAAAGATGAAAAAAAAGATACTTTTATCAACTCATTGATAAATTACCCGAAAAATTAATCACCTGAGTGTAATCGCAGACACTCCTCGTAGTGACGGCGCAACGATCCAGGATCAAGGTCGGGAAGCTGCGACTCGCGGCGAAAAGTCGCAGCGACGCGTCGCCGACTCGCAGCGCCTTGCAGCGGCTGCCGAAGCGGACCCCGTCGATGGAGATTCTTCGAACGCGCGTAGCGTCCAACTGTCCGAGATGGGCGTCGGTGACGGAATCGGCTCGCATTCCGAAGCCGCCCGTCACTTCGAACAACTCCAGGTGCTTGGCGAGGCCGGCCAGAAGTCGGTGGAGGGTGAGGGAGTTGGCCGCCGAGAAGTCGACGTTGTTCAGGCTCAGCTGGACGAGCTGGCTCAGGTCCGAGTATTGGAGTTGGTGGCGGAGGAAGTCGACAAAGTCGTCGGTTAGGACGATGTCCTGGAAATAGAAGAATCATTCTAAAAATTGGACTATATTTGGATAGGCTCTGCTTTCTAAATTAATCAATCAAATAAGGGCCTTGACACGATAGGAAAGAAATAGCGCCCAGCCATTATAACAATGTATCACCTTGATGATGATTCTCTGGACAACGAAGCGCTCAAAGTTGAAGCCGAAGCTCGCTCCATTGCGAATCTCAGAGGCGGTTACGGTGACCGCCTTGGTCCGTTGTCCTTCGTAGGTCACCCAACGCATCTCCAAGCCTTTTTTGGGTTGACCGGTCAGAACGAGGCGAGACAGCTGCAAGGGAAAAAGGTTCAGTTGAAAGGCAGATTTCTGACAATGATATAACGTTTGAGAAGGTAGGGAGATACTAATTTCCAGGTAGTAACTCACCACGACGGGTGCAGCGGGGTCGATGTAGTCGACGACATCGCTGAATCGCCGACAAACCCTTCGGCAACTGAGCAGCGTCGTCGCGTCGCATTCGCCAAAGATTTGGCAGACCAACTCGTTGGGCAACTTCTGAAAAATCCAATCATTCAAGTTGACATTTTTTGTCCCTGTTTTTCCCTCAAGATCTTGTTTCACTGGCTTATGACTGGCACCTTTATCTCAAATTCAATCGAATTATAATCCTCTCAAAACTATACTTTATTTTTATCATTCCTGCCAATCAAGCTCATCAATGACGTCATTTGAAAGATTAACTTTGACGTCATAGTTCTAAAATCCAAAAACAACTGCTTCGTAAAATCATTCGTATGTACTTTGAGCTCGACACAGCTCGTGTTTTCGTCTCTTTACACCAAATTTCGTTCAATTTTTCTTTTCATCAGTGTAATCTCGACAGCTGAGGTCATCATTATGGGGTCTGTCGCTCCTTCACGTGATCTTTCCCCTTATCAATGAGGTTTTTGGCAATTAATTATAGTTTCAGTAGAATGATTGATAGAGCTAAGAAAAATGGAAAATTTGATGAAGAAAGATCATGAAGGGCTAAATTATCTGGGAAGGATGATCTTCATTGATAAGTATTTATTTTTAAAGCAAATTTTCGAAACTGAAAAGTGTGGTCCTAAACTAGCAGAGAATGAGCTCAATAAATTTGAGCAATCGCGCACTGTTGATAAATTCTAAAGTTCACAGACGGAGTTTCGACCATTCAATGTGTTTATTCGAACCCAGAAGCTCTCTTCCTCAATAGAAGAACTTGAAAAAAAAAATCATATGAAAAGCAAAAAATAGCCTTTAAAACTATCAAAGCTCAATTTTCTTTATTAATTGCGCTCCATTGAGATTTTCACTTTTCTTTAAATTCAAACTCTAAAAAGGAAAAAAAAAGCTAAATCCTGAAATTAGAGGTAGATTATTTATTTTTTGCACTTCAAGATATCTATTTAGGGCATTTTAAACCCCTTGGCGCCTTTTTAGACCTTCAGTGAATCTTAAAAAGACTCCAGTTTCGGACATCCATATCAGATCGAAAACCTCGAAATCCGAAGGCGTCGAGTTGAAGACGTTCATCGAGGTCGGGAAAGGCTTCGGCTTGGCGGATCTCAAGTAGGACGCCTTGGCGAGGATCCAATCGGCTAGAGACCGGAAAGCGTTCCGTTCAGGCTTCTTGGCGCTCCGAAACTTGCTCTCCAGTCTTGAAATATCTTTAGTTAGACAAAATATTTGAAATGAAGAATAAAAAACGATGGTACGTCAAAATCTCAAGCCCGCAAATCTTGAAGACCGTAATCTTGTGTACGCAGATCTCAAGTCCCATAACCTTGGAAAGCAAAAATCAAAGCTTTTGCTAATCGATTTTATCCGAAATTGTATTCATGGATCAGAAAAAAGAGAATACAAGTAGATAAAGTGCAATAAAGAAGACTAAAAAAAGAAGATTTTTTTGCTTTCCAAGATTGTGGTTTCCAAGATCATGGGACTTGAGATCTGCGTACACGAGATTACGGTACTCAAGATTTGCGGACTTAGGATTTTGTCGTACTATCGAAAAAACCAAACACTGACTGAAAAAATGATGAATGAGAAATGAAAAGATAAAATCCTAAAGAGCACTTCTTTTTGAATATTCGGGCGATTTGGCAAGTAATCAAAAAAAAAACTTAATACGCGTTGCGGTCGCGACGCGGTTTTCGGCGGGAAAATGTAAATCCAAAAGAGAGCGTGGGGAAGTTTGAAATAGAGCAGTTTCCAGGAATTTGTTTCAAAATATAATATCATGACGAATTTCAGGAGAATTTGAAAAATTTTTATGGTTTCTTATGGAATGGTTGAGAAGACCTAAAAGTTCTAAATTTCCTTAAATATAAATATTAGAAAAAAATTCATACTATGAAAATTTTTTTGTACCGCCTCAAAAGGCTGGAGGGACCTAAAATTCTATGAAAAACAAAAATTAAAAAAATTCCAACTTTTCTGAAAAATTTTTTTGTAAAAAGTTAAAGCTACTTAAGTGACCTGAATTTTCTTGAAAATAATATTAATAAAATCTCCCATCTTCAATAAACAACTTAAAGATTTAAAAACGGCTCAAGGAGCCTGAAAGCCCTAAATTGCCTTAAACCTTAAGATGAACTTTTTCAATAAATATTCATAAAAATCCAATTCCAAACATAATATTACCAAACTCACACGGATCCCTTGTACTCCTGTCGGAAATCGTGGGCCGTGTTCGTCGTGTTGAAGCTTCTTTTGCGTTGAACTTCCATTCCGCGAAAGTTTTGCAGCTTTTTTGCCTGCAAGGCTTTCCAATGATAAGATAAAGAAATGATGATTTATTTCAAATAAATAGGGAAAAGAAAAGACGAAAGAACGAGAGGCGGGAGGGGGTTATAAAGGAAGGATGAAGCGGGAACGGAGACCCTTCCCGGGGCTCCGCCCACTTTCGGTGTGTCACGTGGACTTCATGTGGACCTATAGGATTTAGTCTGGCACATTTTGGAGAAGAATGATTTGTTTCAGGTCGAAATTGCGTAGGAATTACGATTTTAAGAGAAAAATGTGTTTGGAAAGGTTTTTTTTCTGAAAATATTGCCTTAATGGCGCTAGGAAAACAGGACTTGAAGTTTTGACAATTTTGACAAATTTTGACAACTGGAAATTAAGCTTTTCAAAAGCTTTTTTTAGAACTCAAATAAACAGGTAAAAAAATAATCAAGAACAAAAAAATGCGCTATTTTGAAGCGGTAGGATGCCAAAGTTTTGAAAAACCCTGTTAAAAAAATTCCTTGTTAGAGTTGCAGGCGCCAAAAAAATCTAGAATAATACAAAAACTAATTTTTTTGAGAAATCTCAAGATCTATTTTCTATCAAAATTGCGTAAAAAAATTAATGTTTTTTTGAGAAAAAAAGTAGTTTTGGAGGTTCTATATTCAATTTTGATGCATGGAAAGTACTTATTCAAAAAGGAAACTTGTGATTTCAAGCCGGTTAGAATTTTTGATTCTATGAATTTTTGTCAAAAATTTTCTCTGTTGTACTTAAAAGTGCAGAATCACGATCAAAATACAGTTTCGTGGCAAAAGAAAAATCGGAAACTAATAAAAATCGAGCTTTTTTCTTTTGAAAAACTCGATTTCAGCTAAAAAATGAGCTCTCCCGAAGCAAAACTGAAAGGAAAACGCTTTCACAAATATTTTTCACATTTTATAGGAAGGAAAAACCAATTCTCTTCCTCCCATGAATCAATTTTCTTCCTGTGAGCGGAAGAAGACGCTTTTTTATGTCTTCCTGTTTAAGGAAGGACACGCTTTTCCTTTTATCAAACATCAAATCAAACCAAAAAAATTACGTACCAAGTACTTCCAACGTGTTTTTTTATTGAAATTCAAACTGATTTTAAAAAAAGGGTTTTTTTGGGGAAACTGTATGTACAAAACTATCATTATTTTCTCCCTTTTTTTGAGAATTTTTTGAAGTTAAACTATTCTTTCAATTTGTTAGAGGCCATTGACAGATGTACCCGAATTTCAAAAAAGAAAGCCCACAACCCTTTAAGGGAGATCATTTTACTTTGCGGTTGGGATTTTTTCTGAAAATCGGCCAGAGTGCTCCTAGATGTACCAGAAGAAGATTCTGAAAGTCTCAACCTGCAAATCTTCCTAGTTTTCGAGAAATGAGGGCTAAAAGCCTCAAAATAGCTTATTTTTACGGATTTTTTGTTTTTTCTCTGACTTAAGGGGTCCTTACACGAGAACTAGGAAGTTTTGCAGGTTGCGACTTTCAGGATCTTCATCTGGTCCATCAAGAAGTGTTCTGGCCGAATTTTAGGAAACTCTCGAAAGCAAAGTAAAATGACCTCCTCTGCTAGCTTGAAAAAAAAACTTTTAACTATTCGACAACAAAAAAAAGCGCAATATTTCCATTCCGATACAAAAATCGCGTCAAATCGAGTCACTTTACAACCCGAAAAAGGTACTCTAATGTATTCCGACCTTTGTTATCTGTTCCAAAAACAGCAACGGAACACGCATGCGTTGTTTTTGTTTTTCCACACACCTTCAAAAGTATGTTCGAACGGGGGAAAGATTGAAAAATGGGTTTGCAAATCAGCCTCGTGATTCTTTGTCTGAAAAATAGTAGTGGGAAATGATGTTTGCCTTCAGAAAAGAGCAAAGAAATGAAAAACAACGTCTGTTCCTTTGGACTTGAATTGACCTTTTACGCTCCACTGATAAAATGCAACGTGAAAATCATATGGACCTGTATTGTATCTTAAAAATGTGTAGTGGTCCCTCTAGGGTCCTTTTTAGCCGATATTGGGCTTTGCCATGTAGGATTAACACTTGAGTGATCGCTGAACGGCTCAGGAAACTTTATTGTCTACTTGAAAAGGACCCTGGAGTGACCACTACACATGAGACTTTCAGAAAGTCTCTTTTAGAACTTCTCCTATAACAGCTTTTTTTGAGGACAGAGGTATTTTTTTGAGGGGGGGCGATAGAGGTCATAAAGGGGGGAGGATAGTTTAATAGAACAATAAAGTTATAATAAAACTGAAAATAATATTTTTCCGGTTGTTTTTCTTACTCACAAACTTTCTTCCAGTGTCCTTTAGAAGTCCCTTATTTCTCTCATTTCTCTAACCTTTGATGGGCAATCGACAATCGACTGATAAGACGTGTTCCCCCGGGGAAACACGATCTTTAAAAGTCACTACAAACGCTATAAATACTTGGGCGAAAGCTATCTTTCTGATGTTTGATGCCTCGTTTCTTTCAGTGATAAGAAGTAGTCTGATGCAAGACGGGGGGCAGCAAAGAACGTTTGGAAGAAAAAGAGTTAGCCTCTGCAGAAATTTCGTGAGATAGGGCTAAGATGACGCAATGAGAGCAAATATCTATTCAAAACACGTTCTGTTTGATTTTTGAAAAAATCCAACCGGGGGTTTTATTCGAAAGTAATTATGATAATAAGCTTAAAAGTGTGCAAAAGCTTAGAATTTTGTCCTTAGAGTCTCTTCGGAGCTCCTTCGGGGATATTTGAAGGTGGAGAAAACTAACAGAGAAAGTTTACTGAAAGATCAAAACTTGATGAAAGTTAACAAAAATGATTTTTGAATTTTTCTGGTTTATCATCAAAAAACCCCCAAAAAAATCAGAATTTTCCGAAGTCTCCGATTTTTTTCGATTTTTTAGATACTGTTGTAGTGAGTTTGTGGCATTCTCGAAGCGTCATACAATTTAGAAGGAAAGCAAAAAAAAAACGACATCTTCTGATCATGAGGCTCCAAGGTACACATCTACAAAGTTTTCAACTGTTGGGATATTTTCTTGTCAAGAGACCTCAAAGTACATTTTTGCAAAGTTGAATAGAACTTCAAGCCGAAATTGGTCCAGGAGTTTTCTGGCAAAAGACCATAAAATTCCCAGAAAAAGAGTGGGATAATCATCATTTTGAAATGGAAAAGCTTCAATTATTTTAGTTTTTTTTTCCTACGTTTTTGCAAATATTATGAATCATTACAGCTGGAAATCCTGCAAGCCATCAATCTCTCTACGCTCTCATTTTTAAGTTCTTTTTCACTTATCTGTGACTTTACTGGTGATGGAAAAGAGAGCACAGACAGGTCAGACTGTTTCAGGTCGCAGCAATTTGGGTAGGGTCCGCAAGCCATTTCTTCAGAACGATTCAAAAAATATGTTTTTCACATTGTTCGATAGAGGAGACTGTCCATTTTCATAATCCGTTTATTTTTTGAAAAAAGCTCCACTAAGAAAAAAGTTATGGCCAAAAAACGAGCGCGCGCGGCGTACAACTGGAGGCAAAATCTCACGGTTTACCCGCTGCCGCACGCTTTCTTTTTAAATGTTTTTGCGCGTTTCTGGACCGTTTTTAAATCGGTTTTCTGCTCTGAGAGATTGTCCGAACTGATCCTCATGTTTTGGTATGAATCTTTTATACAATCCTCATAAGAATTTTTGATAAAATATCAAAAAACTACCTAGAAAAAAGGTCAAAGGGATTTTTCAGCTTATTTTTCTTTTTTCTACTCAGAAAAAAATTATTATCATTCGATTTGGAAAAAAAGAAAAAAATGAAAAAAATAATGTTATTTCGAAATAAAAACAGGAAAAAAAGTGCAATTTGACTCCGAAAAAAACGGCTCCTGCGACATTTAAAAGGGCGCATCGGTGTGTTTGACGCAAACACTGCTACGGACGCTTGCACGAAATCTTCCGAAATTTCAAAAAAAATTGCCATTTTTTCGAGGTTTTCAAAGCCGTTATTTTTTTCGCGTCGATCGATTTTTTTTCATAATTTTTTCATTGATAGAGTTTTGAACGCTTAATAACATAATCAAAGATATAGACGCGATCCTATTCTCTCATGCGTCAACGAGGCAGGCGAAAAAAGGAGGTTTTGGTAAAACTCAAATATAATTTGATTCGCTGTCCCAATAATTGTTTTCATTTTGAATTTTTATTTTTGGACACACTGTTAGTTTTTAAATCAAATAAAAAAAGTATACCATGTCGCTGAAATTTTTTTTCGCATTTCAGCTTCAAAGTTTGGTGTCACTTTACAAGCTTTAATATTTTTTTCGCGTCGGTAGATTTTTTTCATTTTCACTCAAAAAATAAAGAAAGTGTTAATGTATAACATACTTAAAATTTAGAAGCGTTCCTCACTTGGTTTTCTGAAACGCGACGATTTTGTGAAACTTGTCAGTTTCTTTCGTGTTAAATCTTACTTTTTCGCTTATTTTTGAAGAATACATAGTTTTAAAAATATTCAGTCTTGTAGAGCGTTGTCGATTACATAGATTAACAGAAACAGTTCATTTTTAAAGTGGGACTTTAGCTAGTATAAACGCCTCAAAACCGTTTTTGCAACAAAAAAATCGTCATTTTGGTGGCGTGAAGAGGCGGGGCTTTGCGCCCCCTAAATTTGGGATCGAAAAAATCTGTGGTCTTCCAGGATTTTTTTTCTTCCTTCAAGATCTTTTTTGAGCTTTGGAAGCCTCTCTCTACGCTCTCATTTTTAAATGCTAATTTCACGTTTTTATGACGTCGCTGGTGAGAGAAAAGAGAGCGCAGACAGGTCAGAGTATTTCAAGACCGAGCAAATGAGGCTTAGAGCTATATATGCAAAAAAGTTTTTCGAAACATTTTTCATTAATTTTTTTCCTTCAAAGTAAAATAAAAGAGTCCATAACTCTATGAAGATCTTCAGAAACTACTCTCTGCGCTCTCATTTTAACGTGCTA